ATCTCCCCTACTATACATCCTAAGCTTAGAACCCCTACTAGAAAACATTAGACAGGACAACTCGATTAAAGGACTGTACATTCCAAACACGGTAGGCAAGAAAATACTTGCATACGCAGACGACACTACTTTCTTAGTACAAACAGAAAAAGCAATACAGACTGTAATAGAAAAATTCAACAACTTTGGGAAAGGGAGCGGGGAAAAAATAAACGCAGAAAAATCAAAAGTAATGGGTATAGGTAAATGGAAAGGTAAAGATAACTATCACATAGACATAACAATAACTGACAAACTCAAAATTTATGGAATAACCTATACTAGCGATCCCACAATAAACGACCAAGAAACTTGGACCACACTGAAAAATAAAATAAATCACAATCTGGAAAAATACCAATACTGCAATACAACCATTTTTGCCAGAGCTGCATTAGTAAACAGATATATCATTTCAAAAATAATTTTCGTAGCGACGAACTCTACAATACCCAACTCATTTATTAAAAAAACAAACAAGCACATTAGAGAGTTCATTTTCAAAAATACGATTAGAAACATTAGCCACAAAACCTTAATACAAAATAAATTAAATGGAGGTATAGGGCTACACGACATTCAAACTAAAATAAACACCTTCCGATTAAAACACCTGGATAGAATAAGGATAGAACCACATTCTCATCCATTAGCACAATACTACATTGGGTTAAACATAAAGAGCATTTTAAAATTAAACATCATAACACCACACTATGGGGGAAATGACATAGGCAGCTTTTATAAAGAAACGCTAGCAACATTCCAAGGAAACAAAAGCATTATTGGGGAAGACACACAAAAAATATACGACATCCTAATCAAACAACAAGCGACACCCTTATACACGAGAATTAGTTGGGCCAGGGAACACAATATAATAGACATTAAAGATACATTTAGAAACCTACATAATAAACGCATTACACCAAAAGAAAGGGAAATAGCATACAGACTGATTTTTAACACAACTCCAGTTTCACGAAATAAAAGTCAAATCAAAATGTTAAAATAACATGTCAAACGTGTAAACAAAATATACAAGAAACTGAGAAACACATTTATTTAGATTGTATATTAGTACAGAAAACAAAGCAAACACTTGCGAAAATATTAAACACCACCAATCAAACAGCCACAACAAATAAAGCAATCACACTTAATTTAATTAACACTACTAGACAAAGAACAGAAGACGAAAACAGACTAGTAGCAATGGCTATTTATAGATCGACTATATGGCAAATTAGGAATAAAGTCAGATATTTTTTCACAAAATACACGGACATCGAGTTAAAAGAAATATTTCAAGCAAAGCTAAGACATAGACTGGGAACTCTCACTTAACTGAGAAAAAAAAGAAATATACAAGAAAGAAATAAATAAAGTATTAATTTTAATTTAGACAGTCTCAAGCCAAACATCACTCGATCAGCCCCCAAGTAAATTAACATTAGAACAGTCTTCTGTTTCCCGATGCACAACCTGAATGGTAGAAAGAGATACCCACCTCAACCCCCCCCCCCCAACATACACACACACTTTCCCCCCCCCCCCCCCCCCCACTCAACCGGACTGGCGCACATTTCAAGGTAGCGTGCCCTCATTGCCAAGGGTCAATTTTATGTCATGGAAAGTTTTGGAATGATAGATCAGTACGTGATTACAGAGACACTTCTCCCACAGTCGTTTCTATTTCTGTCCATGGGTGGCTACAATGTGAACTTTTGACTCCGCAGCACACTAAACTAAGCAGTGAAGAGAAACCTACTTTGCACACCTTATTTTAATCTAGTTCTTATGCCATTTTATTTTTTCCCTTTGATTATTATACATGCAATTGATGTTCATTGTTCATGTCTTTGATGCTATGTAAAATCTATCAAATATATTATTATTACTGATTTAAATGTTTAAAACAATTGAATTAATAAAAATAAAAATATTAAAAAAAATCTACCCCCTCCTCTCTCCCCCTCTATCCACTTTACCCCCAGACATGATAACCCCACAATCCCTTTAACTGTTCCAACGACCCCACCACCCACCGCAACATCAATATCCAGAACTTATTTAAAGTTCTAAATCTTGTCTCTTTCCCCTCATCTTTCACACCGCAACCTTTTGAAAACTCAATGCGACCATTACAACACCCTTTCAACTAGTCAACTTAAGTTGTTTCCCTACATAGAAAATGCTTCACTGTCCCATTGACCCTCTCTGAAAAATTTCCTTTCCTCTCCCCACCCAGACTTCTGACACTTTCATTTGACCTTCACCCCTTTTACTGTCATCCTTTGCAATTTTTTTTTATAATCAAATACATGACATCATGTAAATATTCATTATGTACATTTGCAAAACCTTTCATTTTCATTTGGTGTTCAAAATTATGTTAAAAAATTTGAAGTTGATGTACTTGTTTTAATTGCAAATAAAAGTATTTAAAAAAAAAAATTATTCCTAGATTAATCATGTCAAGTTTTACACTAAACAAAACGTCTAATATTGTCTCTATTTAAGACATCGGGTGATGGTACGCCATGTGCGACTTCATGCCCTCTTCGGGGAGGTACACTTCGCATTGGCTGCAATGAAAGACGTTTGCACCCTCGTGATAGTCCTGATAGTGGGCGCCTATGTCATTGTGGACTTTTTGGCCTTTGCAGATGGTGCACCGTTTAAGCTCCGCATGTATTGTTTTCTCATGGTTTTTTGTTTCCCTAATTGTTGGGAATTGTTCGGTACAGAAGAAGCAGCTGTAAAATATTTCCTTGCGTTTTTGTTCTTTAATTATTTTGCCTTGATCAGTGGGGCTAATTTCACTTTTCCTTTTCGATGGCGGGGCTTGATCTGTTTCTGCGATTGGGCTTTTTGTTTCCTTGTTTTGGGATGTTGTTGGCTTTCTAGTTGGGGATTGAGCTGTGGTTGTGCTTGGGGTTGTTACTTTTCCCGATGATTTTGGTGGTGTTATTGGTTGCTGCGGTGCGGGAGTTTTGACGACTGGTGATTTCGCTTTATTTGTTTTGGGGGTTGTTGGTTTACTTGATGTTTTGGGAGGGCTGGTTGGTTCCCTGAACGGTATTTCCGCTTCCATCGGTTCTGGGGGCTGCGGTGCAGTTGTTACTGGTTCTTGTGTTGCTGGTAGTTGTATACTGGGGGTGTTCGAGCTCGCTTGTTGGTTCGTCTGATTAGTGGGCGCTGTTGTCTGCTGCAGTGTAGGTGTAGCCTTAGGTGGCGCAGTTATAGTTGTCGGTGAGGTTGGTTGTTGTTTCCACTCTTGATCTCTCTGGTGGCATTGACTTGTCCAATGTTGTGTTGAACCACATGATTGGCAGGCTTGTCGTCTTCCAGGTAAGAACATGAGGATGTTGATGGGTCTGTTTTTATAGTTAAACTTGATATAATGTGGTATAGTGTTCGGAGTGTCGGAGAAGATGGTGAAGCTGCGGTTGTTTGTGTATGGGCTACTGTTTACTATTGGTTCTTTTTTGCTTATAATTCTGAGAGCCTTTAGCAATGCATCGTTCTCTAGTGCTGGTGGGACCCACCTAAGTGTGCCATTGATTCTGTCTTTGTGATAGATTGAAAAATGCAGTGTGTAGGGCCCATACTGTTTACTTGTATTATCCATCGTCGCTACGTTGAAAGCGTCTGATGAGAAGAACCACGTGTCACTTCGGCCGTAATTCATCAGCAGAATCTGTTGTGGACTTATCAGTTTTCGGATAATGTGCCTCGAAGATTTGGATGGCCATTCGTTTGAATTATGACTTGCATGGTTGTACTTGGTGTTGGTTGGCTGGAGAACAGATCTGGGCTCTCTTCTTCGGGCATCTCGATTGTTAGGGTAGTTGAATTCGTTGTAGCTGAAAAGGGTTGGGCCCAGGATTTCATTAAGCCACCCGAACCGTAGTCCCGGTGGCTCCTCCCCAAGTCTCTCGACCCAGGGGGAACATCCAAGGGCGCAACCCCTTTGTTGATGTTGCTGCATAGGTAATTCTTTTGGGAGATGACATGAATGGCAATTGACTATATATATATATCTAATATATAAAGCTCAATTCTGTATGTATGAATATTGAATAAAGAAAAAAGAGAAAAAAAAATAACAAAAAAAAATAAAAAATAAAAAAAATTATTTTCAGCTAAATTTGTTTCGACCAAAATATAACTCATTACATTTTTACTTTATCATACACAGAGTATACATAGAGGAAGTATTGTAATCATGAACAAAAATCACATGAAATTTTGACAGTTTTTACCGTTTTACACCTCAGTACTTCATCATATATGGAGTATAGGGGACATTTTAATCGAGCAAAAATAATAAATGCAGAATTTAACAAAATTTCAGTATTCTATGCGTAATTGAGTAGGAAAAACTGGTCTTTGCAATTCTGTTCATATGTCTGTGTGTGTCTGTAAACACGATAACATGAGTACCGTTACAGCTAGGTTGATTTTTTTTCTACGAGATTCTATTCTATTTTAAAAAGTTTAAGTAATTAAAAATGGATTAAAAATCATGTCTATATAGTGAGTTGCCATTTCCCATAGTGTTATATAAGAATATTTGAGAAAGTTTGGGGAGATCACTGCTATTGCTTTATGCCCTTTAAATAGAATTTTTTAACATAATACTAATTTAAGGGTTAGATCACTATATTGTGCACACTTCTCTTTACTGGTAATAGCAAAACTGTATTCACATAGTTTAACTTGCTATAATTCTGATTGTAAAGAAAAAAAAACTATGGTTGCTCAAGTTTGGTCATTCAACTTATGGAGACAGTATTACTCTTATCTACAGTATAAAATTATGAAAAATATTTAATGTATGTACAGTTACATCTTTCGAGCTAGTACAGTTAAGGCAACAATGTGTTTGTAAATACATGTTGGTTTTTAATTACAGTCCCTATTGTATAAAATAAACAAACAAACGAAAAACAAACCTTTCAATCTTCCTCTCATGCCAGTGGTCAGAGAATGACTGGTCCTCATTTTTATAAAGTTTGTCACCGGCCATATTGGACCTTAAGAGAGTTAGACATATTTAGTCACATGCTATAGGACATTAGCAGAATAAGTTTTCTAGTTTGGCAGCAAAGAAAAAAATAAAAGTTGGTAAATCTTCCCACCTTGACATCAACTTGAAGTTGTACAAGGAGTTCTCAAACAGAAGTTGGAGGTCCTGTCAGGAGAAATTAATTCAAACTTTAAATTAAAATCATACCTTTCTTTTAATTTTTTTTTTTAATTTTATTATCAAAATACTCTATTTTTTAAATGATAACAGATGCCATATCTCACTTCTTAGAATCAGTACAAAGTTTCACTTAGAAAAATTACTCAAGTGGGATAAAAAAAAAGAGACAAAGTTTAAAAAAAAATAGACTGAATCACCCCCTACTATTAACTACATCTATCTCATATCTTAAACAACCAAGGTTGCTTTAGACCTAGTGATATGCATCACAGACCTATTAATACAAATACTAATTTTTATTACAATAATTCATTTTTTAAATTTTATTTATAACATGACATGTATGTCAACGTAACAACCTGGGTGTTTTTTTTTATCTACATACATCTGTATGTGCATCTATATGTATTATCTACATTTATCCGCATGTGCATCTATATGTACATGCATTTTAAAACCAGTAAGGTTATGTGGACAATTGTGTGAACATGTATATGTAAGAATGTGTGATTAAATGAACATGTATATATAAGAATATTATTTATATAGGCTATATATGAAAGTGTATGTATATATAAATATAGGTGTATATTTTTGTAAATATTATTTAAATACTTGATAAAGTAAATTAATAATCAGCTTAAGAAATGTATGATAATTAGATACAGTTTGTTAGTAGAGTCAATATAAACTCCACATTCAGCTTTGTAAGAATCATGAAGTACACACATATTCACTGAAAGTTTTTCAATTAAATTTTAAGTATTCATTAGCCAACACAGAGTTTAGGAAATTAGTTATGACAATCATCATGCATGTAGTAGACCTATATAGACGTGAATGTTTCAAATTAGGTTTCGTACTATGAAACTTAAAACTCTTTTAAGTTATGATAATGCAAAAGCTGATGTTAAGATTATTATAGTACTAAAATAATAAATTCCAACTTATCAAGATTTTCATGCAAAACAAGTTGTTTAAATTAAAACCTGAATATCAAAGTATTTAATGTATTACGTTTTTATTAAATAAAAGGGAGGTAATATAATGCAAGCTCAAGTCGTATACAATCTTGTTACTGTTTTAGAACATGCTTTTTGAGTTACTTACCCTTTGAGAGCTAGGCAATTTCATGATCAACTCAAGCTGAGAAATTATTTGAGTCATTTCTTTAGTTATCAACTGTGCTAGTTTTTAAATTTATTTATCAACTGTGCTAGGTTTTAGTTTATTTATGAAATACACTCGTTTTTAATTTATTTATCAACTGTGCTAGGTTTTAGTTTATTTATGAAATACACTCGTTTTTAGCTATTTATCAATGGCGCTGGCTTTTAATTTATTGACCAGCTGCGCTAGGTTTTATTTTATAATATCAACTGTACTACTTTTTAGTTTATTTACCAACTGCACTAGTTTTTAGTTTATTTATCAACTGAGCTAGTTTTTAATAGACTGACTAAACATTGGTTGAAATGTCTTGTGGGTCACAATGTTAGATAGATCTACATTTTGGTCAAAATAGTGACAGTGTAGACATAATTAATTAGCCTCATTGGACAACTGTTTAAAATAATATTTAAAACCAGTTGATTGGAAAATGAACAGCTGATAATGAGTTCATATCAACTTGCTTTCAAATTAGGGCCCACAATAATTAGTGTCACTAGGTCAGGCTATACCTGGTGAGGTAACCCAGGGTGTCACCCCACTCCACCAACATCTACATGTGCCACATAATAAAAATATAGTAATTTGGTGTCACCCACACCCATTCAGGATGGTGTCACCCTGTGTCTAATGATGTATGTAACTGTAATAAGCTATTCAACAAACTGGGAAAAGCAGACTTTCTCTTTTCAAGTTAGTTATATTTGTTTAGCAGCATACATCTGGAGGTAATACCACAGTATATAAACATTTTTAGCAGCATATGTCTCTTACATTTGTCCCCACTTTAGATGGTGTCATAAAGTACTGTCCACAACCCCTCCTGCCACACCTTGTGACACGCCCTTTGACTCTGGCCTACACCCATACACCCAAAATTTCCAGTACTCAATCACAGAGGGTATATAACAGTTTATAAATATATTATCAGTAATTGATGGGGAGTGTAGTTTGTGACCAGTGAAGATTTGCCACTGTTTAGTTTACCTGGCCGCACATTAAATAAAAGAAAGAAAGAAAGAAGTTAAAAAAAATAGTGGCAGGTAAAAAAAAATTTCAATACTCAAGCAAGAGTATAGAACATGAGAATGTTCATCCTATCAGAAATACTGACCTCAGTCTGGTACCCTGCTTGGACAGTGTAAGGTCTCTTCTGCAAAGGTGACATAGCTGTAGGGTAAAGGAAACAAAAGGGGGTTAGGTTTGGCAAAGTCCGGGAAATTACTCATTATTCTTTAATTGCCATCTGTAGTTAGGGCTTTTAGTGTCAGTGTAAAGGCTGTTTTTCAAGGCCATTTGTGTATATATATATATATATATATATATATATATATATATATATATATATATATATATATATATATATATATATATATATATATATTTGTGAAGTGAAGCACAAGCCTTCACACTACGTTGACAAAGACTATACAGATGAGGTTTTATATTATAGATAAGGCTATATACCATTCAACTCACACCCCCAAAAACAAAAATCATTGCTAGATCTTTTTGTGATGGTGTTGTTGCTTACCTTCTTGAAACTTACAGAAATCCAAATCTGAACGGCAGCTCTTCTTACCTGTGGTTCTACCTGTGAACTTTCCCTGACCTTCTTCAGCAGACGTGTATGGCCTAGCCCTGGCCTGGGTGACTTCCCCAGGTGTCAGCAGATCTCTGTAATCATCCTTGAAAAGACACACAAAAAAAGGTGAGAAGCTGCTGTAAAATGTTTAGCAGTTGTAGTTGGTGATGAAGAGCTGTAGTAGAGTGAGAGAGTGCAGTCATATCATATATGATTGGATCATGTCTTAAATTTGTGGGATATTCAGATCCACCCAAATCTCATGGGTCACTGACAATATCAATTTAATGCCTGTGACTCTACAGCCCATGTAGTGCTGTAGACTGTTTAACCACGAATTTCAACTAAGACTTGTCTGCAACCTTCTTGTACCATGTGTGGACTTAAAGCTACCTTAGCTGTGTCTTTATGATATCCAGTTCCACCCAAATCTCATGGGTCAGTGACATAAGTCTGTATAATATCAATTTCATCCCTGTGATTCTACAGTGGATGGAGTGCTGTGGACTGTTTAACCAGTTTTCCACTCCAACTTGTCTGCATTCTTCTTCTTCCATATGTGGGCTTAAAGCTTCAGTAGCTGTGTATCTATGATATCCAGGTCCACCCATATCTCATGAGTGAGCGACCTTACTTGGGAAATATTCAGATGGCTTAGCATGGTGCTAAAGGGATGGCATGAGTGAATGGCAGAGTGGTCGATTGCTAACCTAAAAGTCTTGAGTTTGAATCCCGGTTTTAAGTCTGTAGGACATCCCTGAGTCCACCCAGCTGTTATGGGTACCTGACTCATTTTAGGGAAAGTAGAAGTAACAGGACACTGTGCAGAAGAAGAGAACTTTACAACATCTAACCTATGTACCATAAGGTTGAAAAGGTACTTGAATTATTTTTCTAGTATGGTGGTGACCAAAAAATACCATCATGAAAGCGTTACTCCATCATTTTCTTTAAAATGTTAAGTCTAAATACAATTTAGATCTAACTTACAACAGCTGCAAAAAATTTCCAATATGTTGACACCCTGTAAATTTGTCAATTCACTAGTAAATCTATACTTAAATATATATACAATTTTTAAATTTATAATTATCATATACCATTACGTAACTATACATATTAGCCCAGGATTAGGTCAACAAGGTGTAACTTTACCTGCGCTGTATGTTGTTGGCCTAACTGTGGCCCCTGCTCATACTCATTAACCCCTGGCTCACCACTACGCCTTCTCTCAGCATGTCCAGGCACAGCCAAAGTATCTGGCATAAACATCACAGAATCTACAGAACCTCTGGACCCTGGTGAAAAGTAAACAAAGTTTTAGTAATAAAAAAAAAAAGGTGCAAAAAGAAAATAAAAATAAATGAAAAAATTGAGCTACAAAAAAAATCTTACTTGATATTAATCTAACAATAGAATTTAGACAGTTATGAATATATAGCTTCATTTTACTTTATGTAGAATTAGTTAACATAAAATGTTGGTAATATTTGAAAATTAATTGATTTTATCAAAATTTTAGTGTAGGTTTCTTGTTTACCAACTGATGGGATGAACTGTTCTAGGATAACACTGTTCACTCTATAAATTTAAACAGCTTTAATTTATCAATAAATTAAAGCAGCTTCTGATTAAACTATGTATTTAAACAGATAATGGTAGATTTATAAATTTAACAGTTTCTGATATTAAATTCTGTATTTAAATTTTTTTAAAATATCATATATTTTCCCTTTGTATAACACTAACTCCACTAAATTTAGATTTATAGAAAGCTGAAAATAGAATTTATTATATGGCACAGATAATTTTATTAGACTTCAGTGCTGTAAAAACAAATTTAAAGCTGTGTAAATCACACACACACAGGTCAACATTGTCCAAAACTGTTAACAAGATCAACAAGCCCAAAATGATGTGAATAAGATGAACAAATAATGTGAATAATGTTAAGCTGATTAGTTAGCAGTAAATAATGAATTAATTATTGTTTGTATCTCCAATTAAAATGTATACCAAAGTTAATTAGTAGATACATTTACAACACCACACACACACACACACACACACACACACACACAAACAGTGATAGTAAATATTCAAATAATGTGATGATGCAAGGATTGTGCTTTTAGGCTTTAAGCTAAGCAAAAATGCTTTTAGGCAATTTTTAAAAAAAGTGAAGTAAATTTTTGTTTATGCTCACTATTCTAAGCATTATTAAGTTTAAATTTAGAATTATGTGCATATGTGTAAAAAAAAATATACATGTGTTCATTGATATGTGTAAGTAGCCTATCTCAGTAGTGTAGGTTAAATATATAAGACATATACCAGTCATTTACATTTAAAAATTCCATAATAATAAAAAGATTACAGTATTGCTGTGTTGTTACAAGAATATCAGTTTTGCAAAGCTGTATTAATAAAGCAGGTTTATCATACAATGTAAGCTGAAAATTTTATTAATAATTGTGTGAATAAGGGGCAGTAACTCAGCAAAAGTGAATTAGTTCAGATCTCAAGACTTCTTTACTTTCATAGGGAACAAAATATTCAGGTTCTGGAGATGTCCCCAGGTTTAAATCCTCATCATCTGAAGGAAAGAAACTTGGTTCTGGGCTGAAAGGGGAGGAAAAAAGTTGCAGGTTTTGGGTTATCTTTCCTGTTGTTGGACTTTCTTCCCTTGGATCAGCATAAGCATTTATTGTCTGTTGGCCTACTACTACAAAAATTTAAAACAGGTTAAAAAAAATTAAATAAACAACCAATTTTATTATCTTTTTTATATCATCTTTCTACATATTAGATAATGGTTTTAAATATTACATAGTTTAAACAATAAATTTATATTTTTTACAAAAAGCACACGAAAAGCTAATAACTTATTTCTAACATAAAATACTTAAAAAAAACTTTTTAAAAAACCACGTTTTTCTTGTGGACTAAAAAGTAGAAAATAACTATTTACATACATTTGATGACAAAAAACGTGGGTACGTTCACCATCAAATTTCCCGACCCATCTGCCCGACCCACGTTTTTTGTCATCAAATGTATGTAAATAGTTATTTTCTACTTTTTAGTCCACAAGAAAAACGTGGTTTTTTTAAAAGTTTTTTTTAAGTATTTTATTTTCTCCTTTTTAGTCCGTTGCTACACATGAAAAACGTGGTTTTTAAAAAATGTTTTTTATATAGTTTATTTTCTACTTTATCCAATGACTTGATTAAGTATGACTTGACTAAGTGTTTATAAATACACGGACTAAAAATCTTGAGCGACCAGGATTCGAACCTGGGTTGTAGCGGCCACAACGCGAAGTACTAACCACTATACGATCACGGCCAGCGCGCTCACATCGATTGGGGCTGAAGTAACTGTGTCAATAGGTCTTCAGTCTTGTCGGTATCTTTAGAAATCATGTCCTCAATTTTATGGTCCTTAGGGCGTAATTAAATTAAGCTAATTACGGTCTCTAATTGCTAGTTTTTATGATGGCATCTGAAATTGTTAGGCAAAAGTAGCCTGCATGCCAAATTTCAGAACTATAGAACAATCAGAAGTGGGCTAATTTTCGATGTCAATTTTAACAACAAACACACAAACGCGAAGCTGAGTTAATAAAAACGTGTTAAAAAAGATAATCTAAAAATAACAAAATACACTCAGACAGATATTGTTAACACTAGAAACAACTCACTAATTACGTATATAACTCATAAAAAATTAATTAATTAAACAAAGACATTTGATGCTTTAAATGAATGGTTACGAATAAGCCAGAATAACAAAGTACTTAAGACCACTTTGAAACACTACAAGAGAGAAAATATGTAAATAAGGTGTTTGTACCTCTATGTGATAGTCTTTTTTCATTTAACCTTTTCACTTCAGATGGCTGCAACTAAAAATAGAATTAAATCAAGGGATATAATTACGAGAATTTTTTTTTAATTTAGAATTTTCTGAACAGATCTGAATTTGAAAGCCTCACCTCTCTAGACTGTATCCTAGAGCGTACACCTTGTCTGTTTTCATGTACATCTGCTGAAATTCTCTCAGAATACCCAGATGTTTTTACTTCATTTTGGCTTGTTTTATCAGGCAAGTCTGAAATTCTTTCCTGGCCAGATTTCTCGGCTTGGTAATTTTTATTTTCTGCCATACCGCTGGCCCTTCTTGTCTGGATCTGTGTGGACATACCTGGCATGGGTGCCTGGGTGTCATCGTCCAACCAACTGTCAGCTAGCTTGTTGTTGTTGGTACCTGGCAGCTTGGAAGCTCCACCAAAGTCAATGGCAGTTCTTCTGTCCAGTTTTTTTAACATGGCAGCTTTGGACTCTGCTGCTGAAAGTTTGGGAACAGCTGGCATGTTCTGATTTAGATCTGGAAGGGGAGGTAAATCTGGCACAAGCAGTTGCACTGAGTTATCTGTCTTGGGAATAAATGACAGTGGAAGAGAAGAATCAGCTGGGATATTGTTTTCTTCATCAACTGGCTGTGGGCTCTCAGGGATGACTTTATCATCCTCAACAACAGTGCCATCTTCTTCTGCAGCATTGGTCTCTTGTGTTGTTATTTCTGATGTTTCTTCATCTAAGTTCAGCTGAAGCTCCTTCATCTAGGAAACCATAAAAATTTTGCCTAGTTCAGTCTAGTATCAACTAAGTTTAAAATTTTAACACTTGTTAAAATTCTTTTTTAAAATAGAATCTATACAATGTTTTGGTAAAAGTAAAATTACTTTGTTGTAAATAAATTAACTGAATTTTTTTTTTAATTCACCATTAATAATCATTTAAACAAAATTGTTGATGAAATTAATATTTTTAGAATGCACATATACATCAATAAACTTAAAAAACTCAACAATGTGGACTGAAGCCTTATACTTAAGGCAGGCAGTGGTTTCCAAACTGAGAGGTAGGGACAGACTAGTACTGAGGCAGATGTATAAAAGTAACAGAAATATAATATTTTATATATATATATATATATATATATATATATATATATATATATATATATATATATATATATATATATATATATATATATATATATATAAATCAGTACTATGATGTCACAGTAGCATTGTGTGTCCTAGCAGTCAGTTTAAATGTTGCTGATATATCAGTTTAATCATCATCATCATTCCTTTCAATTTCTTTGCTGATTCTGTAAATCTGATCTCTGAAATTTTAAACCTTTTGTTGATTGAAGAGAGGATGGTGTATTCAGATGGTAGAGCTTATGACAGCTAACATGACAGTATCAAGTTTGGATCCCAGGCTTGAGTTTATAAGATGTTTCTTGAGCCCGCCCAGCTTTGATGGGTACCTGTTCACGTTGGGGAAACTATGGTGGCTGGTTGTAGTGCTGACCACACTATCCCCCTGTATGCCGAGGTGATTGAAAAAGATTAGCTCTACTTCATTTGCTCATATATTGGGCACAAAAGGGGAAAAGATGATTGATTAAAGACATTGCAGTGGAAAATTGACAGGCAAAAATGTCCAAGAATCAAACTTTGTGCTAACAATTTTATTTGCATGACCAGTTGTGTTAGAGCAGGGATCTCCAAACTTTTCAGTCCGAGGGCCGCATTAACTATCAAATTTCAGTTTGGGGGCCAACTTCTTCCAGGAATGTCTTTGATTTTTCTGGGCAAAGTTCCTCAGCCATCACCATCAAACGGTTTTTCCGTGGACAAAAAGATCTCCGCGGGCCGGATGAGAGGACAACGCAGGCCGCATCCGGCCCACGGGCTGTAGTTTGGAGACCCCTGTGTTAGAGCATTGTTGATAAAATACTAGGTAAACAAGATCATTGTGACAAGTTTGTATGTTCAGAACCCAACTGATGGTGTTGATATATTTGTGTATGTTTAATACATTGAGGCCAACAGATACATTAGAAAATATTCTAGTTTGACAACACAGATAAAAGTTCTAATGCAATTTAATAATTTAATCAGAAGAGCAGAGAGAAGGCAAGCAACTAAAAACTGCTTCAGGCACAAGACAAGCTTTATAGTTTACAAAGACCTTTTTTAAAATATAAGAGATAAAATTATTTATTATGTGAGTCACTTATAAAATTCACTGAAGTTAAAGACTAATTTAAAATAAACACTCAAAGATGATAATATTTCTAAAAACTTACTGAAGTGCCTAATTTTCAATACAAAAATAATTTGGTTGATAAATTTGATTATTTCATAATTTTATTTTTTTTAATTAATTAACATATTTTAATAAATAAATTTTAATCACAGAGTTACTTCCCATTGTAAATTAAACTAAAAAAGAGAGACAACCCCTGACTTTTATTCCCAGTACCTGTTGAATGTTAGACAAATTCAACAATGAAGAAATAAAGAGGGTAATCTTTTAATATTATTTTGCCTAACATCAGTGTCAAATACATAATGTGAACTTTTGTCATCTGTTTTTTATTCATATACGCTAAATTATAAATTGAAACAGAAAACTATATCTATATTAAATAATCCATTTGAAGAGTTTAGAAGTTTAACTTTTATCACGTGCTAGATGCGATTTGCTGATATTATGCTTTATTGACACTTTCGGTTATACTTTAGCAGTAGGCCTCAACAAAGGTCATAAAGTAACTAAAACTGAAAAATTGAAAGTGGCAGAAAGAACAGTCCTACCCTAGAAAGGGGACTGCCACTTAGCATGCAAATTCCTTAGGGGATCTTGTTAGAGAAATTGCTGGATTTTCAACAAATGAAAGAAGATGTCAAGAGTTGCTGAAGACTTCCAAAGATGAGTGTGCTCTTAAGTATTGCAAAAAGAGGGTGGGGTACCCATGTTAGAGGTAAAAAGAAGAAGAGAAGAAATGCAAGTCACTCTTCCGAAGATGAAGAGAGACCAACAACAGCAACATGCAAAATAATTTAGTTTAACAAAAAAAAATTAATTAAAAAAAAAATTACACTTCATAGGGTGGGGTCTCTGAAGCAGATGAACTCTACTTCATCTACCCCAGGGGCTGGCAACCTGTGGCTCATGAAAAAATATTGTTCTGCAACACTCAGCAATGAATGATGTAATAATAAATATAAACAATAAACACTTGCTATTCAATTAGAATATTGAGTTACTCCATACTTCAATATACTTCCTATTAAAGTTTCATTCACAAATTGAAAAATTTAACGTCATGTTGGATATCAATAAGAAACTAAACGAGCTAAATGTAATACTGCAAGGAAAAGAAAACCCAGCCTATGCCTTGCTGGAAGAAGTGGATTGTTTCGAAAAAAATTACTTGTCTTTGTTGAAGACAAGGAGAGCGGTAAATTACCTAATTTTTAAAAAAATCTTTAAAAAAAATTTCGTGATGAAACCAAGGCTGCTCTTAACATGATTCACTTCAGCGTTACTATAAACAAAATGAAGGATGGATTCCTGAGAGATTTGAGCAATTCAAAACAAACGCAAGTACTTTGACGTTCATGGTAGATTCTCTCAACACAAAAACAAATGAGATCAACATTGAGCCATTTTGAAGTGATGCTAGTTCGCTTCAAATGGAAATGCTGGATTTGAAAACCAAACATTTGTGGAATTGTAAATTTTCCGAACTCAAGAGCAAGTTGCAAGAGTTGAAGGTTAAGAAAAGCATGCAAGTTACACTTCGCAAGTACACAGCTAAACTAACTTTCAAAGGGAATGAAAGGCCAATGTTCCACTGATATAACTAATATTCAATGATAATAATTTTATTATTTGATTAATAATTTTATTATTTTAGCAGAGGTATCTAAAATACTTTATTATGTTTTGTGCATTCCATTGGTTCTGACACTGGTAACAGTATATATTTTCTATATAAATTCCATTATGTTCGGGGGGTGGTAGACTTTCTAAGCTGGAAGAAACTCTGCATAGGTCCTATCATACCAGTGTTTTAAGTGTTTTAGATATGATCTGTCGAGTGAGAAATGTTTTGTTTTCAAATACGAGCAAAATTTGAGATACGAGTAACCTGTTCAGAGGATTACATAGTTTGATGGAAAGAAACACCCCAAAAAGTTGCAGCTGGTTAAGCATAGGAGCTAGTTAACCACACTCGCATAACTTATTTCCACTATATGATGATGAAAGGTAGGAACAAAAAAAATCTCATTGGAAAGGTTTTTTTTAAACGGCATGCAGGTAAAAGTGGTGAAAGCATGGCAAAATAAAGGCAAAGAGCAGTGGATAGAATTGACAAAAACAAAGCTTAAATAACACAACTAGTACAGCAGCATTTAGGTTCAATTATGTTCAGTGAAGTTCAATTAAGCTGAGGGATAAAGTATAGCATTAAGAGTGTAATGAGTAGATGTTTGATTAAGAGTGTAATGAGTAAATGAATTTAAGTGACCAAAGAGTTTAGAAAGGAATGAAGCATCTACCTGTCCCCTCTACACCTCCATCAGCATCCTCCATAAGCTTAAGTCAGCAAATTAAATACATTTTTAAAATTTATTTACATTCTTTTATAATTTCTTTATACAATATTTGTCAAAACTTTTGTTTTTCACATGACTGTTTTCCTGTTTGTTCAAGTTTTTGAATGAGTATATAACGATGATTGTAAGTGTTAATCAATGTATCATTCCAGTATTAACATTCTACCAGAGTAGAGTACATAGTTTCTATGTAGAACATCAACTCACCACTGTATTCTAGGGTTTGTGTGTTTTTGTTGTTGGTAATTTAGAACAGTCTGTGATTTAGGTTGTGTAGATAGTGGATCAAAGTTTTATTATTGTAATTTTGAATGGGTCTTTGTTTCATTTAGTCCTGGTGTTTGTTACCTGTTTGTGGTTTTGTATTGAAAGGTTGTGTGATGTGCAAGATTGTCCATACATGACTGACAGTGTGTTCCCAACAGAAACCCTCATCAGTTACAAAATCCCGCCTACACCAGTGAATGTATATAAAAAAGTCGGGTTGGAGGTTGGGAAGGCGACAGAATTTTTGGGTTTTCAAAGAGAAACAAAAAGTTTGAAAAACAGCTGAATTAAGGGCTTTGGACTATAAATTAGATACCAATTCAGTTTACAAGCTTTGAATTTATTGCTATGTTGGTAATGAGACAAACCTCTAAGGCTTGCATCAGTGTTGGAGCTGCCTCTATAGACTCCTTGGTCTCCTTTGGTTTTGGTGGCTTGACCACTCTGGTCAATACTTTTTTCTTCACAACTCTTTCTTGCCTGACCTTTTTCTAGAGGAATATATATATATATATTTCATGTATAGAAAGTATATTCAAGCGTAATTTTTTCCCTTTATTTAATCAGTGATAAAAGCTAACAAAATGGAACTGTACCTATTTATTTAAAAGAGACAAATTCAGCTGTAGAATGTGAATTTGCCTTATTTTATACTCTGCCTCTGCATAAGATAATATCATAAATAAGTTCCATACTGTTTCACTACCAACAGCCAATTAGCTGGTCAGTAACTGACCATCAACTTACCAATAACTCACCATCAACTAATTAATAACTGAATAACTACCGACAACTCACCAATAACTGATTATCAACTGACCAGCAACTCACCAATAACTAGACAATAACTGACATATAACTGACCAATAACTCACCATCAACTGACCAATAACTACCAACAACTGACTAGCCAAACCTACCTCAGCAACAGCAGGTTCTGGCTCCACCTTTTTGGCCTGTCCAGTCTCCACATAACGTTTGGCTGCTCCTCCCTGTGCTGTTGATCTGGCCAGTGATTTGGCCTCCTTTATCAAGCTCTGGGCATCAACTGTAACCCCACTGAAGCCAAATTTTTTTCTGGCCACAGTTGGCTGGGGGTCTGTGGCTTCAACCTTCTTTTTCTCTTCTTTGGGTTTTAAAATAACAAATTAGATATTTTTTAACAAAAGAATTACATCTGTATTAATGATGTACTAAAAATTGCTGTACAATACACTGAATCAAAATCTCTTATTAAATAAATATTGCCGGGGTCTTTACACATATTTTCAAATTACTATATTACAAAAATAAGAATTGATACAGAACCAATTAAATAGTTTAGAAAAATGGCATAACTGATTATTTAATAAGACATTTATTAGTAATGATTTACCTTTTTCTTTTTCTTTCCTTAAGAATCGGCTGATTTCATCATCTTCAAATTTTAAATCTTCAGCTTTGTGCGTGGTAGTCTCCTCTTTCCATGCACTTGATTTCTCTACCTAGAGATGCATTCCGTTTTTAAAACACCAGAGAAAATGTATTCCATCAGAATTTACAATGAGAAAATAATATTTCAAGTCCTTGTTAATTTTAAATTAATATTTTTTGATAAATATGATTTCAAGGCTTCCAGATAAAGTTGACTGAGAGAAATATTGTTTTGCATTTGAACATTTCATGAGATAAAATGTGAACTTTTTATTTTTATTTTCTGTTAAAATATTTAAACATATAACAACTTCGTATTTAAAATGAAGTATTACAATAACCATCAACCCACAAACCCTTGTTTTACAAAGTGCTAATGAAAGTTGAGATCTACATCCTTTTTTGAATGATAGATGTGCTAATACAAGTTTTGACCTATATCCTATGTTGGAAGATGTGCTAATACAAGTTTTGACCTTTATCCTATGTTGGAAGATGTGCTAATTCAAGTTTTGACCTTTATCCTATGTTGGAAGATGTGCTAATGCAAGTTTTGACCTATATCCTATGTTGGAAGATTTGCTAATACAAGTTTTGACCTATATCCTATGTTGGAAGATGTGCTAATACAAGTTTTGACCTATATCCTATGTTGGAAGATTTGCTAATACAAGTTTTGACCTATATCCTATGTTGGAAGATGTGCCAATAAAATTTTGACCTACTTCATGTCATATAAAATTTGACCTACTTCCTCAGAGTCATCCAACAAGTCTGGTGTGGGAGGGTTTGATGGCTCTGGTGTTGGGCCTGGAGATTTGCCGAACTTTGGGAAAGAAAATCTTATCGGCTCCTCTATTTTGTTTTTCCTCTTGTCCCTGGTGGATTTGGCCTTGTTCTCGGAGGCCAGGTGCATCCTCAGCTTCCTCTTGAGGACTGGGTACAGGATGAGAATGTGCTTAGTACAGTGAACTTCTAGATCCATATTTTAAACAAACCGTAAAACATGTTGGCTGTATTGGTGTGCATGGAAAAAAAACATAACTCAAACTGGAAGTTTAAAGTATAATAATCAAGACATGGTTTAAATTTAATTTATAAAGTTTAAATTATTTTATTTACAAATTATTTTCATGATGATACAGTTTAAAAAAAACAGCACATTTCTTAATTTTAAAAATAGTATCACTAACAATTCATTATAACTTTTTTTAAAAATAATTAGAAGTTCCTGATTGGTTGATAAAATAGGGTCTTGAAATATGGAACAAATTTCACTTGATTACATTTTTTTTTTCATTATAGTTAGACAAAAATTTATAAATAGTAATTCATTCTCATTATAGATATATTAATCTCTTTATTTGAACTGTACTTAATTAAAAAGGGGTGTAAGAAAGAGCTAAAATGCAGCATTGTTGAATTGGGTTTCTGCTAATATATATGTTCATACAGTAAGTATTGTATCAGTCAATTTACTTCGGTTTAAAAGCCATATAAAAGAAGGCAAAAAAAAAAAACTTTTAGCTGCACTCTTAGTCACAGAAGCTATGAAAACATTTTTTTAATAGTTTTTTTTTAAAAACATTTTGTTTTGTAACATTAACTTCCAGAAAAGACTTCAAAAGCAAACAGAAGGGGAAAAATAAACCATAAATAAATGAAGCATAAAAAAAGAAACGTAGATATGCTAAAAATAAAAAGCCACACACAAAAAAATATTTTTAGTATATTATAGTTTTTTTTTAGTTGAAGAGAGTAGTTTAAAATATAATCTTGATTCTGTGTAATAAAAAGTAATGAACATTAAAAAAGAAAATTCTTGAGGGATTAAGCATGAAAGAAATTTAAAAAAAAACATTAAAATGTTTCACAAAGACAGATAATAAAGAAATTTTAAGTTGTTAATGGTGGATATAGATGTTACCACAACTTTTCTTCATCTTAAATAATGCTGTTAGAAAATCAGTTCAAAAAATCAACGAGAAAGCAAAAAGCAATGTTGATTAAACACAGAGCAAGGTACCAGTGCTTCTGCTTTCTTTGGCTTTCTTTTGTTCATGGATCAGCTGTCTGGCATCTTTCTTCTCTGTTAAAATTTGGGCAGATAAATCATGGGTAGTTGATGAGAGTTATCCCCAAACAAAATGGCAGAACAATAGCAGACAAAAAATAGCCCTGTTTCTTCTATATAAAACTAGGTCTTAGCATTGATGTAGCATATTACAATTCATTGTAAGGATAAAAATTGATTAAAATTAATTAAAACCTGCATGTTTCTTAACACAAAATCTTAAACGATTTCTGTCTCTTTAAGGATAAAATTTTCAAGTGCAATCATGTTTTTATGATGACTTGTATATTTATTACTCTAGTTCATATAACAAGACCTACAAATGAAACTATTCATAGTGAATGAAACTATTTAAAGGTTAGAAAAAACATCCACTTTTCCATGTTTATGACATATTCAAATTTTTTTTTGTTTCACTGGATAGTGGTATTATACTCACATGATGATTTTAAATAACTATATTTTAAACAATGATATAGATTAATTTTTTCTCTTAATATTTAGTTTTCAACAATATTTAATAATATATTTCAACTATATTAAGGTAGTTTGTTTCAATGTGTTATATATGTGGGAAAAAATTGTTTATTCTTTCAAAAAATACTCAATTAGTTGTTGAGGCCATATATTTTAAACATTTTAAGTAGTTGTTCAGTCATGAGTTTGTTGAGGTAAATACCAAAAAGCTACCTCTTTCAAACCTACTCAAGTAGTTGTTTACGCAGTAGCAATTTGTTGGAGTAAAGAAAAATTATAAGTTAACTCTTTCTAATTTATGTCATTGTCTAGGGACAGTTTTGTTGGGATAAAAAAAATAGCCAGCTACCTTTTTCAGACATTTTAAGTAGTTGTTCAGTCATGAATTTATTGAGATAAAAAAAAACAAGCTACCTCTTTCAGACATTTTAAGTAGTTGTTCAGTCATGAATCAGACATTTTAAGTAGTTGTTCAGTTATGAATTTGTTGAGATAAAAAAAACCCAAGCTACCTCTTTCAGCCAGTTGGTCCAGGGTTTTCTTCATGTGCAGCAGCAGCTCATAGCTGGAGACCTTGTAGTCCAGCATGTGGTCAACTAGTGAGAGCCGCCTGCGAGGCGTTGAGTCGGGGGATGAGTAGATCTCTGTTGGTGCCATGGAACATCTGGACTCTGGCAAAGGTTCCTGAAGTAAAAGATCTTGATTTGAAATATTTTTTCAGGAAATACTTGGAATAGGCTGGTAGAGCATCAGAGCGCCTGATAGCTAACTAAAATAAAGTTTGATTTCTGACTCAAGTATGTAAGATGTTCTTGAGTCCACTCAGCGCTGATGGGTACCTGACTCAAATTAGGGAGAGGCAGCTTGGCATGCCGACTACACTTTTTCTTTATATGCCAAGGTCAAAGAAACATTACTGATGAGTACCTGACTCAAGCTTTAAATATACCGAAATCACAGAAACAAGCAAACTCTACTTCATCTGCCATACAAACTATCAGGTCAGAATACTTGTTTTTACAATTTAAAGCTTATACTGTTATATCTGTTACATTTTAGGGTCAGGGTGAGAAACTAAGATTGGCTTAAGATCTACTTTGTTAATTAAGGGGATATGCGCGGAAAAAATCACAAAATTTCTTGTTTTTCGTCATGATCGGTTTCTAGCACTTTTGGATACTTTGTCCATTTTTGTATAAAGAAAATAATAACTTTAAAGAGAAAAAAATATTCTATGTGTTTGAATTACGATTTTTATGACCCTATTAATTAAAAAATAATCAATTTTTCCCAATCTTACAAGCTCTCTATGAAAAGTTTTTTTATCCGTCATTATATTGTATTTGACATCATTGGAAAGCTGGATTTCTCATGTATCTAATAAACTTAATTTCATACATCTCGGAAACACCCAAAGCTTACAATCGGCTTTGCAGTTTACACAGATATGGTACTTTCCTGACCTCGTTTTTGTTACTTTTGGCTGTTTTTCTCAGTTCGCATGTTTTTAACACTAAAAAGCCTACTACTTTTTTATTTATTAAACAATGCCAACCATATTTTCAGTAATTGTTCTTGATGCAAATATACAATTTTTGTCACGAGGGAATTGTGATTGCTTTCATAGAAAAAAAGTATTTCGTAATTAATATGCAAATTTTGAAACTTTTGAATACTAAAAAGGGTACGATTTTTTAGACCTTGTAAAATTCTTACTAGTAATTATTTCAAAAAGTTGTCGTGACAAAAGTTTTAATATATACTGAAATATAAGCAGTTTAAATTTGATTGCTATAGGAGCATAAATAAAAAAGCCTTAGTATTTTTAAAAGTACCGAAAAATTCAAAATGGCGGAGGTTTTTTGGGTTTCCATGACAACCAAAATTGTTTTAGATTCTTTTTTTTGCTGTTTAATACTTACTTTTATATGCCAAATATGATAAAAGTATTCAAAAGGCTTTAGATCTTAAACTGTAAAAAATAGAAAAAAACATAGCATATCCCCTTAACTCGAGCTTTATTTTCTAAAATTTGTTTTAAGAATGAAATTCAGCCAATTGTTTAATATAGTATTCCAAATTTTACCTACATTTTTTACACAGAAAATCAAATTACCTGTTTTTTAAGTACTTCAGGGATGATCTGTATTTTCCCTTCCAGGAAATCTTTAGAAAATTCAATGTCATAAGGAATCTGCCCAAAAAATGTACAGCATTCAGCATAATCATAGCAGTATAAAATTTAAAAAAAAAAATGATGGAACACATGTAAATTTAGACTGATTACAACAGACATTGATGTTTATTACACAGAGCTAGTAAGCTATGCTGATTCTCATTATGCTTTAAAAAAATGAAACATCAAGCAAAATGATGCGGCCAGTTTGTTATTTATAACAATTCTTCTTTATATTTTTAATCATTTATCTGTTGCCTGGGTACCGTATGGCAAATAGTTGTTAAGTCTCTTCACAAAATCTGTTGCTGTTTTTTATTGGTTTTAACTAAAGAGTTACTAGCAGTTGGGTCAACTAAGAAAAGATTAAGAAGTTGTGGGGTGGAATGGCCTAGCGGTAGAGTTCTAGACTGCCAACCCAAAAGTCAAGAAACATATTAACTTTACTTCATCTGCCCATTGGATCGCTAGGTCTAATGAAAAATCATTGCTAGGTGGGTTAACTAGCAAGAGACAATAAAGCTCCTACTAGGTGGGTTAACTAGCAAGAGACAATAAAGCTCCTACTAGGTGGGTTAACTAGCAAGAGACAATAAAGCTCCTACTAGGTGGGTTAACTAGCAAGAGACAATAAAGCTCCTACTAGGTGGGTTAACTAGCAAGAGACAATAAAGCTCCTACTAGGTGGGTTAACTAACAAGAGACAAAAGAGCTCCTACTAGGTGGGTTAACTAGCAAGAGACAATAAAGCTCCTACTAGGTGGGTTAACTAGCAAGAGACAATAAAGCTCCTACTAGGTGGCTTAACTAACAAGAGACAAAAGAGCTCCTTGTAGGTGGCTTAACTAGCAAAAGACATAAGAGCTCCTACCAGATAGTTGTCCAGTGAAATAGGATCAGGGTATGGAGCAACTCCTTCATAGACCACAGCAGGATCTTCATAAATCATTGACTCTAAAACAAGGTTTTATTTTAGATTAGACATTTCAGGAAAAAAAAAAATTATATCTAATTTTAAATGTTTAATTTTATGCTGTAAAATGTCAACTAAAATGTTTCTACAATTTATTTTCATAAAATTACCTTTATCAAAAGAGTCAACATCTGATTCAGGTATAGATAACTGTGAACATACTGTGAAAACAGGTTGATCTAATTATTTGTTAATTTCTATAAAAAATAATATGAAATAAAATATACAGAAAGGAAATGCATCATACACTAATAGCTGATTCAGAGTAAACATGATTTTGCCTGTATAAGATGACTTGAGTTTGAGTTTTGTGAATGAGTACTTACATTTGGAATGGTCGATATAGAAAAGATGTTTCTGGAAGCCAACAACCAAGTCCCCCATGTTGTTGAGAAAACAAGCAGCAGACAAGCTGGTGTCCAGCATCACCTCAGTCAGCAGTGCCGTGTTTTCATCCCAGATTTTTATTGCCCCATCAGTGCTAAATATGGACACAATGTTCTTTGTTAATGTTAATTACACCTGAACCCCACATAAGTGCTATCTATGGATGGAATGTTCTTTGTTAATGAATCCAATATCAGTGCTAGTATGTAATTTTTTAATAATTTTAAATCTATATACTACTAAAAGTCAAGTTTGTTTACATGTTTGAATATTTATTTGTTTTTTTGTTTGTTTTTTTGTTTGTTTTTTTTTTGTTTGTTTTTTTGTTTGGCTGATTGACTATTGCACATGGTTGCACTCATCGTGGAGAGCTGTAAAATAGTATGTAGGTAGAGAAAAAATTTTGTTTTAAGACAGACTGTTAATCACACATTTATTTAAAGACGTTAATTAATTTATTGATTTATTCATACGTAGAGTAACCCTATTTTTTTAAAAAGTTTAGAACGACCACTACACTCGGCGGGACCGTGACGTCACAGTTTTTTGTTTACTCTTTAGTACAATAAAATGGCGGCGTCTATCGAAGAAAATTGTGTTCCCATTCAAAAGTTTAACGCGTTCTAAATCTAATTTTCTGTCGGTCATAACTTTAACAATACGTCCGTTTGCTGTATTTATTACGTTCCAACACTTACATCAATTTTCAACTGTCTTTTTTCATTTAGTTTTACAATAAATTTCTCTAGATCTAAAGATCAGCTGTCGAAGGAAAGTTATGAATCTAGCCTAGATCTAGCCTAGATCTAGGTCACTAGACTCAATGTAATGTAAATTCTAGATCTAGACTTAATGTAAATTCTACATCTAGAATCTATTTCAGGCCTTAATACATCTAGAATCTATTTCAGGCCTTAATTATTTTATATAAATCTTTGTTTGGCTAATTTAAGATAAAATTTAATTTGAAAGTTACTACTACTAGACTTAGATCTAGATCTATGCGCGTAAATCAAGTTGCATAAGAAGACTCAAAGTATAGTATAAAAATTCATTTGTGACGTCACAAGTAAATAGCTAAGTTGGTAGTGTAGGCGGCTCTCATGCGGGTGGCACAGGTTCTAGACCAATATGTCAATGATATTTTTTTTTTCAATTTTTTTTTTTAGATGTGAATGATAAAGTTGCCTATCTGAACTTGGCAGGATACAGGGCAGGTGAAGTAGAGTTCATCTGTTTCTTTGTCCTAAGCATATGAAAGGATAGTGTGGTCAGAGACATGCTCGGCTGGAATCGTTTTTTAAACGATAAAAACATGTTGTCTGAGACTTGGCGGGACACTGGGCAGGTGAAGTAGAGTTGAATAGGTCACATGTGACGTCAGTATATGAAGGGATAGTCCGAAATCAGTGTTTTCTGTGTTTTTAAAAGATAAGAAACATATTTTTGAATGTGGGGTCTGTTTTTTGTGACGATAAGTGACACTGCAGTAGCGTAGCGAGGAGGGGGGGGCGGGAGGGGAGGCGGGGGGAGGTGGAGTGGGGAAGGGGGGGGTGGCGGGGGGGACATATGTTGGGGCGCCAAAATGGTTTGGAAAAATAAATTGAAAGGTTGAGGGGGGTTCAAATCGAAAGTTTGAATGGGGGGGGGTGCACATCAAAAGTTTGAGGGGGGGGGTTGAAAATCGAAATCTTGGGGGGGGGGGGGTTAAAATCGAAAAGTTTGTCCCCGGACGCCGGGAAGGGTCGCTATGCCTCTGAGTGACAGACGTGATGTTTTTTGATGGATGACCCCCGAAACCCACAGTTATCCAACGGATGACGGGTATTCTAGTATACTACTAAAAGTCAAGTTTGTTTACATGTTTGAATATTTATTTGTTTTTTTGTTTGTTTTTTTGTTTGTCCGATCGAGTATTGTGATATGTTCTACTCTATCTGGAGAGCTGTAAAATAGTATGTAGGTAGAGAATAATTTTTTAATGCAGACAGACTGTTAATCACAAATTTATTTAAAGACGTTAATTAATTTATTGATTTATTCATACGTAGAGTAACCCTATTTTTTTTAAAAGTTTAGAACGACCACTACAATCGGCGGGACCGTGACGTCACAGTTTTTTGTTTACTCTTTAGTACAATAAAATGGCGGCGTCTATCGAAGAAAATTGTGTTCCCATTCAAAAGTTTAACGCGATCTAAATCTAATTTTCTGTCGGTCATAACTTTAACAATACGTCCGTTTGCTGTATTTATTACGTTCCAACACTTATATCAATTTTAAACTGTCTTTTTTCATTTAGTTTTACAATAAATTTCTCTAGATCTAAAGATCAGTTGTCGAAGGAAAGTAATGAATCTAGCCTAGATCTAGGGAGGGGGGGAAGGGGGGGGGGAGGGGGGGACATATGTTGGGGCGCCAAAATGGTTTGGAAAAATAAATTGAAAGGTTGAGGGGGGTTCAAATCGAAAGTTTGAGTGGGGGGGGGGGGGGTGCACATCAAAAGTTTGAGGGGGGGGGGGGTTGAAAATCGAAATCTTGGGGGGGGGGGGGGTCAAATCAAAAAGTTTTTCCCCGGCGCCGGGAAGGGTCGCTATGCCTCTGAGTGACAGATGTTTTTTTATGGTTGACCCCCGAAACACACAGTTATCCAACGGATGACGGGTATTCTAGTACTTCCTAATATTCAAACTAAAGAATTATATGAAGGCCAACATGTAATGAAACATGTCAGAACAAAACATGCAGCCCTTCACAACAGTGTGACTTCACTAGCACCTCTGGTTAGATTGAGATTATTGTTAATTAACTTTATATTCATGTATGCTAACACTTGGGAGAGGGGGGAGGGAATTAAAAGCACAAGAATAATGTATTAAAAATAATAATCATAACTTTAAATACTTTTTAAAGTTTTTTTTATATCATATTTTACAGAGTTAAGATTTAACAGCGATAGCCATCATACTATTTATCTTATTGATATACAGTTGTTTCCGTAAAAACGCACAAACAAAATAAAGTGGAAGATGCTGAACTTCTGTGACTGGACACATAAGTAAAGTCTGACCTGCATGAGCAGAAGATTTTGACAGCAGGGCAAACATCAACAGCAATGACAGCAGCCAGGTGTTCAGGTTTGTGCTGTTCATCCAGCAGCTCTTCAACAGCTGGTATTGCTGTAACAGAATTTTTAATTACAACTTCTTTTAACTACAGCATTTAATCTAGGCAGCTCTTCAACAACTGGTATTGCTGTAATGGAATTTTCATTACAACTTTTTTATTTACAACATTTAGGCTAGGCAGTTCTTTAACAGCTCGTATTGCTGTAACAGATTTTTAATTACAACTCTTTTATCTACAACATTTAAGCTAGGCCAGGCAACCTTTTGAGGTGGAAGAGCCAAAAGTTACAATTTACAAAATTGCCCAGTTTTTAAAGAACCATTAATAATTGTTCTTCAATATTATGGTATTTGATTAGGATTAGCTAAATAATTTTTTTTTTAAATGGGTTTAAGTATGAAAAAATATTTATTCATATAAAAACATACACGTTTCTCACAAAACATAATAAAGTATTTCAACTAGTTCTTTTAGGATAATAAAATCCAAATATAAAACCATCCCTACCTAATTTAGAAGCTAACAACTATAAGACTATGTCAATCTAGTTAAATTAATGCACACTAAACATACTAAAATGCCTTCTGAATAACATAACCTTTACTATTAAAAATATTTTTTTTTTAAATGTGCGCTTCGGTAGTGGAAAGCATGGAACCACTGCGACGGCGCTGGCCACATCACAGTTGTTGAGCTGGGCCTTGTGTCCATGCAGCTGTCAGCTGTTTGTATATGCTCTACTCCACTTATTCTTAGTGTTTTTATTTTGTTTAAAATTGTTTTTCAGTATAATATTTTTATGCGTTATGAAAATAAAATAATTATTATGGAACTAGCGAGCCGGATCCTGACATCGAAAGCGAGCCGCAGGTTGCCTACCCCTGAGCTAGGCAGTTCTTCAACAGCTGGTATTGCTGTAACAGATTTTATATTACAACTCTTTCATCTACATCATTTAAACTAGGCAGCTCTTCAACAGTTGTTCTTGTTGTAATGTCATTTTTAATTAAAACTACTTCATAGACAACCTTTGCCCTAAGCCACTCAGTGACTACACTTCTTTTAAATTGCTCACTGCAGTTTTTTTTTTAAATGACATATACAATATTCTCTTCACATTTCATCAACTTAAACCCAGATTCAAACTTGATGAGACTTCCAGGTTAGCAGTCTAGAGCCCTACCATAATCATATAATAACTTCCTAATTTTGGATGTAGCTCCAATAAATCTAGTTGTAATACATATTTTAAAGAGCTACTCCTGTGAACAGTTAAGTTGGGAATTCATTAAGTTTTGGCTTACTCTTAGGTTTATTGAGGCCAAGGTCAGTGGCTGGTTCCATGGAATGAAAGATGATATGTCCACTGTAATAGCCAGTCATTAGATAATTGCCCTGGTTTTAGGATAAAAAAAAACCATTGAATGAAAGATGATATGTCCACTGTAATAGCCAGTCATTAGATAATTGCCCTGGTTTTAGGATAAAAAAAAACCATTGAATGAAAGATGATATGTCCACTGTAATAGCCAGTCATTAGATAATTGCCCTGGTTTTAGGATAAAAAAAAACCATTGAATGAAAGATGATATGTCCACTGTAATAGCCAGTCATTAGATAATTGCCCTGGTTTTAGGATAAAAAAAAACCATTGAATGAAAGATGATATGTCCACTGTAATAGCCAGTCATTAGATAATTGCCCTGGTTTTAGGATAAAAAAAAACCATTGAATGAAAGATGATATGTCCACTGTAATAGCCAGTCATTAGATAATTGCCCTGGTTTTAGGATAAAAAAAAACCATTGAATGAAAGATGATATGTCCACTGTAATAGCCAGTCATTAGATAATTGCCCTGGTTTTAGGATAAAAAAAAAACCATTGAATGAAAGATGATATGTCCACTGTAATAGCCAGTCATTAGATAATTGCCCTGGTTTTAGGATAAAAAAAAAACCATTGAATGAAAGATGATATGTCCACTGTAATAGCCAGTCATTAGATAATTGCCCTGGTTTTAGGATTAAAAAAAACCATTGGATGAAATATTGAGAAACACAAAATGATTTTTTTTTAAAAGGCAATTAGAAAATTTTTTATAAGCATGGATAAACATTGAAGAGAATATATAAATAATACTTAAGGATATTTTAGCGGGTACCAAATTGTAAGGGACCATATATTGTCTTTACACATATTTCATTCACTTTATTTTTTATTTTATTGTTATCTAAAGGTTTAGTAGAATGTCCACCTAGCTCTAATGGGTACCTAACTCATGTTAGGAAAAAGAAAGGTAGCCGGGTCTCTGAAACAGATGAACTCTACTTCATCTGCCCCAAGTGTCTTGGGCACGAACAGCGAAAAGAGAGGGATATAAAAGTTACTTTGTGTTACTAGTATTGTAATGTGTGTTTTATAATTTTTGGTAGGTAATTTTCTTTTTTGACCAATTTTAATATAACTTATTACTAAGTAAAAGATACATATTTTAATTTACCAATCTGGCATATCCCCCAAGGTCAGGGGCAGTGAAGACCTCATGCAACATGGTCAAGTTGGGCAGACTCCAGATATGGACAAGCATGACCCCTTTGGGCTTGTACAAGGTGTTCAGGCAGTCATGTGACGTGTCATGTGATATATCCAACACCTGAGAGGAAATCATTTTAATAAAACAACCAAAACATGGTAGAAACTTTAACTTTCTGAAACTATAAATGTGTATTAGTATGATGGACTGTGTTTCAATAACAAATATTTTATCTGGTAAGTAATTGGGCTTTAAAAAAATAATACTTTTACTAAACCATGCTCTGATTTGTTAAAATGTAAATTTTTTAAGTGTATTTGAAAAGTTTTATTTTGTTAAATTACTTACAGCATCTTTTCCTGTCTTGAACTCCAGGTATCTCTGACCTTTAACCACTGGATCCATGAACAAAATTCTGCCATCCTGTTCATAAATGTTGTATAGATATGCTTTTAGGTTTTCTAGATATTTAAGGCTGCTTTGTAATATATCAAACACAACCATAAACATTATGGTGCATAGTGCATTTCTTATAGAGTTCATTTCTTATTATGGCCATTGCTTCAAATAGAATGTCTGATAAGATTAATACATCCCCCATTCCAGCACAGACCCTACAAACACACTTAAAACTCCATCTTTATGTGAATTAAATAGAATTTGTAATTGCTCCTATCCATTCTAAATAAAATAGTATAAGCTCTACGTAAAACAAAAAAATCCAGCCAGATAAGACATCATTTTTTTAAAATTTACTTTCTATTATATGGTAATATTATACAGTATACTAATCCAGTCCAAGTATAAAAATATTATTTGAAACAGCTGAAACATTCCAATCCACTTTACCTCCAGACCAAGAAGAAGAAAAATATCCTGGCTAGTGAGCACTGAGCCTTGGTCTGTCCACATGACCACAGGTGAGTTGAGTACAGCCAGACAACAGCAGTTGGAAGGTTGAACATTCCCGGCCACATTCTCTGTTGCCCTCTTTACTGGTCCAGATTTACTTAAGGTCATCCTGCAGGGTAAATTACTTCTTTACTTAAAGTTAAGACAACTTGCTGGACTGATTTACAAGTATAGTCATTAAATAGCAAAATAACAATGCCCAATTTTAAAGTTAAATTTGAAAAACTTCAGAACCCTCATTGTTAGTAAATTTCTATCATTTGAATGTACAATTTAGATCATGAGTAAAGTTTAGCTTTCAAAGCATTTTTAAGCAGGTGTAGTTCTAGGGAGATGGTGATGTACGTGTTGTTTTTAAGTTTTTTTTTGCTTTAATTTTTAGTGTAGTATAAACTGTATAAATTTGTCCTTCTTGAACTTTACTGACAAAACTTACAAAACTTTCCACTACTTAACAAATCATACTTTGGTAATTGTTCTAAATTTTACCTGAAACAGTAAAGAACAAAAATTTTACTACCTAGAAGGATTGAAGTCCCCTGCACCAGTAACTCTGCTCGCCAAAATGTTGGACTGGATTTCAATCACATTCCAAACTGCTACTCGGCAAGAAGGGTCAGTTCTGATTTTAAAATGTAATTGATATTTCTATTAAAAAATTCATTTTAAAAACACACATCTGCATTAAAATTGTGTTAATGTTAGAACAAGTAAATGATGTTATTTTTAATCAAACGTCTGTTAAACATCATGCACAGCAACTTTAATTTTTTTTTACCAAGTAAAAACAAATAAGATTTTATGCTTACAAAGTATTTTAAAAATTATTAGGCCTATATCCCAAAGTATTTAGCTTCTTTTTTTTTTTATTTATAAACTGTTTCGTATAGTAGTGCAGGCCTACTTAAAAAGTAGTTTAACTAATTAGTTATAGTCTTAATTGCTTAATTATCTTTTGCTTACTAGTTCTATATATTTTACTGAAAGTATTTTAACTACCTTAAAAGTATATATGCATAAAATAGTTCAACTTACCTAGTAGTGTACACCCAAACTTCAGCAGGATTAACTAGCATGTAGATTGTATTGTGTTCTACTTACCTAGTAGTGTACACCCACACTTCAGCAGGATTAACTAGCATGTAGATTGTATTGTGTTCTACTTACCTAGTAGTGTACACCCACACTTCAGCAGCATTAACTAGCATGTAGATTGTATTGTGTTCTACTTACCTAGTAGTGTACACCCAAACCTCAGCAGGATTAACTAGCATGTAGATTGTATTGTGTTCTACTTACCTAGTAGTGTACACCCAAACTTCAGCAGGATTAACTAGCATGTAGATTGTATTGTGTTCTACTTACCTAGTAGTGTACACCCACACTTCAGCAGGATTAACTAGCATGTAGATTGTATTGTGTTCTACTTACCTAGTAGTGTACACCCACACTTCAGCAGCATTAACTAGCATGTAGATTGTATTGTGTTCTACTTACCTAGTAGTGTACACCCAAACCTCAGCAGGATTAACTAGCATGTAGATTGTATTGTGTTCTACTTACCTAGTAGTGTACACCCAAACTTCAGCAGGATTAACTAGCATGTAGATTGTATTGTGTTCTACTTACCTAGTAGTGTACACCCAAATTTCAGCAGGATTAACTAGCATGTAGATTGTATTGTGTTCTACTTACCTAGTAGTGTACACCCACACTTCAGCAGCATTAACTAGCATGTAGATTGTATTGTGTTCTACTTACCTAGTAGTGTACACCCACACTTCAGCAGGATTAACTAGCATGTAGATTGTATTGTGTTCTACTTACCTAGTAGTGTACACCCACACTTCAGCAGCATTAACTAGCATGTAGATTGTATTGTGTTCTACTTACCTAGTAGTGTACACCCACACTTCAGCAGGATTAACTAGCATGTAGATTGTATTGTGTTCTACTTACCTAGTAGTGTACACCCACACTTCAGCAGGATTAACTAGCATGTAGATTGTATTGTGTTCTACTTACCTAGTAGTGTACACTCAAACTTCAGCAGGATTAACTAGCATGTAGATTGTATTGTGTTCTACTTACCTAGTAGTGTACACCCACACTTCAGCAGGATTAACTAGCATGTAGATTGTATTGTGTTCTACTTACCTAGTAGTGTACACCCACACTTCAGCAGCATTAACTAGCATGTAGATTGTATTGTGTTCTACTTACCTAGTAGTGTACACCCACACTTCAGCAGGATTAACTAGCATGTAGATTGTATTGTGTTCTACTTACCTAGTAGTGTACACCCACACTTCAGCAGGATTAACTAGCATGTAGATTGTATTGTGTTCTACTTACCTAGTAGTGTACACTCAAACTTCAGCAGGATTAACTAGCATGTAGATTGTATTGTGTTCTACTTACCTAGTAGTGTACACCCACACTTCAGCAGGATTAACTAGCATGTAGATTGTATTGTGTTCTACTTACCTAGTAGTGTACACCCACACTTCAGCAGGATTAACTAGCATGTAGATTGTATTGTGTTCTACTTACCTAGTAGTGTACACCCAAACTTCAGCAGGATTAACTAGCATGTAGATTGTATTGTGTTCTCTGTCATAGCAGACACTCAGCACTTTTTGTAAGGGAGATATGCTGGGAGGGGGCAGCACTGTGCAAAGATTTTTCCTGTTACTGCGAGCCATCAGACGAACACTGGAAATCAAAAGAATGATTTTTAAACAGGTTTTTTTTTTAAGATTTTAAATTTACAAAGCTTAAAATTCAATTTTGTACTTTCAACAGTGTTAATAAAAAAAATTGTACATAATATAATAAATTTAAGATTTATTTTTAGTTTTTATTTTATTTTACATTAATAGAAGTGATGCTGAACTAAGATTGCATGAATAATAAACAAATATTTTAAAATAAGTTTCAAATTAAAATATTATTGTTAAACCAATATGTGTTAGCCTGCTTTCTTCAATAAACTACCAAATTAAGTTGTGAATTAAAATATCACTGTAAAATTTATATGAACTCACCTGCTATCTTCAAAAACAACCAAACTAAGTTGCCAGATAAAATATTACTGTCAAGCTTATATGTCTTCAGTAACAACAAAACTAAGTTGCCAGATAAAATATTACTGTCAAGTTTATATGAACCTACCTGCTATCTTCAGTAACAACCAAACTAAGTTGCCAGATAAAATATTACTGTCAAGCTCATATGAACCTACCTTCTATCTTCATTAACAACCAAACTAAGTTGCCAGATAAAATTTTGTTGTCAAGCTTATATGAACCTACCTGCTTTCTTCAGTAACAACCAAACTAAGTTGCCAGATAAAATATTGTTGTCAAGCTTATATGTCTTCAGTAACAACCAAAGTAAGTTGCCAGATAAAATATTACTGTCAAGCTTATACAAACCTACCTGCTGTCTTCAGTAACAACCAAAGTTGCCAGATCAAATATTACTGTCAAGCTTATATGAACCTACCTGCTATCTTCAGTAACAACCAAACTAAGTTGACAGATAAAATATTACTGTCAAGTTTATATGTCTTCAGTAACAACCAAACTAAGTTGACAGATAAAATATTACTGTCAAGTTTATATGTCTTCAGTAACAACCAAACTAAGTTGACAGATAAAATATTACTGTCAAGTTTATATGTCTTCAGTAACAACCAAACTAAGTTGCCAGATAAAATATTACTGTCAAGCTTATATGAACCTATCTGCTGTCTTCAGTAACAAACAAACTAAGTTGACAGATAAAATATTACTGTCAAGCTTATACAAACCTACCTGCTATCTTCAGTAACAACCAAACTAAGTTGACAGATAAAATATTACTGTCAAGCTTATACAAACCTACCTGCTATCTTCAGTAACAACCAAACTAAGTGGCCAGATAAAATATTACTGTCAAGTTTAAATTAACCTACCTGCTATCTTCAGTAACAACCAAACTAAGTCGCCAGATAAAATATTACTGTCAAGCTTATATGAACCTACCTGCTATCTTCAGTAACAACCAAACTAAGTTGCCAGATAAAATATTACTGTCAAGTTTAAATGAACCTACCTGCTATCTTCAGTAACAACCATTAGCCTTGTGGTTTTCCCTTTCCTCCTACACAGAGACAAGCTGTTGACTTGACTCCTGGCAAGGGCCCAGAACATTATGTTGTAGTTGAAGTTCCACAGAGTTAGTGTTCTTGGTGTGCTCATGTAGAGCAGGTTGTCATCCGTCAGCCCCATCCACAATATGCCATCCACTGACACCACTAGGCTAATGAATGAAACATAAACTTTATTACAAACTAAAGTTATAAACACAGAATAAATTGAGAGCAGGAAAATAAATTCCATATGTTTGCAGGCAGCCTAAAAGGATTGCTTAATTTATTATTATTTAAATGAAATATTATTACATGCATTACCAACAACCCATTTTTTAAACCCAAGAAAATAATTATTTGTATGAACAGGTATGCATTTAAAAAATTTATTAACATCAGACTTTATGAATAAATAGCAATGAAAACTAATGTAATCCATGTTTTTTTTTTATATTTTAGGACAACATTATAAAACAAAAATTTAAAAATCTAAAGATCAGAAGAGAAATGAGGCTAAAGCTGCTAAAGTGACTAGGGTCCAGATTAGATGAGTCACTGAAAAGTTGAATCACCTACAGGGCTCTTTATCTCATTATAGATACAAAGAAATAACGATGATAATGCTTAGTGGTATTGAAACTTATGACAATGTTTAAACTTTTTAAAGATTTAAAAGCTAGGCCTACCTATAAATAGATTCCATAGTGTCCAGAGACCACATGTGGAGACTGCCGTCCAGTGAACAGGTGACCACGATGCTTGAATTGTAAGGATGCAGGAGTAAGCTGGTCACAGCTCGGGAGTGTCCTCTAAATGTATGCACCAGACCACCCATCAAGCTCCACACCTTGACTAAAGCAAAACACAATCAAAGGCATACAGTAACATAGTGTTTAAGCTATTTGAATCAAATATACGTAGAAGCATCAGGATTTTTTTCTTTTTCAAAGGCATCCAGTAACATAGTGTTTAGGCTATTTGAAACAAATGTACATAGAAGCATCAGGATTTTTTTTTGCAAGATATTCACTTACAAAAACAAGTGGTATATTTCAATTATCTAAAATGTAGTCAGAAGACATAAATGGTTATGATGTTTACTTTGATGTAGTATTTTTTCTAATAATTTGCAGTTTAATAATCACACAGTGTGGGGGATGCAGGGTCATGTGACTACTCTACCCCCCACCCCACATACACACCCACATTTGACTTGCAGTGTGGATTCTTATGTATAAAAGATTTTTTTCATTGAAAACATAAAGAGATGGGAGAATATTTTATATTTCCAAAGTGATTGCTCCCCAAAACTTTTACCAATACTTAAGGCATTAAGTGGATGAAAACTTCCAAAGTAATTGCTTCCCAAAACTTTTACCAATACTAAAGGCATTAAATGGATGAAAACTTCCAAACTGATTGCTTCCCAAAATGTTTACTAATACTAAAAGCATTAAATGGATGAAAACTTCCAACCTTCAGTGTCCAGAGATGAGGTGACCAGAACACAAGCAGTCCTGGAATATCTGCAGCCAGTGATGGTCATTGTGTGAGCTCTACAACAATAAAAATTGTACAGACAAGATTGCTTCATCCATCAGTTATATTGCAAACCTATTTAATCTTAAAGTCATTCAGTCTAATTTTAATTTAGAAAGAGCCTGATATATAAAATATTACAAATATTCAAAAATTGCTTTACTTTGTTTTGATATTGTTAAGTTTATTAGTTTGATATGTTTTAAGCCAACTAGTTTTTATTTAAAAAGTGTTAATTTGCATAAAAAAACATTTTATTTCAGTTCTTCAATAAATATAAGATTCAAAGATTGTGGAAGCTACAGATGAAGGCTGACCTCTCAAATGTTAAGAGTTGCTTCCCATCAAGGTCATACACATGAAGTCCTGTATCACTACAGCAGTACAGCTGTTCCAAGTTATAGTCCATCTCAACTCTCTTCACCCAGCCCCCTCCAACATTTGGCAATTCATATCTGGTTTCATAAACATCAGGGTTTTTTTTAAAACTTTATAACAAGGCCACTAAATGTATTATACAGTCATGCATATTATAAAAAATATGATCTTCATTTACATTATCCTCTTTAAACAATAACAAAATGTGTACACTAGTACTCTTTATAATAAATCATTTTTAAAACAGAAATCTGCTTTTCAATAATCACAAATATATGTCTAATTTTGATAATTAACACATAAGCACTTACTTTAATGATAGGCCATAATTAGCCAAGGGTCTTAATGAGCCAAAAGATTTTTCTGCCTGTTGTTGAAACTTCCACACCTAATAAGGAATGAAACTCATGCGTAAAAAAATACTAAAAAAACACCATACAGCTACATTGTTATAGGAAAATAATCGGCAATGTCTATATTGAATCTATAGTGAGAGCTAACCTTAGTTCCACCAACTCCTCCAGTAATCAACTCATCTCTCAGTGGGTTGAAGAGCATAAACAGCACTGATCTTAGGTCTGCACTGACTGAACATGTCTCAATGAAATCTCTGTTAAAAACCTGGAAACAGTAAAAAATATAAACTATTGCACAGCAAAATGTTGTGTTTGTTGAGTACATAAAAATTCTACCAAAATATTTTTTATCATCAATTAGGAGGCCTACTTGAAAATATGAATAAATTATAACACACAAACAATATGATAAAAGAATTCTCTTTAAATATTACATATTTTGTCCACAGATATTTTGTCTCTGAGATATTTTGTCCAAAAGATGTTTGGTCTGAGATGTTTTGTCCTGTGACATTTCATCCTGTCAACTCTAAAACGTAGGTCCTACCTTCAGAGAAAAATCTTTTCCTAGGCCAAAATAGCAGTTGAACTTTTTAGCATAAACAACTTGTGTGATCACCCGGTACTCATACTTTGGGTACTCAAGAACTCTGTCCACTGAGAGAGAAAAATATTTTCCAATTGAACTAATTTGTGATTCCCCCAAGTAGTATTACTTGAATATTATGACATAGTAAGAAAGAAAGTAACAAATGACAAAGACCCAACCTCTATGACTAACAGCATCTCTTTTCCATGTTGTGATCCCTTTGGCATCCAATATTATAAACTGTCGCATTCTTTCATTGTATGTTACTGCAGAGAAGAAATAGGATTACAAATAACTTTAAGTGAATAGATTATTTTAAAATGTATTTCTTATACTTAGATTTTTAAAAAGCATACATAAATTGTTTACGCAAGTTTCATTTTAAAAATAAAATTGCCAATCTCAATTAATATATTACGGGAGTTAAGTTTTAATTTAATGCTTTCATAAGCATTTGTTTAGTAGACAGGCTAAAATCTGTCAGCACCCTTAAGCCCACACATAACTTGATTTGAATCAAGAAATAAATTGCTTTATTTAAATGTTTAATTACAATTCTATTCATACACTTACCCCCCATAATATCAGAGCACATGTTGCCATGTTCATAGCTGGTTCTCAACACAGGGCCATAAGGCAGAGATGAGAAGTGCAGAGATGTTTTTACATGAGGAGATTCATCTGAGTTTGTTATTGAGCTTTCTGGTTTTGGCCCATGTTTTGTCTGGTCCACAAAATCTTGAATTTCTTTGTAAACCTGATCATTTTCTATTGCATCTAATTCGTCCTTGTCCAAATCTTCTAAAGTATCATCTGGATTGTTGGTTCCAAGAAAAAGACATTCTTCATCAATTGATGATGAATCAAAGTCTGAAAGACTTCTTTCCTCTATAAAGCCAGCATTTTCAGTAAGTTCAAAAGGAATGGTTTCAATAGCTTCATCTATATCCAAACCAATATCTGTACCAATATTAGTTTCCATATTTTTGTTTACACCTAAAAAGAATTTTTAAGATTATAATAATATAAAGAAATAAATTACAAAATAACATAATAAATTACAAAAAAAAATCAGAATCACAGCTGAAGAAAATGGTAATTAAGACCATTGGTTAGCGTCAAGTATATCAAGTCCTAGCCTATTATAAAATATGCCTATCATGGTGTAGAGTAGATTTTTATATAATTGGATTAAATAGTAGAGTAAGATATATAGCAATTAATGAGGATGATTTAAAGCTGGTTCAAACTGACAGTAGACAATATAGTTTGAGAGTATGTGCGGTTGTTTAATTTGTATGACAGAATGAGTGTAATGAACTGTAATGTGAGTATGACACCATAATATTGATGCTGATGTCGAAGAAGGTTGCAGAGATAGTTGGGGCAATCAAAGTATAGGAGAGTTCATTTTAGTGTAGATGGCAAATAGACAAATTGATCCAGTGATCTATATACTATGAATAAAAGGTTTTGTGTTTACTATTCACTATTCAGCTATTCACATGTTTGATTTGAGCATGCAGAAACAAGCCTTCTGTTGTTCTCTTCACAGAAGCCATTCTAGTTAGATCTAGTAATAGTTAATAGTTTTTAAAGTTTAAAAAAAGTTATAAAGTTCATATATAGATTTATACTATACTCATACTGAGCTCCCATCACCACACTAAAAAACCTTGTAGAATACATACTTAACTATAATAACTACTTAGCCTACATTATTTTATTTATTATTACTATATTACTCAAATAGTATTTGAGTATTTATTAAATTATTAATTATTTGGTAATCTATCGTTTTGGGTACGTAAAATCGCCCGCGGCTATTTATGTACGAAAACGTTACCTCATTGTCAAGGCTTTAATAGAAGTATATTGTCATACTTTTGTGTCAAATATTATAGATAAATGAATAATAAACCTAAATCAATGGCTAAATAATAGTAAATATATCGATATAGGCCAGAAATTAACTTTAAACAGCAGTGTCTGAGAGCAAGATTTGCTATATAAACAGCAGCCATTTGTAAAATAGAGTGGCTTCCCCCTGAATCTGGCGCTAAAAGCTTATAAAAATAAAACTTAGACAAGATGGCTGCTATAGTCAATGAGCATGGTTGCATCTGTTGGATACATCGCTAGTCTTCATTTATTACGGAAAAGTTTTAATTCAATTGTTTAAAAACAGGTACATAAATGAATCAAAGAAACATTTTTGAATTTTTTAAAACATAAATCCTCCTCAAAATGTGAAATAATTATTAAAATTTAAGGAGTCACCTGTTTTTCACATTACAAATCGCGGGCGATTTTACGTACCCAAAACGATAGATTACCAATTATTTATTAGCAACAAAAAATAATTTTTTGAAAAAATGTGTGTGGCATTATTAATTTAAACATGAACTCCTGAATATAATAGGGCCCCCTAGACTATGCCCTATGCTTAATTAGAAGTAATTAGCTATTAGGCCTACTAATTAAATTAATTATAATATTTAGTATTGTTTTATGTTTGCAAACAATTTGAGTTTGATAACAGCCGCCATAGTGTTTACATGTAGCAACAGCATTCCATCGGAACAAGTTCCGTAACTATCATTTTCTCACATCTGAATAGTTTCGTCATTTGTCATTTTTTAAATATACTTTTTTGTTGTAAATATAATGCATCCCAATGTAATATTTAATATATTTTTTAACTTAAAGTTAAGCATACAATTTTTTAAATATTTTAAACAGCATACGTAGAATCTATCAACAACGCATCAACTTTAAAATGAGTATAATTAATATTGAAAACCATTAAAAGCAAAATTGCGAATTATTTTTGGGAATTAAAATCCTAACTTTCTATATAATCAAGTTTAAACTTGACCAGGGAAAGAAAAAGGCTAACCCTAGATGCTAAAAATTATGGCTTACATGTTCGCACCTAGATCTAGATCTTGATCTATATAACATCCTTTTAATTATATTTAGATCTACTACTTCTGTGAGTACTTTATTGTTAGCCTACTATTCTAGATGTAGGCCTAGTGAATTTAATTTAGTTATTTTAGGCCTAGAGATTTTAGATGTGAAGTCCGTAGTCTTGAGATGGGAAAGAAAAGGGGGGGGGGGGGATCAAGATTTTCAAGAAGTGTGAAGATTTAAGTTATTATATTTATATAATTTACCAGGCCTTATGCCTAGACATTTAAACAATAAAAATGATGAGCAACCTGATAATGCCTCTAACCTAATCCAGGGGGGGGGGGGGGGGTTTACAGAGAAGGATAGAAGAACTGTTACAGTGAGTAACTTGAGTAAGAACTTTGTTGAGTTGTTGAGAAACCATGTCATCGGTGTTTGGATTGGTTGGTATCTGGCTGTTTGAAAAACAATTAGTTGAATTACAATATTATTAAATCAACACTTGGCCTCATATACATATTTAATTCAAATTGGCGATATTTACTATTTAGGCCTAATAATTTTGTATGTGTAGGTCCAGGTATTTAAAATTTATAAGACTAGGTTCTTTTAGATCTACTAGTAAATCCATAGAACTGTACAACTGTAGGCCTAGGTCTATATAATTTTAAAAAATCGCTTCAAAATACTAGCGTATCCGCATGAAAAAATCAAATCAACATAAAATTTTTAATAGTTTTGAGAATGTATAATTATAGATGAAACTTAATGGCTTAATGCAGGCCCCCAAAAGCGACCATGGTTATAAAGACCCACTTCCTAATACTAATGTCTTTTTCCAGGCCATTAGTGAATACACAAGGAGTAGACGAGACTGAGAGGACACGAAAAATGTCCACGGCAAATTTCAACTCATCTAGCAGGGTTGTCATGGGATCTTTTGGTGGAAGTTTGGGAAGCCATTTGCCCCAACTAACTGTTGAAACAGAGCTACACAAGCTTCTCACTGATGAAAAGGCTCGTGCTGAGAAACATAAGATTAACTACCAACAACTCAAAGTTGAGCATACCAGGTAAAAAAAACAAATTTAATTTTTGCAGATTACTTAAAAAAGACATATTAAATATTAATAATCAACAACTAAGAATTAGGCATACCTGTTTTTTGTTCTTTAAATAATAAAAAGTACCTATATTAATTAAACTATTATCAACTGTGTTGAGCATACATTTCTTTCAAAACCAAGCAGACATATTTGTTTCATAGATCAATTACACAAATTATAGTATTAATTCTAACCTAATCATAATCCTGTGCTATGGTTTACTAATGTAACAGTACTGAATATGTTTTTGTTTCCCTACTTTCACTTTCAACCCCATGTCCTCTTCATTGTTGGTGATAACAAAAGTACTGGACTGCTGGGTATAGGCAAAGTATAGTGCTGGTTTTCCACCAAGCACTTAATTAACCCTTTACTGTCCAAGTTGGCCAAACACCTGAGATGTAGCAAAGATGCATGTTCTGTCTATGCCATTTTTCACCATAAAGTTTGATGCTGCTTTTTAAAATTAAATTGTTTATTGCATTGTAATTAAAAGTAATCTGCATCAATTTTTTTCTGTGAATTGTTTAAAATGCACATGTATTTTTTAATTCATTTATTATTATAAGCAACAATTAGAAAAGCTAAATGGCAAGGAAAAAATTAATTAATTAAGACAGTAAATGGTTAATTAACCACGAAGACCACCTTATATCTACTACGAAACAACTATCAAGACTCTGGTGAAACTGCCAGCATTAATCTGCAAATTAAAATGATTTAGGGCTCTAATTAACTTAATTGGCTAAAAACCTTCATGAGAGCAACATGAGATTAGTTGGTGAAAGCCTGCTAGAAGCCAGCCACCTGACTTTACATTTGATGAAGGCAAATACCAATTATAAAAAATATAGATTGATAAAAACTCAAATAAACTGTACAGTGATTAAATTATAAACAGCTAACAGTCTTGAATTTTGTTGTATTTTAGACTACAGGATAAAGTATTAGAGCTGGAGGCAGAGAATAAATCAACAGTTGAAGAGTCCAGGTTGGTTAAAGACAAATACCTGTCCATGTATGAGGCCTGCAGTCGGGAGTTGGCACAGAAATTAGCTGAACTGGAGGAGATGAGGACAAAGGTTTCTTACTTTTTTTAATTAGTTCGGTTAATTTAGTCATGCTTTTTAATATAATTTCAAAAGAGCACCAACTCTGTAGTATGCAATAGGGGTCGACGTGGTCGAGTCGGTAAAGCTCATTGTTGCTGAACCAAAAAGTCTCGAGTTCAAACCCTCTGGCAGATTAGGCTTGTTACCTGGGGACAGCCACTCTTCTAGGAGAGACAAATCCAAAATCAAACAACTGCTGCCTTGTAGTTTGTTCTTGGTTGGACAAAGGCTATGGAAACAAACCCAAAAAGAAAAGCAGGCTGAAATTGGAGTCAGTGGCCTCAATGGCGCATAATCAGTTGGCCCGTATATTTAATTGTGTTGGAGGGGATCCCTTCTAACACTAAAATAAGAACGAAGAAGAAGAAAGAAAAGAAAGAGTATGCAATCATAATTTTAGGCACTTGTGGGGTTTGCCTTGCCTAGGAATCACATAACCTCTTTGGGTCAAAAGCAAGTGCTCTCTAAGATGATCCTTTGATTGCTTAGATATTCAATTATTTTGTTATAGCCGGCTCCAAAAATTTGGATCTATAAATCCTTTTGAAAACTAATGATGCACACTTCATTCTATAAAAATATGTTTGCCTACACTTCTGTGGGTCTCATCATTTTTGTGTGGATTTGATCAAGAAAAATTAAAGCTTAAAATATTGTGAATCTTGATAATCAGTCTGAGTAAGAAAACTTAACTGTATTACTAAAAGAACAACTTACATTCTCCCATTGTTTTAATACATTTATTTTTGTTTATAGGTAGTCACTCCACAACGGTTTGAGCTGATCAGAGTTCAAATTATGGAAGAACTAGAACAGTTGTTTAAAGAAAAATCTAAAAAACAAGAGGCAGAAGTAGAGGAATACAGATCAGCACTTAGCAAACTGAGATATGAGTTGTCTTTCTTGAAGAGTGAATATGAACATGATAGTGTAGAACACAAGCAACAAATGGAAGATTTAATCAAACAACATGATATAGAGGTGAGATTTCTAGTAGTTGTTTTTAAAGACATAAAAAATATAGGTGGAGATTGTAGTATTTAAAACATGACCTAAGAAAGAATTAGGTCTAGAAATTATTGAATATTTACAACACATGATGATGAAATATAAAGTGTTTATATATATATATATATATATATATATATATATATATATATATATATATATATATATATATATATATATATATATATATATATATATATATATATATATACATATATATATACATATATATATACATATATATATAGATATAGATATATATAGATATATATATATATATAGATATATATATAGATATATATAAAGATATATATATATATATATATATATATGTGTGTGTGTGTATGTATAAGTATAAATTTATACTACAAAACAAAAAAAAAATAAAAGTGCTAGGGTTTTAATTTGTTGTTTTTATTTTGTTATGTAAAAGCTAACAAATCTGCGGCAAGATCGAGACACTGTGGTGGCTAAAGTTCAAGCAGAAACAAGTCAAGATACACAGAAAGTCAGAATTCTGCAGAGGGACAATGCTAAGTTACATTTACAGGTATCTTTTTTTAATTTTATTCTCATTTTAATTGAATTTTTTTTTTTTATGTGCTAACATAATTTGTTGGAATCTTTTTAAATTTATTCCATTCTTGTAAAAGATCTATTGTTTTTATAAGTTTTACATGAATTTCAGTGGATTGTATTGTTTATAAACTAAGCTAAATTAACTAATTTATTTTGACTATGTTTGTAAATTGAACCATTACCGATTGTTTATTATTTATTTCAGGTTAGAGAACTCTTAGCTGAGATTGAAGAAATTAGAGCTCAGAAAGAAAAACTTGGATTGGATTCAGAGAATGTTTCCAGAATGCAGACAAAGCTTATTTCAGAGCATCAATCTACTATTCAAACTTTACAGGTACCAAGTTTGTTGTGTTTTTCTTTTTCTTAAACATTTTCCACTTTATAAAACAATATTCCAGATAATATAAATCTTTACTAAACATTTCAAAGAAATTGAGTGTATGAGTTTTATTAATGTTTACAGGCTGAACGAGAATCACTCAAGCGCCAGTTAGAATACATCAACCGTGAACTCACTGCAGCAGCCTCAGAACAAAACAAACTGAAAAATGAAATGCATGAATTGGAGAAAAAGAACACAGTCCTTAAAGGTCATGCAGAAGAGATGAGTCATAGGTCAAAGGTCAGCCTATCAGACCTCAAGATGGAAATGCTGAAACAGAGAGGAGAGATTGAAAAAGAAAGAGATAAACTAGGCAATGAAGTTGAAGGTAACTGTAACTCTAATGAGTGTTTTTTTTTTTGTGGTAAAATTATGCCCTCGACTATATAATCTTTAACATGTGAGTTAATGTTTAGAAAAGTTTGTTAAAACTAAATTTGTGTGACCTATTTGATAAATACTCAGTTTTTACTAAAAATAGGATAAACAGATATCCTACACTATACAGACCTTTTCTTCCTTTTAATGCAACAATTTTAAAAAATTATTACTTTATTTTAATAATTTAAAAAACTGTTTATTTCTTTATTTTAAGTGTTTTAAAATGTGATGAAATTAGCTTGTAAACATGTTAAATAAGTTGGTTAAAAAAAGTCTAAGAAAACAAGTGATCTGAATGTCTAAATCTTTTTTGCTCCCCAGATTTACGTCATGCAGTAGACATTGCAGAGATGAAGATAAAACAGCTACAGCACGCCCTGGAGGAGAAGGAGAGAGAATCTGTCCAGCTTGTGCAGGCTGCTCGGGAGGAAGAGTTTTCCAAAATGGCTAAAGTGGAGAATGAAAAGTAAGTGTTGCTGAACTTATATAACAGGGATTCCTGCCATCATTTTACACTATCTAGTTGACAGTTATGGATTCAATAAATGATTTTAAATACTAATTATTAGATTTTTTATTAGATTATATATGTATTACTAAATAGATAATGCAATTGAAATATTTGAATAATAATCTTAACTTTTTATTAAGGGAATTTGCTTAAATACAATAAATTGAGTCTAAAATTAAAAGGGTTTTTTATTTTTTAAAATTAACATTTTCTGTTAGTCAAAGTTTACTATGAGTCATTTACTGGAATTATCCAAAGGTTTGAGCTGGAGACAAAACTCCAGGAACTTGAACGAAGGCGAATAGATGACGACGCGCGACGCCATGCAGAAGAAGAGAAATGTAATGAAAGGGTCTCACAAGCCAACGCAGCCAAAGATCAGGCAGAGAGAGAGCTGTTGTCAATCAAGTAAGTCGGTCTGTTTTATTTTGGCTGCCTTGCCATAGCTATTTTATTGTGAGGGTTGTTCAACTAAACAGCTTGGCCTCCACACCACTTACCAGGGGGTGCTATTTTTCTTGCACAGAATTTTTAAATTTTATTTTAATTCTCCTTCACTACAACTACCCAGATAATTTGGTCACACCCCAAATGTATAGGCTAGTAAAGGAGAAAATTCTAGCAAATTTAATAAAATGACCGTACACGCTGTCGCTATCCCAAGATTCTAAAGTTATTCATCTAATCTCACTCTAAAGTTATCATGTAACTGACAGTAGACTTATTAACAAATTTAAGAGAGATAACTTGATTGTTGTTTATTTTTTTTAAATTAAATGCCAACACATTTACTTAAAATATTCTAATCAGAAACAGATTTTCTTGATTCCTCTTCCAAGTTGTTCTTTTTGTTTTGCTTCATTTTCAATTGATCTTTTTCATGTATATGTATAATTAACTTTCTTTTCTCCCGTGCCCCAACCCATTGCTGTTGGCAGTAAGTTGTTGCTGGTTAACCCTCCACCTGCCTTATACTAACAGCACTTGTCTTCTCCTATCAGAACTCGACTTAGTCACATGGACAGCCTACAGGATCAGCTGGAGAGGGAACGATCTGAAAACTCCACACTGAAATCCCGCATTCTGAAACTAGAAACAGAACTTGGCAATTTTAAGAGCTCGGAGAATGAAATGACAGACTCCAACATGAGGCTGAAGAACAACTCTGAGCTGTTGAGGGAGGAGCTTAAAATGACCCAAGCACAGCTAGAGAAGCTGACCAACAATCACGAGGTAATTTGCATTTTTTCTTGCTGGATGTTTGGACACATGATGGATTTTTGGACCCAGGATTGTTTTTCCATGGAAATTTGGACACAAAATATTTTAAAAATTAATTTTTTTTTGGGGTTGTTTCAAATAATACAGTAAAAGCTAATAAATGTAATAGCTGTTTTAAAAATTTTGACCTAGATATTAGTGGAAGAACAATTATAGGGCCACAACAGATGGTGGAAACTAAAGACAAAAATTCCATAGATTTCCATTTTGTCCCAGTCTCTTTTTACACAACATATCTACTGATAAATTATAGACTCTTGTTTTTTTTTAATACAATAACCTGTAAACCCTTTGCTCTAATAGCAGTTTGTTTTATTTTTCAATAAATTTTAGCAGCTTTATCAGAGAAGCTGCACCTACTTTGTCTTCATTAAAACCTTAAAGCTTTTTTATTCACCCATAACTAGGTAATTCTGCTTCAACAACGTTCAGCAATGGCTGAAGACCGCACTCAGCTTGAAGTGAGAATTCATGAACTAGAGGAAAAGCTTGATCTAGCTCAATCTAAGTACAGCAGGGCATCAGGGATTCATAAAAAGGTGAATTTGTAATGATTATTTTTTTTTACCTGTAAAAAGTTAGCGTTCCTGGTCTGTCGTGTAATGAAAACTATAAAGCCGGGTTTCTCTTAGTATTATTATTTCTAGTTCTTAACAATTTTTTAATGTCAGACAGATGTATCATTAGTTCATTTTGTGAATATAATTTATTTTTCTTCAAATTAGACCACCTAATGACTTTTAGGTGCAATCTTCTATATTGGAAAAATACAGTCTATTTCTGTATGAACTCTACTTCATCTGCTAAATAGATCATTTAGTCTAAAGATGGTTTTACTTTATTTGTCTATTTCTAGCTTAAAAAAAAGACATCCATGATGATCGATAGACTGAAAGATAAACTAGTTATGCTAGAAGCACAGTACACGGAGCTGGAAATTGAGAAGAAAGCACTGCAGTGAGTTTACCTTTGTGTGGTCTTAAAACTCTTAAGTCTTTTTTTACATCCAATAATATAAAGCCCTAAAATTTAAAATAACTTGAATAAACAAGCTTTTTTTTTTTAAAATAATGCATTTTGAATTAATTTTATAATATAAACAAAATTAATTTTTTAAAAATTCACTGCTGTGCAGGCTACATTTTCATTATAATTGCTACTTCTCTTTCTATGATCAAAATTCTGTTCTTTCACTGGCTACACCTTCAGTAATTGCTACTTTGTTTACTACAATTGTTTTTAACTGGTTACATTTGCAGTGATTTCATCCACCTAATTTTAGTTACTCTTTTTTTATTGGATACTAAATATACTCTTCTGGATAACTTGCAGCTCTTAATAGTGTACTCATTATCAATATTTTTTAACACAATTATCTTCATTCAACAGGAAATGTGTTCCCTTTGATCAATATAATCATTTAAGAAAGCAGTGGAAAGACCTATGGCGCCGCCATCAAGAATTCCGAACCATCCTCTTCTCAATCCCCAATAACTCTGGCGTCCATTCTATCACGAAAGTGTCAAAACTGCAGCTTGATTCATCTGCTCTGCTCAACCATTCTGCCATGGATAAAGAATTGGTAAATTTTCTTCAAGAAATTGTGTTTTATTTAAGTTTTTTTAATTAAATTTTTTTACATCCTTTTTATCAATATTAACCTGAAAAAAACACTTCAAAATTACTTAATTAAAGAAATAATTATAAAAAAAAAAATAAGGCATTAACTAAAGAAAACAAGAAGCTTTAAAGTTCATTTTCTTATTCTTAATTCATACATTGGGATCTTTAATATTACTAATCATGAATTTTCAGAATTCACATCTAATTATATTACATTATTTGTTTCTATAAAATGTACTGATTTTGTTTTTAATTTCTGTGTCCATTAGGAGGAGCAGCACCAAGAAGATTTGAAAGTCCTGCGCCTGAGACTGGAGGCTCTAGACAAAGTCCAAAATCAGCAGTTGGCCGAACTGACAGAGTTAACCCCCAGAGAGAAGCACGATGTGGAGAAGGACCTCATCAGAACACCATCCATCCCTGAAGATCAAATATCTGTTCATTCTGATGAATCTTGATTGTTTCTGCTGGAATTTACAAGTCAAACTAGCCTAGTATCTGTTTAACTGTGTTGGCTTGCCTAATACCATTTGAGCCAAAATTTAGCAATGTACTTATGTCATTAAGGGTTTAAAACTTATTGAACTTACTTGAGAATTTCGATATCTATTTTACTTTTTAATTTTACCAAACTATATAATACATTTTTTGAAGTTATAAATCTTTTGGTAAATTTTAGTAAATTAATATGAAGTTTTGTTATGGTATAAATTTTAGCAACTTAACATGAAAGCTTCTCTTTAAAAAAACTTCTCGTATTTTATAGTTATACACTTAAGAGTTGCCCTATATGATAGCCAATAAGTTTGAATGTAAGGACAGTCTGTTACTCATATGTGGAAACAAGCTTATTGCATGAGTTAAAAGCTTGGTTAAACAGTGACATTTATATTCATGAAATCTGTATACTAATATACATATTACTTTTAGAGTGTATATATTGTATATACACTATTTAAATTTACATATATATATATACAAAACATATTTATAACATTGGACTTGTGGAGGATTGACTTATAAAGCATATTATATGAAGCACAGGTTTGATTCTTTTATTTATTTGACTTTTTAAAATTTCATTATGTATTTTAATGTACATATAATTATAATTTACCTGATTAGTCATGAACATGTTGTCTACTGTGATATTTATTAGATACTCGTACTTATTAAATTTTGACGTTAACATTTATTTGTTGGTTGTATTTTTCATTTAAACCATTATTTACTTTTTTTAAGTGAGTGATTTAACTTTAATTGAAAGTAACAGAAGAAAGAATTTCAGATATTTTGATCCAAAGTTGCAAAAGATTTTGTGGACAGGTAGCAATGTGATTAATTAGTTAACCGTGTGCAGTTTTCATTGGTGTGAGTGGACTTCAGACACGTTATTGTTCCAGTTTCTTCACTTGATAGTGGTGGTCAATCTTTCATCTTTTTACTCTGGTTCTGGTCATATACAGGTACACAAGTGACTCAACAATCTAACTAATACTTGTAATACATGCTTGAAGCAGTTATTACAACAAATAAGTCCTAGTCACACTTTATAAGTTAAATAAGGCTAAGATTTCATGAACACAGCAGGTGGAATGAAAGCTGACAATATTTTAACTTGGTTGAACTAATCTAGGTCTATGAAAGCTGACAATGTTTTCATGTGGTTGAACTAATCTAGATCTATGAAAGCTGACAATATTTTAACTTGGTTGAACTAATCTAGATCTATGAAAGCCGACAATGTTTTCATGTGGTTGAACTAATCTAGGTCTATGAAAGCCAACAATATTTTAACTTGGTTGAACTAATCTAGGTCTATGAAAGCCAACGTTTTAACTTGGTTGAACTAATCTAGATCTATGAAAGCTGACAATATTTTAACTTGGTTGAACTAATCTAGATCTATGAAAGCCGACAATGTTTTCATGTGGTTGAACTAATCTAGGTCTATGAAAGCCAACGTTTTAACTTGGTTGAACTAATCTAGATCTATGAAAGCTGACAATATTTTAACTTGGTTGAACTAATCTAGGTCTATGAAAGCAGAGGGTCTGTCAGGAACTAGGACATTAAAGGACATTTTTGCCTGGTTAATTTAAGCATATTTTGCTAAGTAAACCATGCCAATAGAGAACATTTCTATGTGATAAAGCATGAAATGAAAACAGCTGGGTGGTACAAAAACAGAATGACACAAGATACTTGTACATGACACAGTGGTACAAAAACCACTTGTACATGTAACACTGTGGTATAAAAACCACTTGTACATGTAACACCATGGTATAAAAACCACTTGTACACGGCACACTGTGGTATAAAAAACTGAAGGACACAACTGGATCAGGATTATACATTTTATTGATGATGTGATAGAGAAAATAAAATCTAGAACATGCCATCTGTCACTGATGTCTCCCACTAACGAGATCCATTCTGTGGGGGACACCTTCTGATTAGGATCAACACATTTTGTAACATGAGTAAATTGAAAAATAAAATAAACTTGCATACAAGGCAAGGCACAAGTAAAGTAGTTTAGTTCTTACAAGTATGGCTAGTCATAAATCCTCTTATTCAGCCGAATGTGACACATTTGATCAACCATACTTTTTGACTTATTTATCTCAATGTGACACATTTGGCCAACCATACTTTGTCTCAGTCAGCAAACAAACACTTCATCAGTCACACCTCATCTCATGGATAGATTCAATCATGCATTCCGCTTAACTCCACAAAATGAGGTAAATTTAATTATCTGTATGATTTACATTAACAGCCTTATAATTAAATTTTTTCAACAAGTTGTTAGTAAAAAAAAAAACAATGGTAAGGACAGACTGGTAACATTGAAACAATAAAAATGAATGGGCTTGCTCACACACTATTATTGAATCACTTACTCATCCTCTTATAGTCCCAATGCCATTAGATATATAAGCCCGCTCACCACAACCCCTAAACATATACATGAAAGAAACAAAATATAGTTCTCATATTTAAATCAATACATTTCAATTCACATACTTGAAATTTAATATTCTAATAGAGTTATATCAGACAGTTTCTAATTTACTGTCCGTTTTTTTATGTTGCTGTTAAATGTCTTTGGTCACTGCCAGCTTTATGTCTTTTTTAACAAATAATGTGACAGATGACCATGTTAGCATGTCATCTATCTGTCAAACATCTATGTTATAATGTTTGTTTACACACAGTAACTAGAATACTCTATGTATTAGCTAGTCTCAACATCACATTTTTTTTAACCAAAAATCAATTCATATACAATCGATTCTATTCAAGATCAATAGCATTATTTGAAAACAAGTTGATAATAATACTGAAAAACCATAAGCACTCCGATACGCACAAGGTTGTTATTTTTTATGTACACCTTAATTGTTACCTTATTGATACCACGTATCATCAAAAGTAATACAGTAATAGTCAACTCAATTTAAACAAACAGCACATTTGTTTAGAATTTAACTTTTTCAGAAATGAAAAAAAGGAAGAAAATATTCAAGATCAAGTGTAATGGTTAACCTCGTGTTTGTAAGTTATCAGTTAAAACATTGGTTTCTAAAACTAATAAAAGATGGGACTATCTTTTACTTGGTTAGCTAAAGCATTAGTAATGTGTTTTTCACACATAAATAGTAAGCCAACAGTAGTTGAACTGGCTGTAAGAACCAGCTCTTGTACAAACTACTGAGAACTAATATGACTATATTTTTTTAGTGCACTGAACCTAATTGTTAAGGTCAACTGGAGAAAAAATAAACAAGAAAATAATTTTTTTCAAAACATTTTTTTGGCAAAAATTAAAATTGAATGATTTATCGGGTTTTATTGTGTGAAAAAAAAATCATTATGCATTTAACAAAATATAGCATTCAACTTCAAGTCTGTTAAACAAGGGCTTACTATGAATTAAAAAGAAGTAAATTTCCTTAGGCAAAAGGTGACCACAGTCAACAGGAGTCTTACAGTAGTGGGCAAAAGGTGACCACAGTCAACAGGAGTCCAACAGTAGTGGACAAAAGGTGACCACTGTCAACAGGAGTCCTACAGTAGTGGGCAAAAGGTGACCACAGTCAACAGGAGTCTTACAGTAGTGGGCAAAAGGTGACCACAGTCAACAGGAGTCCAACAGTAGTGGACAAAAGGTGACCACTGTCAACAGGAGTCCTACAGTAGTGGGCAAAAGGTGACCACAGTCAACAGGAGTCTTACAGTAGTGGACAAAAGTTGACCACAGCCAACAGGAGTCTTACAGTAGTGGCAAGTCAAACAGTTTCACTGGAAGACAATTTTTTAGGCAGTCAACACTTTTTTAATGTCATTTATAAACTGAAACAGCTAGAGTTAGAAACTACGATATCAGAAAAAAATCCTGCTTACAAAATTACTTATTCAAACATTAGTTCCACTATTAGTTCATGTAGAACCATAGTTTTTTTGTTTTTATCTAATTTCTATCTAAATATTTTAAGAATCATTTTCACAAATAGAACCTAAATCTTTTAAAATGTAGATAGGAAAAAAATCTAATTCTTTCAAAAATGATAATATAGAAAAGAAACTGATTTTTTTTTTAGACGAACCTAAAAAAGAACCAGCTTTTTAAAGTCATAATAAGCAGTAATGAAAACACAAATCTTTGAAGACATTTATTAAGTCTACAATATAAAGTCTACAATCAAATGAATACTTTGTGTTGTGGTAAAAAAAAAAATCTTATTTTTAAAAAATTCTTCTTGGTAGTTGACCTATTTCTATGTCAACAATAAAAACAAAAAGTCTGATTGTAGAAAATAAAAGATATTAGTTTTAGAAAATAAATGTTCTTTTCAGCAAAAATGTAGGTCTAATAAGCTTATATTTATGTTGACTTGATATATACCACTTGCCACCCTTTAAGGCAGGGGTCTCCAAACTTTTCAGTCCGAGGGCCGCATTAACTATCAAATTTCAGTTCGGGGGCCAGTATCTTCCAGGCATGTCTTTGATTTTTCTGGGCAAGGTTCCTCAGCCATCAGCAACCAGCAACAAACGTTTTTTCAGTGGACAAAAAGATCTCCGCGGGCCGGATGAGAGGACATCGCGGGCCGCATCCGGCCGGCGGGCCGTAGTTTGGAGACCTCTGCTTTCAAGTGATGACAACTATCCAAGAACACAGCTCAAGAAAATTTTAAGAAATACTAATATTATACTAATGTTATACATAGAATAATTTCTTTACAAAATTTGACAATTTTATACAACTCAGCAACATATAAGAGCAAACTCCAGCTAGCTAAAATCTTGTTTTTTAAAGCAAAAAGCAACTAAGTTAAAACAAGTAATTTTTTTTTTATATTGTACACAATTAGCTGCCAGACAGGGCTTAGCACAAAAATAAAAAATCTTGAACCAAACAGCATACAAGATCAAAAACTTGACCAGATAGACTTAAAAAATGACAACATTTGACCAGACAAACAATCCCTTCCAGATTCTGTACTATGTATTTACAGCAACATTGTAACTAAAACCACAACCAATGAAATTTTTTTTAAAAGAAACCTATGTCCACACAACATTAAGTCACAACCACTGTCTAAAGACTCCAGCTTGTCATCATACAAAAATCTTTGAAAAGACAAGCTTAGAACTTAATCTAACCTAAAATTTTAATTAAATTTAAAAAAAAAAAAAACTAATTAAACACTAAAACATAGATAGTGTAGTTTCAAACAATTCAGGAATATTGATGAAAAAAAACGTAATTTTAAACAATCAGGAATATAGATGAAAAATGTTTGTAATAATTCTCTAAGTCATATGTACTACTTTGATAGCCGTGGATATTGTTGCCGGATTGCTTTATGTACAACAGATTAATATACTAAAACTTGAGAATTTATTGAAAAAGTAGAGCACAAAAAGCTTTGATTTATACAAAAACAACCCATCTCACCCTGGAGAGAACCTAATGTTCACCTGCTTTTATCTCAGATTAACTCATCCTCTAAAGCAGCTCAGGATTAGATTAGCTGATTTAGTTAATTACCCTAAACAACTTTCTCTTTAACAAGTAAAGAGATACACAAAGGAAATGCAATGGTTAAAAATAAACCTTATTAAAATGAATAGTCCCACAATGTTTGTAGAATATTACAACTAAAAAATAAAAGTATAATGCCACCCAGCCAGGTTGAATACAAATCTACAAATATCATTAAATGTAAGCAAACCTATTACCACACTTTAGCAATGAATTGTATCTTCATAGCTCTCAAGAATTAAAAACTCAATATCTAAATACAAGAAACAACCAAGTTCAATGACCCCTAGGTCACCAACGCAGTTGATCAAAGACTTCAAACAACATTCATTACAACATAACCAAGCTAAACCACAACAACTGTCCTCACATCATAACCAAGCTAAACTATAGCAAATACAACTTTCTATACATCATAATTAAGCTAAACTATAACAAGTTAATCGGTATGTTCATAAAGATTAAGTGCATGTTATGTCAAGAACAACTTAGTAATATATTGGATTGAATTGAAAGAAAACAAAGCCTTAGTGTGTGATTTTAATATCTATCTTCACTCAACCAGTGAATGGATGGATACTTTAGAACAAGCTATTTTTAAGTCATGGGAAGGATTTTGTAATATTCAATTAAATCATACATTTTCTCAAGAAACTCCAATGACCATAGAATACTTATCGGTATCAATAAAATATCAGCAGGGTTATTTTCCAAAAAATATCTTGTGTCAGACAAAAATGGAATACTTGAAAAAAAAAAGATAAACTGAAACTCTTATAGGTGTAGCTGTATATCGGATACCTGGTTACATCTAATTTCTTCTGCGGCTGATTATAATGAACAAATCTGTTAACATATGTGTCACTCTGACCAGAGGTCTTTGTCAAAGAGATAAATAAAATAAAACTCTTCTCAACCCAACTAAGAGATAAATACAAAACTTCTAGAACCAGTGCATTAGATAATCAGCAGGTTAGAGATTAATTTAATGTGGAACAAAACTCAGCTTGAACCCCAGAAATACAAGAACCAATGAATTAGGCAATCAATGGGTTAGAGATTATTGTGGAGAAGAAAAAAAAGATGAATTTACTTTCCAGTTGTGTGATGAAACTGTCTTCTAACTTGGCTTATGTTACTAAAGATGGCAGGATCAACATAGCTATTGTATAGAACAGTAAAATCTAGCCATCTCATAACTTTAATTCAAAACAAGCTATAGCTAATTAATGAGCCAAATCAGTGGCCCAAGATAGCAAGAAATCAATTAATTAACAAATGAATGGATAATGGTATGTTAGCTTTGCAATCTCTCTTATATTGTCAAATACTTGATCACACATTAGTCTAGGCTAAATGATAAACACCTCTCTAGGTTAAATTTGATCAAGCACACATGCAGCTCTCTGATCTAAATACATGCCAGATTCCTACATTAGATGCCACACACACACGCACCTCTAAAGCTAATTTAAAGATGGCAATACAATCACTCTTTAAATAGAAGCTGACTTCTTACAAGACAGCTATTTAACACATGTTAATTTCTTTTTAAACCGAAAACTAAATTTAAGTCAATTAAAAATTCAAACTTAAAATACAAACCCAATTAATTAGATATATTTTAAACAATATATAAAATTAATATATGATAAAAAATAAAAACCAAAAATTATAATAATAACAGAAAAGGTATTCTATCAATAACTGGTATAATGTAAAATAAAAATTAGTTAAACTAAAATCATATTCAGGGAGATAAGTATTTTTTAAGCAAAGAAAAAAAATCTTTACCCCTATCTATAACTGATACCGTCAGTTATCAGCAATTCAAGTCCGTTATGCGATTTGAAACAAATAACTCATCTTATTGTGAGCTTATTCTCCATCATAACGAGTATTGGTCAAGTTTGACGTCCATCCACCGCGTCACTGTCATGACAAGTGGTGCTCTATGCTGTCTGTGGCTGCCAGCTCATGGATCAAGTCTGTAACCTGTTTCCTCTTGCGCTGGATGCTGTCCTGGTTCACGACCTCTGTTAGGCTGACACTAAAACACTCACAGAATTCTTTGATGAGGTGCTCAGTCATTGCTATCAGGTACATTCCACAATCAAAACCTGGACAGCAGGAATCACATGAGAAATTTCAGATTATAAAAACACACAGTTGTTCTTAACGTTTAATACCTTGTATAATCAATAACATCAAATAAGGGATGGTGTGGTCAAATGGTAGAGCATATGCCTGCTAACCCAAAAGTGCAGTCCCAGGCTTGAATCCGTAAGACATTCTTGATTCCACCCAACTCAGATGGGTACCTCTCTCAAGTTAGGGAAAGTAAAGGCAGATGGGCATATTGTTAACCACACTATCTCTTCATAAGCTGAGGTAACTGAAAACAGTGAATCCTACCTCACATGCCCCATGGACTACCAGATAGGAAAGGGTGCTTTATTTTTTTTATGGCATCACATAATAATAGCTGCCCTTAACCCCTTATCTCTACTAGCAGATCATTATTAAAAGCCAGACTCTCACCCCTCACCTTTAACAGCACCACAAAGAAAAAGCCACCACTTAAAAATAGCCACAATTTTTAAAGAAATCAACATTTATTTTTTATTCTAAAAAAAATGTAAGTGTATGCTACATCATGTCAACCCCTCCCTCTAGATCTCATGCTTGACATTATTTATTAACAAACACAAATGCTAATGCATTTCTTGAATAATTTTTTTTATAAATGAAAAAGGATAAAATGACACGAGGAAGTGCTGCTACTTACTGTTAGTCTGCTGTGGGCAATCCATTTCAATAAACTTTAATTTCCCTCGAGGTGCTACAGTGATAGAGCAAAAGAGAATTAATGACTTACTGCCAAAGGTTGCAGACGCCAATAAAGGTAAATTAATATAAAATGAATACATTTGACAGCAGAAAGTTTAGCAGGTGTAAATAAAACTCAATTTGACTTAAGAAAGTAAATAAAGAAATGGCTGTAATAACCTTGAACAAAAGGCTGCAATTTATCTACAAATTTTCTAGCTATGGCTTGATTGCTTCCCTTTAGAGCATCAAAATGTTGGAATTCTTGTTTGCTTTTTACATACACCATTAGGCTCCTAAAAATCAGATGAATCATTGGTTAATTACAGCTATGTATACATATTACAGGTATAAATTTATAGTCTATATAATTACAATAATTTTCTTCCCTATACATGATGCCTTATAAATTTTGTATTTTAAAAAGAAAAACGACCAGATAAAATATGCACAAACATGTTAAAACAATAATATACCAGTGTGTTCCACCAACTTGAGATGGATCTGCATTGTCATTAATAGCAACAAACACATATTGCTTTGATGGTAGATGTAAGGGCTCTAGTAACACAGCCAGGTCTTCAACTGTAGAGAGAACACAAGAAATTATTCGCTGACAACAGTTTTTTTTTTTTAATTCCTTGGAACCACACAATTTACAAACTCATCACTTTTAATGAATTAATTCTTAAATTATTATCACTGGGCTTGTTGTTTTTTTTAAATAAACATGTTCAAAACAGAGGCTGGTAATAAAAAAAAAAATTTCATATCTTTACTTCAATACATAAAAATTGTGGTATTTTTTATTAATTATGTCTAGGCCTAACAGGGTGCATTATCAACAATATTTGATGAAAACCACATTTTAATCAACTGATTACAGCTGGCCACATTGTATATCACGGTAAGTATATAGAAGTATGACACAATCAGTGAGGATTTAATTGTTCAGCAGGAGAGGGAATGTAGTGCAGATAAGAATGATAGGTTAGGCAAATAGGAGAGATTAGAGATATTACCAGTGGCAAATCTCATCAACTGGGCTATAGATGGGCTGATAAGTGCTATTCTGTCTGCTGAATGGTTAAACTGTTCCTTTTCATAGTATCTAACAATCAAACAGAAATTTTAAATTTAGATATTATAAACAGAGTAAAAAAGTTATGTTTTTCAATATAATCTATTGCAGCTTACATTAAATTTAATAAAACAAGATAAGACACTTGGAAAGTGGATAGATTGAACCCTCAACTTATACCACTTCCCTACCTAATATGACTGGCCATAGAGCTAGTTTCTATAAATTCAAGCCAGTAACCACGGTAAAAGATCTCTATACTATTGTATAGAGTCAGTAGTAGTTAGTAGAAGTCAGGACTTCTGTTTACAAATGCAAGAAACAAGAACAAAAACTTTTGTGTAATTAATCAAATTAAAAGGTGGATAAAAGGAAAAACTTATTTTTACCTACTTGAAATAAATATACAACTTATTGATGAAAAAAATTAGCCTACTTTTTACTGTGGTCTAAAATTAAATAAGTTTAATTTATTACATTTTTTTTTTAAATGTTATTTAAAATTTATTACATTTAGATCTGGATCAAAAACTTTATAGGAATTTTTTTTAATGTATATTAGATCTTTTGCCAATAGCCAGATGCGTGTTGTGTTATTAAAACATGACGAGCTGACCATCTGTGTATCATACGCAGCTTTTTTAGTTGTTTTATTTTCTACTTTTTAGTACTTCATAGTTGGTGAATTCGGCACTACCCTCCCTTCTATTTCTCCCCCCCCCTCCTGCCACCGTGTAAGCAGCCATCCATGACGACAGTTTAGGGACAATGAAAAGATCAAGCAGAACTTATTACCTCCCCTTGGTTTCAAATAGTTTAAAAGCTAAATTATCTGCCCCTCTACGATTGTAAACATTTGGGGTGAACCTTAGCTCACCAGAATAGTGGGGGTGGTAGGTATATGCCTAGAGAGCGGGGTAGTAATAACAGCGTGTGTCTACGTGATGGTGTCTCGCATGGTCCCCATGAAGAGAATGGTTTTTAGTTCAAGACAACAATAATGATCAGGTCCCTCTCAACTACTATAGCCAATGCCATTTTATCAAGTAATTAACCTGAGTAATTAGATCCACTATTTTTTTTTATTTGCGCATTCAAGTTGAAATAGTTTTAAAATAGTAGGAATTTTAAATGATAAAAAATGTCATAATTCTAGGAAAATTTTGGTTAATTAACTAAGTAGGATAGATTACAGATAATTTAATACACAATGAAATAATTATATGCAGTTAAAAAAAAGCACAATAATTATTGTTCTAGATCACTGACTATTAACTTAACCTTTTAGGACGTACTGAACCCTACCAGTTTCCTTTGCGCATTCACAGAACTCTTCTTAAATTAAATAATAATAGTTCTATCATTCGCACTGACAAAATCTGAGGGTGATATTTCGAGTCGTCCCTTTGAATCCCGGTCAGAAAGCCCCCCCCCCCCCCCCCGTCGCGGCCTCAACCAACCGGCGGGCTTGTTGCATTGAGTTAAATATAAACTCAAAACAATAATATAAACAATCTCCTTTTAGGTTGGTCAGGGCACATACCAGGCACGCACAGTGTTGTGTGTCGTGCCTTAACCAAAATAAACTACACATAGAAAAAAATGGCTTTTTCTGCCCTTTTTAGCTCCAACAACGCGTCGCGTGACGTCAGCCGCCAACCAAAACGCGGAGAAAGCGGGAGTTTGATTGGTTGGCGGCTGACACTATGAAATCCTCTAGGGACGATTCGAATTGTATACCAAATCTGACATTATGAGTCTGGTGTGTGTCTAGACCTCCGCAGAGATTGACTCACTGAATCTCTGGTTGTTCTATCAAGCCCAAGTTAAAAACCATTGTTCTAGACTAAGAGTAGAGGTCCTTCTATATTTTATTAGTTGCAATGATTCAAGGCTAGTGATCGGATTAGGTTAGGGCTTGCATACCATTGCTTCTATAATTTAAGATATGATAAAACTTCGCACAGCGGTGTAAAGCAATGAAGTAATATGCAAATGCAAGTAAATTCAAAATTAGATACAGGATAACTAGAAATAATTTAATATAATTGAAGGGTGTGTCACTGTTTTATAGCTGCTTGCAGCTCTTCTGGCGCAGAACACTAAACTGTTCCCTAGACACATCACTACATGATGCACTCAGTGTGCAGTGCATAATATTGTAGGCCCTATTATGAATAATGGCCCTAGAGTGATAAACCAATATAAAACACCTTTAACTTCTCTTAAATTTAAATGTCTCGCATTGATTATACAAGTCGCACTATTAAGTAATTAACTTATTTATTTAGTATTTACTATTTACTATTTAGGCCTAAGTCCTGTTTTTCTTCAGCTACAATCTGAATGGATACATCTAGAATATAGATCTAGAATCTAGATCTAATAACTTTCTTAATTTAAGACTTTTAATTGTAAGTTTTCCATGTATATTCCATGTAAGTTTCCCTAATTGTAAGAGATCATTGGCAGTGTTTCAAATTTTAAAACGGCAATTCTGCCAATTTGATTTGCAGATTTAAATTTAATAAATAGGCCTACTTAAAAATATGTCTACTTGCAATAGCATTCACTTCAATCTTTGTAAAGTGTAAGGTCTAAGCAATATTTGGACAATTAGTCATATGGGGTGGGGTAAGGTGGTGGGATACCTACTTTTTAACTTGTTAAGTTTTTACTTTTTACAACCTGACCTAACCACTCTCACACTCACACTAAGTCAAAAATAAACAAAATAAAGCACCATCATGTTACCATGGAAATCAAAGAAATTAGCAATGCATATACATAAAAACGTACTCAAAGCAAAAGGTAATGATCTTATCGTTTATCCAGTTAGGTTCCATTAACAAATCAAGGTCGGATTTTCGCAATAAGCTATCCCCAAAACTCAAAACAATATCATCTTTCTCGGCCATGATCTTAGAGTACATCCATAATGTTACGTCACTTCCGTGTTTGAATAAACTTTTTACATTCACCGCGTTTACACTCACAACATGTCTAGAGGTCTAGTGTACAAAATTTTATATAGAGTCTAGACTAGATCTAGAAATATTTCCCCAAGCAAAATTTTAACGTTCAAGCCAAAATAATTTGTTACAAAAGATTTTAGAAACACAAATAAATATGACCTCTGATCTGGAGTTTTTAAAATAAGTTTGCTGCTACGTTATTAGGCCTGGCCTATAGTTTAATTAATAAATTATTTTATTTTTAAAAGGAACAGCAATCAAAGTAAAAGTAAAAGTAGATGTTTGGCGTGAAATTTTCAAGGAAAATAGTGTTGAAATGGTGTATAGGCTTTAATAATTAATTAAGTCATGCAAAATGTGAAACATAGGTCTACAATCCCTAATTACATTTTTAAAATCTGTTTTTATAACCTGTAGATTTTATCAGATGGCGCATGTTTTGGAAATTTAAAATATAATTAGACCAATTAATTAAAAAATCATACAACAGTCAGCGATGAATATAATTAAAACAATAAACGTTAATGAAAGCGCCTATCGTATGTAATGCGATACACTTTACTGCAGGCCGAAAGTTACGTGCCAGTAACACTATTTTTCTTCAGTCGCTTTTTTTTATTTTTTAAGAAAATATGAAAAAATAATCTGTAGAAAATTGTTGTGGGGCAAGTAGACTGTGGGTGTGGGTTAGTCAGTAGCGTACGCAGGGGGGGAGCAGGGGGAGCGGCCGCTCCCCCTCTGGCCATTTTTCCCACGTTTTCTTTAACTTGCTTTCTCTGTGTCTTTCTGTGTTTCTGTGTTTGTTTGTCTTTCCAATCCAATCTTGCGATCGAAATTTCTGGCACTTCCCAGTTAGCTAGCGCGCTGAAATTTTCAGGGAAGCTTTGTTTTGGATGACAATTGAATATTCTATTGTTTTTATTACTAAATTAATCCATGGAAACATTTTATTGATCATTTTAGACCACTATATAATTGTACCAAAAAACGTCGGGAAAAAGGGACATTACCCAGTAACTGTAATTTGATGAAAACAAGGTTCGACACTCCCCCTCTTTTTGCTTACTGAGTAGTTGTCACGCTGTGTTTGTGTACAAACAACCATAACCTAACAACTGGTGGCCAGTATGGGGGAGACTATATGGTCGAGTGGTTGGGCACACGATTGCTATCCCACTCGACACGGGTTCAAATCTATGTGTTCTAGTCAGTAACGTATTCACACAACGTGTTTTTTTACGAGTTGTCTTTTTACGAGTTGTCTTTTTACGAGTTATCTTCGTTTACCCAAAAAAAAAGTGAAAAGATAAAATCGATAGCAAGATTTTAATGCAAACAAACAGACAAAGACTAAAAAGTAGAAAATAATAATCATTAAAAAAGTTTTAAAAAACCCACGTTTTCCGATTGAACTAAAAAGTAGAAAATAAATACTGTACATCACAATAATGCAAGCGATCACTCTACTATAAGCGATCAAAAACGTGGGGCGCCGTGATTTTCTTACAGTTTCTAATACTGTTGACTCTCTACAAGCTCCCTAATAAAAGTCAATAGTATTATCTAATCAATAGTAATATAACTTTTACTTCGGCGCCCCACGTTTTTGATCGCTTATAGTAGAGTGATCGCTTGCATTATTGTGATGTACAGTATTTATTTTCTACTTTTTAGTTCAATCGGAAAACGTGGGTTTTTTAAAACTTTTTTAATGATTATTATTCCCACGTTTTCTTTAACTTGCTTTCGTCTCTGTCTTTCCAATCAAATCTTGCGATCGAAATTTCTGGCACTTCCCAGTTAGCTAGCGCGCTGAAATTTTCAGGGAAGCTTTGTTTTGGATGACAATAGAATATTCAATTGTTATTATTACTAAATTGATCCATGGAAACATTTTATTGAGCATTTTAGAGCGCTATATAATTGTAGTAAAAACGTGGGGAAAAAAGGGACATAACCCAGTAACTGTAATTTGATGAAAATAAGGTTCGGTACTCTCCCTCTTTGCTTACTGAGTAGTGTTCACGCGGTGTTTGTGTACAAACAACCGTAACAACTGGTGGCCAGTATGGGGGAGACGATATGGTCGAGTGGTTGGGCACACGATTGCTATCCCACTCGACACGGGTTCAAATCTATGTGTTCTAGTCAGTAACGTATTCACACAACGTGTTTTTTTACGAGTTGTCTTCGTTTACCCAAAAAAAAAGTGAAAAGATAAAATCGATAGCAAGATTTAAATGCAAACAAACAGACAAAGACTAAAAAGTAGAAAATAATAATCATTAAAAAAGTTTTTAAAAACCCACGTTTTCTGATTGAACTAAAAAGTAGAAAATAAATGCTATACATCACAATAATGCAAGCGATCACTCTACTATAAGCGATCAAAAACGTGGGTCGCCATGATTTTCTTACAGTTTCTAATACTGTTGACTCTCTACAAGCTCCCTAATAAAAGTCAATAGTATTATCTAATCAATAGTAATATAACTTTTACTTCGGCGCCCCACGTTTTTCATCGCTTATAGTAGAGTGATCGCTTGCATTATTGTGATGTATAGCATTTATTTTCTACTTTTTAGTTCAATCAGAAAACGTGGGTTTTTTTTTAACTTTTTTAATGATTATTATTAGCAAAGTGGCGCCTTTTTGGAAACTTTTTAAACAATGACATTTGCACAAAAAAAAATATTTTTGGTCGGCACATCTATGTAAATCACAAGATTTCTTTTTATGCAGCAATCAAGCATTATTGTACTAGTCTAGTAGTGTCTGCGTTTACAACACGTATTAACAGTTGCATCAGTTTGCCATTCTAAAAATAACCGTTATGATGCAGTGCAATGTTTAAACAACCTCTACGGGTAGTATCACTTGGCAAGATGGGTGTTAAGTTTAAGGCAACTGTATAATGCTGTATAATGTATTTGCTTACGAATAATTGAATTAGAAAATGTTATACATAAAACTTCACACATAATTACTCTATATATACAGTTTGAATCGTGTGATTAATTTTAAAAAATTACAATACAGAAACAAATACAACTGATGTGGCACCTCTATTTAAATTTATTTATGAGCAAACTGCGTAGTAGTGGGGAAATTTTGACAAGGTCAACAACAGTTACAAACCCCCCCCCCCTCCCCCATGGACCCCTCTGTAAAAAAATATTGTCATAATACCACTGCTACTTATTTAAATCTATTTCTGTAATATATATTTGTGTAATATATATTTGTGTAATATATATGTATGTTTAGAACAGTCATCTAAAAACTGACGCTATGTTCACTCTGAGTTGGTTATCTCCCCCCCCCCCCCCACACACACACCTCACCACCACAATTGTGTAGAGCGACATTAATGTAACATCTAGGTATACACTGGGTTGGATAATTGACCTAAAGTGACCGGACAGTGGTGAATGATGTTGAACACCCCCCCCCCCCCCAACCCACCCGAACTGATCTGTTAAGTAGGCCTACATGTAGAAAAACGCGTAATGATGTACCAAAGTACCATGCCGCCAGAAAATTAGCTTTTTAAACATAAAACTATGTGAATATTGTTTTTGCAATTACCAGTAAAAAGGTGTTTAATCAATACAGTGATCTAACCCATACCTATCACTATGTTAAAAAAAAATGATCTTTAAAGAACACAAACAAGCAGTATATAAATATATAAATATATAAAATATCTGATCTGAACTAAAAAAGACCGAGCTTTAGCTAAATGTAGGCTGTTATTCCGAATGTTTATCTATTATATGAAAAGCGTGGTTTTATACCAACTCTGATTTTAAAAAAACTTTCATTATGCTGTAATACTTTAGCATTTATGATGAAGATATATTAAATTCTGATTATAGACAAAAACATTTTGTAAACACGAATAGTGTTAATTTCATTATATTCTAAAGTAATTATTTATTTGTTTTGATATTTATAATTAAATGTGTAGATATATACATATTTATATTAAAAGAGTTATAATTTCCCCTATTTAACTTGTCTTAAATAATTTCCCAGGAATTATTATGTAAGAATTTTTTTTTACAAGAATTACAAAACAGATTGTGATACGTTCATTGTTTTTGGTTGCAGTGCGTATATATATATATATATATATATATATATATATATATATATATATATATATATATATATATATATATATATATATATATATATATATATATATATATATATATATATATATATATATATATATATATATATTTGTTTAGATTGATACAATTTTTGTTTTGTCGGCCTACATTGTGTGTTTTTTCTTATTTCTTCAGAGTGCTACTTTCAATTTATTTTACATTATAGCGAAGTAATGACATGCAGCTAGTAATTATATATATATATATATATATATATATATATATATATATATATATATATATATATATATATATATATATATATATATATATATATAACATAAAAATACACGTATATAGATCGTATTAAAAATTCGGCGCCTTTTTTGCTCTTTTCGCTCCACCTACAACGAAAACCTGGATACGCCTCTGGGGTTAGTATTTACATTGTGTTGCTAGGCAACATAATTTTTTTTTAATGTTTTACGTATATGAGAGGTCTTAATTAAATTAAAATTATGTATGTTCACTGATTGCCATAACCTGCTGGTTGATTATTTTGCAGATATCACAAGAAATTATATTTGTATCCAGTGACATCACTAAGTCGGGTGCTTCAAAATGTATTTAACTATAACTAGTTCCTAATCCAAACACACGCACAGCATTATTTATTGTCTTGAATCGGATTTTATTTTTAAAAGGACAGTCCTCCCCCCCCCTCCCCCCCCCCCCCCCACCCTCGCCATATGTGGAAGTGATGTTCTTAAATAATCCCTTGCAGTGTTTCTTCCGGACTTTTTTCTCCGGGGGGGGGGGAACTTGATATTTTCGGAGGCGGGGGGGGGGGGGAGCCTTTTTGTTCCGACTGTTTTGAGGCTTTGCTTCTGTTCTGGGTTTCTGTGACCTACCAGTAGTTGGCCATGTTAGACTTCTTATTAAAACAATGATAAAAATTGAAAAATCTGATTGTTTTGTTTTTTACTTTATTCTATACAATTTATAACAAAGCTAAATATATGTATATAAAAAGTGCATATGCATGTATATACATATTTAAACATATACAAATAGTCCATATACAATTTATCAAAAATAATTTTAGTTTTAAAGTCAAAAGCAATGTAAAGATAATGATGAGTTTAATGAACAGCCTCGTGCTAATTACTATTATCGTAATTATCTTCAAGTATCAATTAAATTATTCTCATAGAAGAAGACAATATAAATGGTGTACTGTGTGAAAGTAGTTTATAATTTTTTTCTCTATTCTACAATTTCTAAACAATAATTTATTATAAGGCTTATTATAACTTTCAAATTTGCTTTCATAGCGTATCATTATTAAAATACAAACACTGCATCGGTCTTGACTTGTGGCTGTTATCAATATTTTTTCACGAAATGTTACACAGAAATCCGATTTTTCAAAACACGAGCCCTCTCTCTAGTTCGCTGTGAGGCTACCGAAAAACTGTGCGGTCTAGCGTACCGGAACTTACTCCACTTGGGGAAACTTATGCTGTTGTTGTTGTTTTTGTTGTTTGCGTTCTGGTTACCGGAAGTGGGGGCGCTGTCTTCCTCGCTATCAACAATGCCTGCCGTGTCGGCGATGATGAAGACGTATTCGTTCCACGCGCTGTGATTTGGCGCACTTTCCGCCCGAATGTGGAAGTCGATTTTCATTTGCTGTTAAATAGAGAAGCGACATCAGAACTTTTTTTTTTAGTTTATTGAAACTCCTTAAAAAAATGAAGTCGAAGTTAATTAATAGATATTTTGAATTTTAAAAAGATAGCGTGTATTAGCTTTAATCAGTGTTTCTTCCAGACTTTGTCTTCGGGAGGGGCACTTGAAATTTTCGGGGGGGGGGGGGGGGCGGTAGACTTTCTTCGGGGGGGGGGGCGGACACTGTTAAAAGTATATATTTTCTATATAAATTATGTAAATTTCATTTCGTTTTCGGGGGGGGGGGGCGGTAAAAAAATTTCGGGGGTCACCCCGAAGAGATGGAAACTCTGGCTTTAATTTGGATACTATATATGAATCCGGCAATTAGTATTACCTAATGAAGAAGCATATCATGAAACCAACAAGGATCAAGACAATGATAGACCCAAAAACACCAGGCGCCGAGAAATTGAAAAAAAAAAACATGAAAATTATGGGAAAGAGTTTGAAGTAAATTGACAAAATTGTAACAGACACAAAGACATGGGAAGATGTTGTAAATGGCCGGTGCTCGTCTGGATAGTGAAAAGGGCAAAGAAGAAGTAGGTCTAGCACTAGTTCTGTCTCTAGCTGTTTGAAGTTGTAGAAGAGAAGTAATGGTGTAGAAAAATTAGCTAGGGGGGGGGGGGGGAGAGGGGCGTCTCACTTAATGACACATTACCCATACTCCCGTGACACTTGACCCATGACGGTAGACCTGACCCATACTGCCGTGATACCTGACCCATATTGCACCTGACACATATTGCACCTGATCCATACTGCCTTCACACCTGACCTGTGTTGCAGTGACACCTGACGACACCTGACCCACACTGCCCTGGCACCTGACTATGCCTACAGCCTACAGTACTGTAACTGAGACTCAATAGATCCGTAAAAACCCAAAAACTACCTTTAAAAACGGGAACCACTGCTTGACCTCTCGCCGGAACCCCTCAAACTCCAAATAGTCCGTGAGTGACCGGGCCAGCCTGAGCGTCTGCAGCTTGATGACCTTCTTCATCTGCAGGGTGCATAGGGTGCCCATGAACTGGGCGTGGACGTCCATGTGCAGGTCCAGATAGGTCAGGCTGGTCGTCTTCTCCAGCATGTTGAGGATGGCGGTCTCGATCTCCTCACACACGTTGTTGTCGCTCCTGGCAGGGAGAGGGGGGTATATGGAGGGGCGTAGGCAGGTATTGGTCATTGGAGGGGGGCATGTAGTGGCGTAGGCAGGTATTGGTCATTGGAGGGGGGCATGTAGGGGTGTAGGCAGGTATTGGTCATTGGAGGGGGGCATGTAGGGGCGTAGGCAGGAATTGGTAATGGGAGGTGGGCATGTATGGGCGTAGACAGGAATTGGTCATGGATAAGGGGGTGGGGGGGGGTGAATACATTAAAGAGAACGTAGGCAAGAATTGGTCATGGGGTGTGACATGCAGGGGCGTAGGCAGGTTTTGGTCATTTGGGGGGGGGGGGGGCATGCAGGGGCGTAGGCAAGAATGGATGGGGATGGGGGACAAATACGATGCGTAGGCTGGAATTGATCATGGGGGGGGGGGGCGACATACTGGGGCGTAAGCAGGAATTAGTTATAGGGGAACGTTTCATATGTATGTATATATATATATATATATATATATATATATATATATATATATATATATATATATATATATATATATATATATATATATATATATATATATATATATATGAAATTTCCCAGAGTAAGATCGATTCACTGTATTCCCCCAATTAAAGATGGACCAATCACATCCGCTGTCCAAATTCCCAATGAATGACGGTTGACTGACTCACCACATCCTAAACCCGGCTATCGTCTGCGCGTAGCTGGCGCTGACGTGCTGTAGCATGTCCACCATGTCCTGCACGTCCTCGTCCCCCAGGGCAGCGATGCCCACCAGATCCAGGCGGTACATGGGGATGCCAGGCAGCAGGACTGCTCGCGTCACATCTCTGGAATAGCCAGTGGTCAGAATAAACGCCTCCATGCCACATCGGCAGCTTTACTTAACAGACACATGAAAGCTAGCAAAAAGACGCTGCTTACATTTTGAAGTATGAGACTGGCCTTCCAGATGCTTTTAATGATGTAGGTATGAGGAAGAAATACCTGGAGATGATCATGATTGCGGAAGAACTACCTGATGATGTATAAGGTATGACTTACCTGATGATATACTGGGAAGACCTATCTGATGATGTATGCGGAAGACCTACCTAACGATATATATGGTATGACCTACCTGAATAAGTATGTGGCATGACCTACCTGTTGATGTGTATCGCATGACCTACCTATGTATATGGTATGACCTACCTGACGAAGTATAAAGTATAACCTACCTGACGATGTATAAGGTATGACCTACCTGACGAAGTATAAAGTAAGACCTACCAGACGAAGTATAAAGTATAACCTACCTGACGATGTATATGGCATGACCTACCAGACGAAGTATAAAGTATAACCTACTTGATGCTCCTGATGTTTTGAAGAATAAGGTACACACGAACGTTAGAAAACCTGGACATGGCAGACCAAGCTTGTCTGGACACGATCGGGATGGGAATGTTGGCTAGCCAGGAGACCACGTTTAGGTGGATGACCCTGTTCTGATGGGAGGTAAGATATCTGTTACTAACTCGTCTTTTAATTTGGGATATTATCATGTGATGAAGCAGGGGCGTAGCGAGGGGGGGGGGCGGGGGTGCGGACCGCACCGGGTGACACCATTTAGGGGGGGGGGGTGACACCAAGGCAAAAAATAGCAAAATATATAGAGAAAAACTCGAGGGGGGGTGCAAATCGAAAGTTTGAGGGGGGGGGGGTGCAAATCGAAAACTTGAGGGGGGGGGGTGCAAATCGAAAGTTTGAGGGGGGGTTCAAATCGAAAACTTGAGGGGGGGGGGTGCAAATCGAAAGTTTGAGGGGGGGGTGCAAATCGAAAATTTGAAAGTTTGTCCCTGGGAAGGGTCTCTATGCCTCTGGGGGGGGGGGGGGGGTGACACCATTAAGTGCCGCACCGGGTGACACCCGACCTTGCTACGCCACTGTGATGAAGCTATTGCTTTGTGATGTCGCTAGATTCGCAAATTTGTTTTTAAAATACCCTTTTGAAATTCGCGTTTCTTAGAAGACCTCTTGTACATTTTTTTTTTTACTTTTCAAACGCAAAACATTTTTTCCGATTTGTATTGGGGCTAGTGGCGCTAAAACTTCAGCTTAGTTTGAGTTATTGACTTCTCCCTACAGACTACGGAAGTTCTTTCATTCGGATTTAGCCCCAGGTTCATTGGGGGGGGGGGGCTGATTATCTCCATTTACTCTACCAATACATCGCGATTACCTCCCTTTACTTTACCTAGCGGTAGAGAGCTAGATGCTAACCTGAGAGTCTTGAGTTCGAATCTGGGTTCAAATCAGTGGAGCGTCCCAGCTCTGATGGGTACCTAACTAACATTAGGGAAACAAAGGCGGCTTGGCATAGTGTTGACCACACTACCTCTTCATATGCCGAGGTCAATGTGTCTTAGGCACAAACAAGATTAAGAAGAAGAAGACTTTACCAACACATCACCTCCCCCCCCCCCCCCCCTTACCCTTCCGATCTCCGTCAGCCAATTGAGCAGATGATCCGTCAGGTACTCATAGTTGATCGTGAAGTCGTTCAGGTTGGGGAACCGCATCATGCAGCGGGTGAACCGCTCCGGGACGGAGGGCGAGCTCAGCACGATGTCGTCCCCAAAGAAATCCTCCAGGCCCAGCCTGAGCAGGCTATCGCCCGAGGACGCGGCGATGGCGTCCAGCAGGTCCATGCCCATGGCGAAGTCCAGCATCGCTTGTCGCATCTGGAACCCCACCAGGCGCCGCTGGGTCTTCAGGAGCCGGATGATTCTGGCTATCACACGGGTGCAGGTCGACTTACCTACGTGGAAAGGTACATTTTATATAGGTGTTTTTTTTTTTAGTTGCAATTAGCTCATTCCTACATTTTTGTTATGTTAGTGTTAACACTAACATAGTATTAACTCTGAGGATATCTTCTTCCCTAACTCTAATCTTAACATTACAGTAAGCCAATTTTTTTTTACTAGAGTTAGGGTCAGGTTTATTGTTAAGTGTGTTTAACTTATCGTTATTGGCAATAGAAGAAAGTGAAAGTGTGTCTAATCGTATGATATCTAGTTAGGTACGAGAATATTTTTTTATAAATATTTATCTTACAAAATTACTTGAAATTTTGTCCTTTTAGAAATCTATCTACCTTTTTTTTTTAAATTTAGTAAATAATGTTGAATTTCCTTTTTCCCCTCTTAAAACCTTGCTACCCAAAAAAACGAAGCTACTATAATCACAGTAAGCATTTTTTTAATTGATAAAGATACTTTAAATTTTGCGTTTTACCATACTACCCCTTAAAATTTTAACCTTAATGCCAGTTATGCCAGCCTGGATTGCCCAACCGGCTAAGCTGGATTTCGATATTGTCCGACAGTTTAAGCTGGACTACTATGCTGCCCGGTTCGCTAACCCTGGCTTTTATATTACCCGACCGGTTAACCTTGAATTTTTGCACTGCCCGCCAGTCTAACCTAGAATTGTATGTTGCCCAGCTGATCAAAATGGCAAACAAAAAGAGTTAGTAAAGACTTTTATTCCGTGCCTACTACTATAAATGACAAACAAAAAGAGTTAGTAAAGACTTTTATACCGTGCCTACTACTATAAATGGCAAACAAAAAGAGTTAGTAAAGACTTTTATTCCGTGCCTACTACTATAAATGGCAAACAAAAAGAGTTAGTAAAGACTTTTATACCGTGCCTACTACTATAAATGACAAATAAAAAGAGTTAGTAAAGACTTTTATACCGTGCCTACTACTATAAATGGCAAACAAAAAGAGTTAGTAAAGACTTTTATCGCGTGCCTACTACTATAAATGACAAACAAAAAGAGTTAGTAAAGACTTTTATACCGTGCCTACTACTATAAATGGCGAACAAAAAGAGTTAGTAAAGACTTTTATCGCGTGCCTACTACTATAAATGGCAAACAAAAAGAGTTAGTAAAGACTTTTATCGCGTGCCTACTACTATAAATGACAAACAAAAAGAGTTAGTAAAGACTTTTATACCGTGCCTACTACTATAAATGGCAAACAAAAAGAGTTAGTAAAGACTTTTATCGCGTGCCTACTACTATAAATGGCAACCAAAAAGAGTTAGTGAAGACTTTTATCCCATCCATACTAGAGATAAATGGCAAAGAAAAAGAGTAAGTAAAGACTTTTATCGCGTGCCTACTACTATAAATGGCAACCAAAAAGAGTTAGAAAAGACTTTTATCCCGTGCCTACTACTATAAATGGCAACCAAAAAGAGTTAGTGAAGACTTTTATCCCATCCATACTAGAGATAAATGGCAAAGAAAAAGAGTAAGTAAAGACTTTTATCGCGTGCCTACTACTATAAATGGCAACCAAAAAGAGTTAGAAAAGACTTTTATCGCGTGCCTACTACTATAAATGGCAACCAAAAAGAGTTAGTAAAGACTTTTATCGCGTGCCTACTACTATAAATGGCAAACAAAAAGAGTTAGTAAAGACTTTTATCGCGTGCCTACTACTATAAATGGCAAACAAAAAGAGTTAGAAAAGACTTTTATCGCGTGCCTACTACTATAAATGGCAAACAAAAAGATTTAGTAAAGACTTTTATCGCGTGCCTACTACTATAAATGGCAAACAAAAAGAGTTAGTAAAGACTTTTATCGCGTGCCTACTACTATAAATGGCAAACAAAAAGATTTAGTAAAGACTTGTATCTCGTGTCTACTACTACAAATGGCAAACAAAAAGGGTTAGTAAAGACTTTTATCCCGTGTCTACTACTACAAATGGCAAACAAAAAGATTTAGTAAAGACTTGTATCTCGTGTCTACTACTACAAATGGCAAACAAAAAGGGTTAGTAAAGACTTTTATCCCGTGTCTACTACTACAAATGGCAAACAAAAAGGGTTAGTAAAGACTTTTATCCCATGCCTGGTGTCGCCGACCACCAATAAGCGGTGCCGTTAATGTCCAGGTTCAGCAGGTCCGCACGTTGTAGCGCCCTCAGGAACTTGTCCCTGTACCGGTCGAAGTTGCCGAAACACATGATGGTGGCGTTCTGCAGGTAGTGGACCCGGGAGCTCAGCCAGCTCAGGCCCCGGGGGGCCTCGCTGTTGGAGTACAGGTAGAAGACGTGGTTCCTCCAGAGGGTGGGGTTCTTGGTCGCCTCGTTCCAGGTGGTGCACACTTGGGCCATCTTGCAGCGGTCTCTCCCCTGTAGGAAGCTGCAGGACAAAGGTTAGTGTTGAGTCTATGGGGAGATGGGCATTGTGGTTGTGTGGGTATGGGGAGAATGGGAATTGTGGTTGTGTGGGTATGGGGAGAATGGGCATTGTGGTTGTGTGTGTATGGGGAGAGTGGGCATTGTGGTTGTGTGGGTATGGGGGAATGGGCATTGTGGTTGTGTGTGTATGGGGAGATGAGGCTATGTGGTTGTGTGGGTATGGGGGAATGGGCATTGTGGTTGTGTGGGTATGGGGAGAATGGGCATTGTGGTTGTGTGGGTATGGGGAGATGAGGCTATGTGGTTGTGTGGGTATGGGGAGAGTGGGCATTGTGGTTGTGTGTGTATGGGGAGAGTGGGCATTGTGATTGTGTGGGTATGGGGAGAATGGGAATTGTGGTTGTGTGGGTATGGGGAGAATGGGCATTGTGGTTGTGTGTGTATGGGGAGAGTGGGCATTGTGATTGTGTGGGTATGGGGAGAATGGGCATTGTGATTGTGTGGGTATGGGGAGAGTGGGCATTGTGGTTGTGTGGGTATGGGGAGAATGGGCATTGTGATTGTGTGGGTATGGGGAGAATGGGAATTGTGGTTGTGTGGGTATGGGGAGAATGGGCATTGTGGTTGTGTGTGTATGGGGAGAGTGGGCATTGTGATTGTGTGGGTATGGGCAGATGAGGCAATGTGGTTGTGGGGGTATGGGCAGATGAGGCATTGTGGTTGTGGGGGTATGGGCAGATGAGGCATTGTGGTTGTGGGGGTATGGGCAGATGAGGCAATGTGGTTGTGGGGGTATGGGCAGATGAGGCTATGTGATTGTGTGGGTACGGGCAGATGAGGCATTGTGGTTGTGTGGGTATGGGCAGATGAGGCTATGTGGTTGTGTGGGTATGGGCAGATGAGGCTATGTGGTTGTGTGGGTATGGGCAGATGAGGCAATGTGGTTGTGTGGGTATGGGCAGATGAGGCAATGTGGATGTGTGGGTATGGAAGATTGGACATTGTGATAGTTTGGCGATAGGCAGATGGGGTATAGTGATTGTGTGGCCACGGCAGATTTGTGATTGTAATTGTGTATGTGCGGCAGATTTATGATTGTGATTGTGTGAGCATGGTAGATTTGTGATTTCCATTGTGTTGGTATGGCAGACTGGGCAATATGACTGTGTGGCCCGTACTCTTCCAAACAGTACGGGCGACAACTGTGTTCCCCACACCCCTCTCCTGGCCAGTATGCAGGAGATTACACATCCCTCCCCAGTCAAGTCAGTCACCTCTCCACTATCAGCCTCCCACAAATCCCCTCCCCCCATCATTTACCCATTACCCCCACACATAAACTATTTTAGATAGAGCCTAATTATAATCCTAATAATAAACAACATAGCCATCTCTTTAATCTTAAGGTTATCGCTACGGTGTTTGGGCTAGGGTTGGGGTTAAGACTAGGAAATGGGAATAACCTGGAAGGAAAAGTCGTATATGATATTGCCATTTGATTTAACGAACTACCAAACACGATTTTAATTCGCATTCTGTCGGCCCTATTCAGACATTTAATAGAATGCTTAATCAGCATAAGCAGTTCCAGGTTTCTCACTATACCAATAACAGCTTGGTAACATGCATAGTAATTCTCGGGAGAGGGTAATTACCATTGTTGATTTATGGGATATTGGGAGGAGGTAATGATCGGATGTGTGGTAAGTGACTGGGAGAAATGTCCTAGACTTCACAGGGCCGAAAGTGCAGACTCTCATGCCCAACAGCTTTACTTTACCGACTTAACCCAGGCACAAAGCTAGACATATTAAGTAAACTCGTGGTTTGGGGAATGGAAACACTATTTATTTTACCCCCCACCCCCCTACCCTAAACACAGTGTTAGAGTAGTCTAGACCAATCTAGACGGAACTATAAAGACCTGCATATTTTAACGAGAACGTTGTACGGCAGACAATCCCACGGCTGACTCTCCGCCTCTACACTGTCATCCTCGCTGTCGTCTTCAACGATGAGCAACCTTGGGGCTAGAGAAGTCTTCAGGGCCTCGGCAAACGTCGTCTCCATGTCGTACTTGATCGGGATTTGAGCCGGAAGTTTTGATGCCTTCCCTTGGATTCGTCACCACATGCGCCAAACACCGCACCATGTTTGGTGTACATTAGGGATTTAAGCGTATGATAACTTGGTGCGCATATTGTAGTAGTAATTAACATACATATTGCTAGTATAAATCAATGGATGAATCGAGATCTACAATCTGTCGAATGTCTCTTACAGTCTATAAAGTGTAGATCATGATAAAGTTAATGATAAAGTTTAGATTTGATTACTAAACTCATGTTAATGAATTGCACCTCGATTAATGAAAGTTAATGAAGATTCTTGTAAAAGTAATTAATAAAGTGTCAGTGTAGAAACGTGCCTAGGTTTAGATAAAGAAAGTAAATTTAATTTTATGTCCTTTAATCAAATAAACTGAGATGTACCACGTATAAACTCATCTTTCCGAAATAAATCTTTCGCAATTTTTAGAATTAAAACAACTTGATTTAGAACTTTCAAATAAAAATGTCTGAGATCAAATTCCGAGTGTAAATATAAAAATCGTATCGAATCAAAGCCCGTAGTTTTAATCTCTCTCATGAGATTTTCTGCACGATGTGATCAAGTGGTAGATCAGTCGGTTGCTCCTCAGTTTCCGATAGACTCGAGTTCGATTCCTAGCTTGTACTCCGTAGGGTGCCTCAGACCTTGCATTTCCGGGGAGCATCGGAGTGGGTTGTGGTAAGTACAGACCTCTGGCCATATTTCTGACTAAGGGGTCATCCATAAATGACGTCACGCTTTTTGACGATTTTTACCTCCCCCCTCCCCTCCGTCACACGTCGTCACAAAAAGCCAGACCCCCCCCCCCCCCTAAAATGACGTCACACCTCAGCCTACAACCCCCACCCCTCAAAATTGCAGTTGAATTTTTTTAAACAGCTATATTTTTCCAAAATCTTGTCTGAACTTTGTCAAAATAGAGTATTTTAATCAATTGTTATTACAATTTATTAAAACAGTTTTCTAAAACGCAAAATGAAGTCTAAAATTCGTTTTCTAACATTGCTTTTTTAATAATGCAAAAGTGTGACGTCGCACCATCTGAACCCCCTCCCCCCCACCTCCTCCATCACACACCGTCACAAAATTACGGACCACCCTCCCCCTACGATTGTGACGTCATTTATGGACGACCCCTTAACGATCTCTTCATATTCCGTGGGTCGGAAATGACCTTTGATTCTCTGCTTTCGAAAGGAAAAACGTATTTTCAACAAGACGACACAATTCTTTGACCTTAGATTAATATTTTTATACAATAATAGATTTTTTAAAGACAATTCTTAAAATTTCATGCTTTAAGAGTTAATTTAAAATACAAAATAAAGACCACATTTTATTCCAGAGTTATTTTATTGATTCTAAATTTTTTGCTTGTCTAAACCTTCTAATACTAAGTGTGTGGTAAAAAATGTAACAAAAATGGATCACGGCCAAAAATTAACTAGTCTAATTCGAAGATACGCCGTGTTATGGGCGCACCTTTTACAGCATTTACGGTACATAGATGGGTGTGTTCAATTTACACATGTACATGTATTGATTAATTTACTCACATGTAATTAAGTAATCCAATAATGAGCAACGCGAGACGCTCCAAAAACATATATCCATTTATGTTAATGAGTAAACGGTGTGTGGATGTTTGAAATTTAACTCAAGTTGATGGAGGATAAAAATAGTAACACTGAAATTACAATACATATGAGTGTTGATTATGTACAATGATTACAAATGGTGTGCGATATTTGTAGAGAGCAGAGTTTCTTCCAGGCATCTCCGAAAAAAGTCTACCGCCCCCCAAACGAAATGAAATTTATATAGAAAATATATACTTTTAACAGTGTCCGCCCCCCTCCTCGAAGAAAGTCTACCGCCCCCCCCCCCCCCGAAAATGTCAAGTGCCTCCCCCCCGGAGAAAAAAGTCTGGAAGAAACACTGGTAGAGAGCTAAGTCTTATTGAAAGGTATATCATACTGTAAATGGTATACATGTGTTGAAAGGTATACAATTGTTAGTAACACAGTTGGAGGTATACATTTTCAGTTCTATAGTTGTTAGTTATATAGTGGTGGGTATACATTTTCATACCTACTATTGCAGATATACAAAACAACGCCAGTAAAAAAGCACAAAAATTGATGTTGAAGTAAGGTTACAATCGTTCAAAATGCTTTGTGTACAAACAATTGTGTGGGTCTGTACACTGACTGTGTGAGCGATGAATGCAAGATGTACACAGTTTAGTAACGATGGTGAGCTCACAGTTACCATGGCGACGACACTGTTGTGTAACCATGGTGATGACAGACAATGCTACTCGTAATAAAAGAAAGACTACTAATCATTTAGCATGTAATCATTTCACAACTTTGTGATAAGAGGTTAGTAAATAAACATTTAGACCCACATCAAGTTACCGTTTTTATATAAAACAAATGAAATTAAGATTAAAATGCAATGAAACATTAGCCAATAAACTTTAGCCATTTTCATGTTTCGGACAAATCAACTCACGAAAGGGGCTTAACAGAATAAAGTACAATTTGAGTTAGTGGTTATCTCCCGTTAAAAACAAAACATTTTATATTTCTTCCTTGTAGGCTGAACCAAAATGTCATGTGTGCTATTTTTAATGCAAAATAAGGAAAGGGTTTTTTTTCAAAAAATGTATTTTTAATCCTATAAATTTCTGAGTATTATTTCACGTAATTTTTGTAACAGTGTTTTAATGCTTGGCGGTATATAGTACTACCTATATACAAAGAGACACTGGACTATCTAATATGATTGTATATACAGATGCAGGTGTTAGAACTCTGTGCAGCGCTTCTCTTCTTTCTAACTTTAAAAAAAAAAACTTCATGATCTCGTCCAAATCTCGTTGACCATGCGGTATTTGAAGTGGACCTCTAAACAAGTAAATGACGTCAGCTGAGTTTAACCACAGATGTGGTCGTCCACATAACCCCTCCTCACAGATTACCACTGACCACCAACTTACCCACTGACCAGAAGATTATCCACTGATCACCAACTTATCCAATGGTCACATTTTTAGAGACTCCCAGCTTATCCACTGACCACCAAGTTATCCACTGACCACAAGTTTATCCACTGACCAATAAGTTATCCACTGACCACTAGCTTTTCCACTCACCATCAGCTTATCCAATAATCTCCATTTAATCCAAAGATTATCCAATGACCACCAGCTAATCCACTGACCAATAAGTTATCCACTCACCACCAGCTTATCCAATAATCACCATTCAATCCAATGACCACAAGATTATCCACTGACCACAGCTAATCCAATGACCACCAACTTATCACCTGACAATCCCCAGGCCTTTAAGAAACGCTGCACAAAATTGGTGAACACAACACAACCAATTAATTATCTTTAACGTAATAATATTTCACGCATAAAATGCCTCAGCCTCACAAAGTACTTAACTCTATCTTTAGATACAAACTTGACATCTAATTGCTTTTTAACATGTTACAAACTTGATATCGAATTACTTCATGGCTTGATACAAATTTTACAAACTTTTTATCAGACTTTCTAACGTTTTCACAAAATTCACAACTTTTTCAACAAACCATACATTTTTTTCTCAACAAACTTTACAACTTAACGACCCCGTCTCCCAGGGTCCTGGGTATTGTTGAGTAGGGTGGGGGGTCCGCACCCCTGCTGAATGACGTGTCGGGTCGGAACAGGATTTTTACTCTCTGGAACAAAAACGTGAGAAATCAGATTTTTAAACATGAGAAATCTGATTTTTAAAAATAAGAAATCAGATTTTTAAACATGAGAAATCAGATTTAAAACATGATAAATCAGATTTTAAACATGATAAATCAGATTTTATTAAACATGAGAAATCTGATTTACTTTAACATGAGAAATCTGATTTTATTAACACGAGAAATCTGATTTTATTAAACATGAGAAATAATATTTTTAAACATGAGAAATCAGATTTTTAAACATGAGAAATCAGATTTTTAAACATGAGAAATCAGAATTTAAACATGAGAAATCTGATTTTATTTAACATGAGAAATCTGATTTTATTTAACATGAGAAATTTGATTTTTTAACCATGAGAAGTCACATTTTTTTAAAGAGGGAAAATAAAGATTTTAACAACTTGAGAAATGAGGGTTTTTTAAACATGCAAAAATTCGTTTAAAAAAAAAAACAACTAGTAAATTTTTTTTTTTTAAATATGAAATTCAGATGTTTAAAGACACAGGAATTCGTATTTTTAAAAACATTAAAATTAGATTTCTATAAAACATGAAAAAGAAAGTTTTTTCTAGAACAATAGGAAATAAAGTTTTAAAAAACAAACGAAATTCAGATGCTCAAAGACACGAGAAATCAGATTTTTAAAAAAGGCCAAATAGGATTTTTAAAAATTTGAGGCCAGATTTTTAACACATGAGAGGCTAGATTTAAAACCACAAAACAAGCCTTAACGTTCAAACATAGGCTACAAACTTTATAGAACAGCTACTCTCGTTTATCGTTCATTATTCGACTTGGTACTCCCTGCATCTTTAAATCCCAAAACACCTTCATGACAACACCGTCCACCCCCACCCATCAAACACACTCTACGAGAGCAACTCCACCCTTATCGACTATCACCACTGAAAGACATGGTCATTAAAAAAAACACAAACACAAACACCGCCGTGTACTTACATGTCTGTAGGTGCCGCTGGTGCTGAAGAACTTGAAGACCATGTACGCTGGGATACATATAACGGAGGAGGCACCCACGACCCCGCCCACCGAGTGGGCCCAGGTGGGGAAGTGGTACCCAGAGTAGGTGACTGGATGGAAGGTGAAGACGCTGAACAGCACCACGCCCTGGGGATAGGTAGACAGGGAAAATGTGGATTGTTTATATTGTGGATTAGATATATAACAAGCCGTCCTAGCCAGGCCTTGCACTGACCTCAGTGAAAAATCTGTAAACGCAAACACAAACGCAAACACAAAAGCAAACACAAACACAAACATAAACACAAAAACAAATAAAAATGCAAACATTAACACAAACTGTAATGCAAATGAAAACATAAACATAACAAAGAGGGCATTTAAAAACAACGGCTTCTAAACTGTTATTGATCAAAATAATAATTAGTAAACAGTACATTCAGTGTATAAAATAAATAAATGGTAGTAATTAAAATACCCGTGTTTTACCTACCACATTGCACTTTATCAAACCATGCTAATTAGATAATTGTTTTTTTAAACATCAAAACCAGCTAAAAAAAGGTTTTTTTCTTGGAAATAGGTACAAAGGGACGTAATTTGTATACTTTTTCAAACAAAATTGAAATTTTTGTAACGGGTAAGATAATTAGTTTAATTTTTGTTCTTTGGACATTATTGAAAAACGAAAATAAATTTAGTTTGAAAATAATCAATACTGATTTTTTAGACATCAATTTAGATTTTAGTACTAAAATAAACAGTTTAAAAATGTTACACATTGGCGATCAAATCGAGTTTTTTTACCATACGCAAATCATCCACAGACATACATTTTACATACATACAGAGACATAGAGTCCATTTGAGCTTTATATATTAGATTATTACTTTGACGATGACGGGTATGTCTAACTACTTACCAGACATATGGCGGGGGTGGTGACACACCAACATATCTTCCAGAAGAAACAGGGGTAGAAGCCGAACATGTCCCGCAGGTCATCGTAAAACCTGTTCACACCTGGCCATCACAAGGTGGTTAAGTTAACCGGGGTTAATTTTCTTAGGTTAATGATCTTAGGTTAATTATCTTAGGTTATTGATCCTGCACGTATCACAAGATGGTTAAGTTAAACGGGGTTAATGATTTTAGGTTTATGATTTTGCACCGATCACAAGATGTAGTGACCTTAAATACTCACCATAAAACCACGATACAGCAATGCATTTGCCTATAATTATTAACCATAAGACCACGATATTATAGCAATGCGATTGTCTATAACACTCACCATAAGACCACGATACAGCAATGCGATTGTCTACAATACTCACCATAGGACCACGATATAGCGATGTAGTGACCTTAAATACTCACCATAAGACCACGATATAGCGATGTAGTGACCTTAAATACTCACCATAAGACCACGATATAGCGATGTAGTGACCTTAAATACTCACCATAGGACCACAATATAACAATGTGATTGTCTATAATACTCACCATAAGACCACGATATAGCGATACACTCGAAGAAAATGAGCAACAGTACTGTAATGCCACTAGCCGAGTAGAAGTCAAAGATCTGGAACACGTACATTCCACCCTGGTATAGAAGGAATTGTGTTACTCAGAAGGATAAGGATTTTAGAGATCATTTTAAAACTAATGGGGGGGAATAAGAAGTGAGGCTTAGGGGTTCTTAGCTGGGGTGTAGGGGAGAGAAGGATAAGGAGTTTATAGATTATTTGAACTAGATTGGAAAATAATAGGTGAATTATGGGGATTCGTGTCTGGTATGTAGAGGGTGGGATATGATGGGGGAGGAATTATGTTAACGATTAAAGGCTACCACTCTAAAGTCTTAAGATTAATCTTTGTGTACTTTTGCCAACACAAACTACAGAAAATTAGATTGCAGACATTTCATATAGCTCAAACATCGGTTTACATTTCACGATCAATCGTTCACTACTGCATGTCAACTCTGCTTAAAACTGAACTTTGTCAAGTAAATTTGACACCGAGCTGGATAACATAATCACCAGTTTCTAGATCACAATTTATTGATCCCCATTTATTGATTACCGTAAAAAGATCATTATTTATAGATCACAATTTATAGATCACTTTTTATGTCACAATTTATAGGTCACAATAATTTATAGATGACCATTTATAGATCACCAAATCTTGATTCTCATTTCCTAGACCTCCATTTTCTAGACGACCATTTTATAGATCATCATCTTTCAGATCCCCTTTCTTCTTGGTAATCTCTTCCTAGATTTCTAGACTACCATTTTACCCAACATTTACACTTTTACAATGTTTATCTTTCACCATCCCCGAAAACTGACCTCCCCCCTCCCCGACAAGTCAGATTCGCTCTGCCACCTACATCCGTCACCATGGAAAGCCCTATCAGATAGGAGATCATCCCCCAAAACTCCCCACCCCCACCCCTCAAGAAAGATTCCTCAGTCTGCCCCCTACCTCCGTCACCATGGAGAGCCCAATCAGGTAGGAGATCACCCCCCAAAACTCCCCCCTCCCCCCATAAAGAAAGATTCCTCAGTCTGCCACCTACCTCCGTCACCATGGAGAGCCCAATCAGGTAGGAGATCACCCCCCAAAACTCCCCCCTCCCCCATAAAGAAAGATTCCTCCGTCTGCCACCTACCTCCGTCACCATGGAGAGCCCAATCAGGTAGGAGATCACCCCCCAAAACTCCCCCCTCCCCCCATAAAGAAAGATTCCTCCGTCTGCCACCTACCTCCGTCACCATGGAGAGCCCAATCAGGTAGGAGATCACCCCCCAAAACTCCCCCCTCCCCCCATAAAGAAAGATTCCTCCGTCTGCCACCTACCTCCGTCACCATGGAGAGCCCAATCAGGTAGGAGATCACCCCCCAAAACTCCCCCCTCCCCCCATAAAGAAAGATTCCTCCGTCTGCCCCCTACCTCCGTCACCATGGAGAGCCCTATCAAGTATGAGATGAGACACACTATAGCAATGAAGATTTCTCTGTGCCGCCTCAGTGGACGCGGGAACTCGTCAATAAGGGCGGTAAAAAACCCTTCCATAGTGCAGAACTGGGGGTGAGAAAAGTAGGTAACATTGTTTTACATTTCGTTTTGATGTATATTCACACTTTTATGTAATGGGGTACATGTTATATTCATTAATATAAAGATATATGAACCAAACATAAAAACGTGTCAATTATATGGCAAAAAAAAAAATTTCTTTTGAAATAATACATGAGCTACAGGCAATAGGGCTGGTAAGTAGATCACCAAACAGTTCTATGGCTCATGCAGTTTTTATTGAGCCGTAGAACTGGTTGGTGACCTACTTACCAGCCCTATTGTTTAGCTGCTTAAAATAGAAATAATTTAAGAAAATACCTTTGTTATTTTAAAATAAAAAGTTATATTTAAAAAATACTTTCAATTAAAAAAGTGGTACTTTTTAAAACTTTGAGTAAAGGTGATTAGACTATACAACACTGGTGTGTGCTGTCGGTGCTTTTATTACAATAGAACTGTAATACATCTTCCTATATGGATTGATTAACAACCTTCTTCATTATTATAATTAGGTTAATTAAAAGATGAGTGACGTCATACCTGACTGTCCATCCCCAACATGAGGAGCATCAGAAAAAACAAAATGGCCCACAGCGGTGAGATGGGCAGCTGAGTGACTGCACTAGGGTAGGCGAGAAACGCTAGTCCCGGGCCTGTGGGCGGGTGGGAGAGGTCATCGTTATAGAGGGGTCAAGGTAGTCATATGACATATGTTATAAGTTCGTTATAGTTGGGTCAAGGTAGTCATATGACATATGTCATGTGTTCATTACAGGTTGATCAAATGACGTCACCAGTAGGCTCACTTACCTGAGTCTGCGACCAGTTTGACGTCACGCTGTTGCTCGTGTGCCATGAAGCCAATGACCGAGAAGATGACGAACCCGGCGAAGACACTTGTACTGCTGTTCAGGCAGGATATCAACACAGCATCTCTGAGCAGATAAACAAGATTTTTTTATACAATATCAACACAACATCTCTGGGGAGAGAAACAAGATTTTTTTATACAATATCAACACAACATCTCTGGGGAGAGAAACAAGATTTTTTTATACAATATCAACACAGCATCTCTGGGCAGATAAACAAGATTTTTTTATACAATATTATTTAAACACGGCATATCTGATCAAAGATGGGGTTTTAAAAAAAATTATCTCACAGCAGCGAAACAATATTTTAAATAAATATTATTTAAACATCGCATCTCCGGTCAATGATGAGTTGTTTTTTTTTTTAAATTACAGATAAACAGCAAAATTTTTTTTTATTTTTTACACATGGCATTTTTGCCTACTTTTTTTTTAAAATTACATATCGACAGCGCAACAAAATTTTAACAAAACATTATTTTGACACAGCTAATTACTTATTAGCATACTTGTAGCTAATAATGAAAATGTGATTTGGCTAAGTACTTGTAAGCATTAATGAGATTGAGCTAATTACATGTAACCATTAACGAGATTGAGATAATTACTTGTAAACGGGAATGAGATTGGGCTAATTACGTGTAAACATTAATGAGATTGAGCTAATTGTAAAGTAATGAGATTGAGCTAATTGTAAAGATTAATGAGATTGAGCTACTTACTTGTAAAGATTAATGAGATTGAGCTAACTACTTGTAAACATTAACGAGATTGAGCTAATTACGTGTAAACGTTAATGAGATTGAGCTAATTACTTGTAAACATTAACGAGATTGAGCTAATTACGTGTAAACGTTAATGAGATTGAGCTAATTACTTGTAAACATTAACGAGATTGAGCTAATTACGTGTAAACGTTAATGAGATTGAGCTAATTACTTGTAAACATTAACGAGATTGAGCTAATTACGTGTAAACGTTAATGAGATTGAGCTAATTACTTGTAAACATTAACGAGATTGAGCTAATTACGTGTAAACGTTAATGAGATTGAGCTAATTACTTGTAAACATTAACGAGATTGAGCTAATTACGTGTAAACGTTAATGAGATTGAGCTAATTACTTGTAAACATTAACGAGATTGAGCTAATTACGTGTAAACGTTAATGAGATTGAGCTAATTACTTGTAAACATTAACGAGATTGAGCTAATTACGTGTAAACGTTAATGAGATTGAGCTAATTACTTGTAAACATTAACGAGATTGAGCTAATTACGTGTAAACGTTAATGAGATTGAGGTAATTACTTGTAAACATTAACGAGATTGAGCTAATTACGTGTAAACGTTAATGAGATTGAGCTAATTACTTGTAAACATTAACGAGATTGAGCTAATTACGTGTAAACGTTAATGAGATTGAGCTAATTACTTGTAAACATTAACGAGATTGAGCTAATTACGTGTAAACGTTAATGAGATTGAGCTAATTACTTGTAAACATTAACGAGATTGAGCTAATTACGTGTAAACGTTAATGAGATTGAGCTAATTACTTGTAAACGTTGTTGTGGTACTTGTTGTAGCTCCCCAGGGCTGTGCACGTGCCCAGACCAACGCCGTAGGAGAAGAGGATCTGTGAGGCCGCGTCAACCCAGACCTGTGACGAAAGGAACGGGTTCAATTCCACGTCAGAATCAGATCTGTTAACACAACACATTTATTATCTCTTCCCCCCCCCCTTCCCCCATCCGCCACTACGTGTGGTAAATCATCGCAGAAGAATCAAAACTCTAATAGGCTGACGCCGTGTATAGATTATTTTATAAATCTGTATTCTCGTGATGTGTGGTATGGCGTGGCCATATGGTAGAGTGCTCGGCCACTAGCCTGAAGGTCTCGAGTTCGGATCGCAGTCCGGACTTGAGAACGAAGGACGTCCCTGAGGCCACCCAGCTCTCATGGGTACCTGAAAATAAAGGCAGCTGAGTATAGTACTGACCACACCATCCCTTCATATGCCGAGGTCAAGAAACATGCAAACTCTGCTTCACCTGCCCTATGGATCATTAGAAAACGGGAACTTTACTTTGTTTATTTACATGATACCTCCACCCCACCCGAAAACTTACAAAATTCTCGCATGTTACTTTGCTCACGTTTCCAACCTTTAAGTATGTTCAACACAAACTTTACCAAATAACATTCAACAAGATTTGTCTTCAAACAAAGTTAAAGCCACAAGACCACCACAAGGCGGACACAAACAACAACAAACGTCACAAGCCAAGTCAACCGCGACAGGCTGTTGGTGTTACCGTTGACTGAGCCAGTTTCTGCATGTTGGGGGTGATGTAGAAACTGATGCCCGCCCCCGCTCCTGGTAGAGTCAGGCCCCGGATGAGGAGTATGGTGAGTAGAACATAGGGAAACAGTGCTGTCACATACACCACCTGTATGATAGAATTATGGTGAGTAACAAGGGTTTGACATACACCACATATAAGACGTTTTTTACTATAGTTATGTAAGACATAATCAATTCAAATCAAATATCTAAAAAATAAAATTTTATATATTCTTTTTTTTTAAATAAAAATAATTGAACTCTCGGTATTTAAAGCTTTTGAGAAGTAATTATATATAAAATGATCTCTGACCTTTCCTGTCCACTTAACCCCTTTCCAGATACAAAAATAGCACATGACCCAGATAGCCAGCAGACACAGAGAGAGTTCCCACTGTAGGTTTCCCGGCTCGTTGATGCCGTTGGTTATCTTTAGCGCCTTAATCCTGAGACAGATTAAAGAAGATTAACCGTAGGGGATCAGGTGATCAGGTTAAAGGTAGGACCCCAGCTGACCGAGTTAACGTTAGGACCCCAGGTGATCAAGCTAAAGGTAGGACCCCATGTGATCAAGTTATGTCCATTGACGTTGCTAGGGGAGGGCGGGTGGGGCCACCGCCCCGGGCACCGACCCTAAGGGGGTTACCAAAAGTTGTAGAAAAATTAATTTAAAAGCTCATTTTAAGCTTAGGTATTGAATTATACACAGTCAATGTTACGAAAATAAACGACTACAAGACTTTTCACACGGATTTAACTGTTTTCTAGAACAACTTTGTGACACCGAAATAGAAAATGTTACGGGATAGTAACTGGTAAGAAGCGCCACAAAACTTTCCAACTGAGCGCTTTTTCATAAATTTGAACAACTATATATATATATATATATATATATATATATATATATATATATATATATATATATGTGTGTGAGGGACACAAAATTGATAGTCCGGAATAAGTCGCCATGCCTCTGCTTATGCTTTGGGTGGGGCGACATAGAAAACTTACTAAAACGAAATTCTAAAAAGTTTTGTAAATTTGCGCTAATGAGATTAAAAAGAAAAACGTTAAGATTCCTTTCTAGACCTAACAATCCATTGGTCAGATGAAGTAGTACATAAGTTTCTAGACTTTGGCATATGATGTGTGGTCAGCACATAACTTTCCCAATGTGAGTCAGGTACCCATCAGAGCTGGATGGACTCAGGGACGTCCCACAGTCACAGGTCTGAACCGAGATCCGAACTCGAGACCTTAGGGCTAGCAGGCTTCTGGGGGGAAAGGGGGGGGGGGGTTTAAAAACCTCGCAACTACCCAGTTGAAAATAGTGTGTTTTTTTAAAGCCTAGATATTTAATTTGATGAGATTACCATAAATAACTATAGAATACACGTGTTTTAAATGTAAATTATCCTTTCGAATCGTATGGTTCAGATGAAGTTAGTTCACTTTTTTCAGTGACCTCGGGCATATGAAGGGATAGTATGGTTACCGTTATTTTAGGCCGCCTTTACTTTTCCGAAGCTTTTAGGCCACAATTAAAATAAATTATGGAAGCCTAACAAGAAAGATAATTATGCAAGCACCAACCTTTTTAAAGGTTATGTCCCTTGTACAATAACAATCATAACAAAAACTAAATCTTATAGTACGATCCCAAAAAGTTAAGATTAGGAATTTCTTTTCAGAGCAGGAAGTCTAGGCAAAATAAATAAGTAAATAAACGAAACAATTTTAAAATCAACTATATAAAAACAAAACTCTAGGATGCTTCTTTACTAATTACACACATGAATTACATCGGGTACGTAAAGCCTACTTCCATTCAAACTTCAAATACGAAAATTTAACATCATTTTACCCTTTAACCCTAAGACAACTTTTAACGAAACATGCATCTGATGCTATTGTCTAAAAACGATACACCGAACTAATAATGAGTCTTCTACTTCGTTTTTAATTTTAGTGGAGAGTAGCTGTCCTCAGCTCACGAGCCTCATCTACCCGAGGGTTCGAACTCGAGACTTTTCGGTTTAGCAACAATAAGCTTTACCGACTCGACCACGCCGACCCCTGTTATACCAAATGATTTAAACTTTTTAACCCTAATATTTGTCACAATTTGTGCGTGTAGCCTACTTAGCTGTGGTATCGTTGTGTAATGACCGGGTAGTTTTTAAATTCTTAAAGTTTAGATGGAGTTGTTTATCTGCAAACAAGGTCTATTTTTCTTCTCTTATGGGTCGGCGTGGTAGAGTCGGTAAACTCATGGTAGCTAAGCCGAAAAGTCTCGAGTTCGAAACCTCGGGCAGATGAGGCTCGTTAGCTGGGGACATCCACTTTACTATGAGAGACAACTCCAAAATCTAACAACTGCTGCCTCGTAGTTAGTTCTTGGTTGGACAAAGGCTATGGAAGCAAATCCAAAAAGTAAAGCAGGCTGAAGTGAAATCGGAGTCAATGGCGCATAACCAGTTGACACGTATACTTGATTGTGTTGGAGGGGATCCTTTCCAACACTAAAATTAAGAACAAAGAAGAAGAAAGATCCTTCTCTTTATCACTCATTAAACTAGCAGATGCTTGCTATAGATCTACCTACAACCATCAATAGTGGACAGCAAACAACGTCAAACAGCATGTAGTACAGTTGAGATGTTAACACAACTACAGTAACATAAAGAGCTCGCGTATGTTAGTTAGCATAATTTTATCTGTAAGAGATTGTTCAAGAACCCAAAAATAGAAATTTAAATTATAATTAGAGTTTAAAATTATAATTATGTTGTTAAATTATAATTAAATAATTAAACAATAATTAAAAAATTAGATGATAATTGGTGGGGGGGGGGGGGGGGTGCGCTCCCCTCTCCCTTTCGCTCCCCATCCCCTATGTACAAAATAGAAAAAAAATTATATAAAAAATATTATTTACTTTAACCAGTGCTCCCCCCCCCCAATAGAAATATCAGAAAGAAACTCTGATCGATTTATTGACGATATATTTTTTAGTATCTCTAACCTTTCTGCTACATTTAAGATTATACCACGATGAAAATAGTAACAAGCAAATACTTTTTTTTTACAATTTGAAAGAAGTATTGTAACAAAGAAAGACATAATACAATGGCTACTTCAATTTAATTTAAATCCTCCATTAATTTAATCCTCCTCAGCTTTCGAGCGAGCGAAATCAAAAGTTTAAAAAATGTAAATAAAAATAAACCGGGAGTGATCTCCCCTAAACTTTCTCGAATATTTTTATATAAAATTACAGGGGATGGGAACTCGGGCTATAGACATGATTTTTAATCCATTTTAAATACTTAAAGTTTTAAAAATAGAATAAAATCTCGTAGACAAATTAATTGCACACCAAGTGAACGCGAAATAAAAAAGCGCATAATAGTGCGCAATATTATTAGTACTTTTAAAATTTACATTAGTTTTTTGAGAAATCGGAAGTAGCGTAAATTACTACTTCCTGTCAACGGAAATTACTCAAAATTTAACAGAAGGTAGAGAATTAGATCTTTTACTTACATGTGAAATTTCATTTATCTATCTGAAATAGTACTCAAGTTATAGGCTTTTGAAAAATTCAAAGTAGAAAAAGTACCACTTCCGGTTGTCGGAAATCGCTCAAAAGTTGATACGGATCTACGATTTTGATAAAATACTTATATATGAAATTTCATCAACCTAGCTGTAACGGTACTCAAGTTATCGTGTTTACACACGGACAGACAGACAGACAGACAGACACACACACACACAGACATACGGACAAGATTGCAAAATTATGTTTTTCCGTATCAGTGAGGTGTAAAACGTCGAGATTTGTAAAAATCTCGATTTTTTTTTGTGCACGATTACAATACTTTCTCTATACTACGTATATACGAGAAAGTAAAAAAGAAGGAACAAACTTGAGAACGCTCGGAGAGGGATTCTTTTGTCTAGGAGTTCCCTTTAAGTGGGTGCAATAAAGTTGACTTCCGGGTCAAGCTCATAATGCGCCGCGCAATAAAAAAGGTAGTCGACGTAAAAATTGTGAGAGTTTGAGGCTATTTTGGTCGTTTCAATGAGACCAACGTTTTGTGGTTGCGGTGGTTTTATCTTTATTGATGTAACAACCAGTCTGTCCCATGTGTAGAGTTTCTTTCAGGCATCCTTTTAAGAGGGTAGGAGGCACTACTATTCCCCACTCTGAAGCACTATATATATATATATATATATATATATATATTATATATATATATAATATATATATATATATATATATATATATATATATATATATATATATATATATATATATATATATATATAAAATCTATATTAAAAAGATATACTTTAACCAGTGTCCGCCCCCCCCCCCACTGGAAATTCAAGTAGCGCCCACCAGGTATTTCTCAGGTATCTCAACAACTGACCTCCATTAAGAAAACAACACCATTGACCTGTCAGGTATGACCAGAACTGACCTTGACCTTCATTAAGTAAACAACACATATGACCTATCAGGTATGACAAGAACTGACCTTGACCCCCATTAAGTAAACAACACATATGACCTAATGACCTATCAGGTATGAGAACTGACCTCCAAAACTCCTCGACAGGTGAGACAAAGCTGTACGCGTCGTAGTCCTGTGTGCAGTTGGCCCCGGGGTACATTTTCGGTATGGTTGAAGAGTTCATCTCGTTCGTGACATTGACCTAGTTAAATATATAGGTCATTTTTATTGACCTAGTTAAATAAAAAAGTCTTCTCGTTGATGACAATCAATTTGTGAAATTTAAAGGTCATTTGATTTGTGACATTGACCTAGTTAAATAAATAGGTCAACTCGTTGGTGGCATTCACCTTGTGAAATATAAAGGTCATTTGATTTGTGACAATGACCTAGTTAAATATCTCGATGGTGACATTCACTTTGTGAAATATATGAGTCATTTCATTGGTGACATTCACCTAGTCAAATGTATTGGTCGTCTTGTTGGTGACATTGATCTACATATATATATATATATATATATATATATATATATATATATATATATATATATATATATATATATATATATATATATATATATATATATATATATATATATATATATAGGTCATCTCAGTGGTGAATTCAACTAGTTAAATATTTAGGTCATTTCATTGGTGACATTAATCTAGTTAAATATACATGTCATCTGGTTGGTGACATTGGCCTAGTTAAATATACGTGACATTTAGTTAGTGACATTAGCCTAGTTAAATATATATGACATTTAGTTGGTGACATTAGCTTAGTTTAATATACATGACATTTGATTGGTGACATTCCCCTAGGTTTAAATATACATTACATTTAGTTGGTGACATTAGCCTAGTTAAATATACATGACTTTTAGTTGGTGACATTGGCCTAGTTAAATATATAGGCATGTGGATTAATTTAAAGTTCGCTTGTGACCTTCCAATTTGTAAAATGTACTGAAAAGTTCCCACGCAGCCTTCACCTACTTAAAATATAGGTTAAATACAGAACTTGCGTAACCTTTCACCTACTTTATTTGTGCATGTCATTTAAAGAACTTTTGTAGTAAAAAAAATACATTTATCAAGACGGAAGACATCAACCTTTATTTAAACATTAGGTGTATGAATTTAAAAAAAAAAACTGTTTAACAATCAAGCTTTTGTAAATATAATTGTTCGGTAATCTATCGTTTTGGGTACGTAAAATCGCCCGCGGCTATTTATGTACGAAAACGTTACCTCATTGTCAAGGCTTTAATAGAAGTATATTGTCATACTTTTGTGTCAAATATTATAGATAAATGAATAATAAACCTAAATCAATGGCTAAATATATCGATATAGGCCAGAAATTAACTTTAAACAGCAGTGTCTGTGAGCAAGATTTGCTATATAAACAGCAGCCATTTGTAAAATAGAGTGACCTCCCCCTGAATCTGGCGCTAAAAGCTTATAAAAATAAAACATAGACAAGATGGCTGCTATAGTAAATGAGCATGATTGCATCTGTTGGAAACATCGCTAGTCTTCATTTATTACGGAAATGATTTAATTCAGTTGTTTAAAAACAGGTACATAAATGAATCAAGGAAACATTTTTGAATTTTTTAAAACATAAATCCTCCTCAAAATGTGAAATAATTATTAAAATTTAAGGAGTCACCTGTTTTTCACATTACAAATCGCGGGCGATTTTACGTACCCAAAACGATAGATTACCAATTGTTCTAATTGCCTGACCAAGCAGGGAGAGAATTTAGACATTATCCAAACGAATGATCTTTCTTTGAATTTTTCATGGGCTGTTAGTGATAGGATTTTTCGCAAGCAATTTATTTTCATAAATTTTAATGTCTAGTGCGAAATTAAAGGTGTGTTTATTTAAACTGAAAATGTTAATTTCTTAAATATATTTTTAACTGAAATTAAATTATACATTGTATAAATATAAAAGTGTTCATTCCAATTGAAATTGCGTTCGTTTAAAATGTAGGTATATCGAGATTTTTTAAAATTTGCAATTTTAGACCAAAGTTTTAGTATTAAGATTGTGTTACATTCAAGTAAAACTTGGATGTTGAGCTCCAAACAAAATGTATTAATTTTTAAAAAAAAACGTTTCGTGTTGATGTCAAATAGTGTTGATGTCAAATAGTGTTAATGTCAAATAGTGTTGATATCAAATAGTGTTGATGTCAAATAGTGTTGATGTCAACTGAGATAATATTGATGTCAAATAGTGTTGTTGATGTCAACTGATGTCAACTGAGATAATGTTGATGTCAAATGAGATAGAGCTGATGTTGATGTCACCAAAACTCATCCAACACAACCCATCCCATGTACTCACGGCGAACCACGACGTCCCTGTGGTACAGTTGAAAGGTATCTTGTCCCTTTGGTACACACTCATGCACTTCTTTGTGTTCCAGGCGTTGTCGCAGTTGCCCCAGGGCAGCACGGCGGTGAAGGAGTGGACCAAGTAGAATATAGTCCAGGCCAGGATGACGATGTAGTAGGTGTTTAACCAGAACGCCATCACCGCTGAGGCGTAGCCGACACCTGGTGCGGAGAGGAAGTTAAACAAAGGTTACTCGTTGGTTGGCTGGAACTATGTCTTTGATTAACTAGCATCGCTGGTAAGTGTACTCTAGTATATAAATCTAGCCCTGCCCAAAACCCTCGGTCTAGCTTTTAATGTAATCTTAATTTAGATTAGAACTATGAACTTTATCCTGGAGGTTTTTTTTATCAACATTTGACCTAATCTACGAATGTGTACAAACGGCTACTCCTTTAGTAATTGCACTCAAGCATATAAATCTAGCCCTGCCCAAAATCATAGGTCTAACTTTTAATGCAATCTTAATTTAAATTAGAACTATGAACTTTTTCCTGAAGGTTTTTTTTTTCAACATTTGACTTGCTCTACGAATATGTTCAAACGGCTACTTCAGTAGTAACTGTACTCTAGAATATAAATCTTGCCCTGCTAAAAACCATATGTCTAGCTTTTAATGTAATCTTAATCTAGATTAGAACTATGAACTTTATCCTGGAGTTTTTTTTTAATCAACATTTGACCTGCTCTACGAATATGTACAAACGGCTACTCCTGTAGTAATTGCACTCAAGCATATAAATCTAGCCCTGCCCAAAATCATAGGTTTAACTTTTAATGCAATCTTAATTTAAATTAGAACTATGAACTTTTTCCTGAAGGTTTTTTTTTCAACATTTGACTTGCTCTACGAATATGTTCAAACGGCTACTTCAGTAGTAACTGTACTCTAGAATATAAATCTTGCCCTGCTAAAAACCATATGTCTAGCTTTTAATGTAATCTTAATCTAGATTAGAACTATGAACTTTATCCTGGAGTTTTTTTTTAATCAACATTTGACCTGCTCTACGAATATGTACAAACGGCTACTCCTGTAGTAATTGCACTCAAGCATATAAATCTAGCCCTGCCCAAAATCATAGGTTTAACTTTTAATGCAATCTTAATTTAAATTAGAACTATGAACTTTTTCCTGAAGGTTTTTTTTTCAACATTTGACTTGCTCTACGAATATGTTCAAACGGCTACTTCAGTAGTAACTGTACTCTAGAATATAAATCTTGCCCTGCTAAAAACCATATGTCTAGCTTTTAATGTAATCTTAATCTAGATTAGAACTATGAACTTTATCCTGGAGTTTTTTTTTTTTTTATCAACATTTGACCTGCTCTACGAATATGTACAAACGGCTACTTCAGTAGCATGTAACTCGATATCAACATGGTTAAGAAGAGTGTTAAGAATCTTCAGATAATTAATGATTTCTTGAAGTAATCTCTGGTAAAAAAAAATATCAAGTATTCTCTCGCAAGTTTTCTATCACAACTAATGCTGACTGCTCATGCGAGAAATCCGAACTTTGACTAATCGAGTAGTTGGAAGATGTAGTAGTTGGCCCAGTGGGGTAAGGGGTTGGGGTTAGATGAATGGTATTTATTTACACAAATATAACAGTAATTGATAAAATTAATAGAGGACCATTGGCACAAGAGTTTAAAAGCTTCATGAATTTAGTATAGACGAAGTGATTAAAATGTACATAATGGGAGCAATCTTACATATTCCAGACCATGAACTTAGTAAAGACGTTCTCCCTTTAAAAATTGGAGCAATCTCCCATATTCCTAGATCATAAACTCAGTATAAACGCTTCTAGTGTTAACTTACCTTTAAAAATTGGAGCAATCTTCCATATTCCCAGACTGTTTCTTACCTTTAAAAATTGGAGCAATCTTCCATATTCCCAGACTGTTTCTTACCTTTAAAAATTGGAGCAATCTTCCATATTCCCAGACTGTTTCTTACCTTTACTTCTTCTTCGTTCTTAATTATTAGTGTTGAAGGGGATCGAGATTTATCTGCCAGTGCGTTTGAACTCGAGACTATGTTCAAATTTATCAACCATGCGCTTTTTGCCGACTCGACCACGCCTCCAACACAATTAAGCGTTACGTGTCAACTGGTTTTGCGCCATTGAGGCCATTGACTCCGATTTCAGCCTGCTTTTCTTTTTGGATATGCTTCCATAGCCTTTGTCCTACCAAGAACAAACTACAAGGCAGCAGTTGTTTAATTTTGGAGTTGTCTCTCCTAGAAGAGCGGCTGTCCCCAGCTAACGAGCCTCATCTGCCCGAGGGTTCGAACTCGAGACTTTTTCGGTTTAGCAACCATGAGCTTTACCGACTCGACCACGCCGAACCCTCTTACCTTTAAAAATTGGAGCAATCTTCCATATTCCCAGACTGTTTCTTACCTTTAAAAATTGGAGCGATCTTCCATATTCCCAGACTGTTTCTTACCTTTAAAAATTGGAGCAATCTTCCATATTCCCAGACTGTTTCTTACCTTTCAAAATTGGAGCAATCTTCCATATTCCCAGACTGTTTCTTACCTTTAAAAATTGGAGCAATCTTCCATATTCCCAGACCACCAACACTGAGCCACTGTCCCAGTGCTAGCTCCATGAAATACATCGGGATACCCGCGAAGATAATGGTGGCGATGAATGGTATGAGGAAAGCTCCTGTGAGACGAAACAACGTAATTTATAGTTCTGGGTTTAAGTAGTATTTAGTTTAACATGTGTTGAGTTTAACATGTGTATACTTGAACATATGTTCAACATGTGTTTAGTGTAATACGTGTTTAATTTAACATGAATTTAGTTTAACATGTGTTTACTTTAACATGTGTTTAACATGCGTTTAGTTTAACATGTGTTTAATTTAACATGTGTTTAGTTTCACATGTGTTTAGTTTAACTGTGTTTAGTTTAACATGTGTTTAGTTTCACATGTGTTTAGTTTCACATGTGTTGAGCGTGTGTAAAATCTGGGCCTGTGTAATGTGTGAGAAAAAGGTGTTGATTTGCTACATGTTTAGGTCAGCGTTAGGTCCAGTAGAGCTGACATGTTTCAGTACTGACTGAAGGGAATTGTCAGGGACGTCTTAGTGACCTGAGAAAAACGTGTTTTTTCAATTTTTCGACGCCATGTGTTTTTTTTCTTGATTCTTTTGGATTCCATGACATGCCCTGTCTGGCAATATTGTTAGAATGTGGCCTATCCATCTCCATCTTCTATTCCGAATGTCTGGCTCCACTGGGATTGCATGTACTCCCCCACACTGCTGAGTTAGTACCCAGTCGCAGGCTGGTATTGTGATTAAGAGATATGCTCGATATTTCGTCATGATCTAGTCTGCTGCACTAACGAGCATACCTTGAGCTGGTAACCACCGTATACGAGAGATTATAATTATAAATGTTTTGGGGAATAGGCTTGAAAAGCTGGTTCCAAATTATTGTTGCCAGAAAGAATATTTTTCAACTAAAATTTAATATTTTATAACATTTGAGAATTAAGCACAAAATGACTTCCGGTTTTATTTAGACTTTTCAAACAAATAAGTAGGCCTACTAGTAATAGGCCTACTAGTAATAGTAATATTAATTTCGCTAAAAATTTTATTTTTAATTTGGATTAGTAGAGTCAGGTTTCTGTGGTAATGGGGGCATTGACTGCTATTGAGTATTTTATGATGGGAAAACAATTGTTCTGACTTTCATTGGTTTACTTTACCTGCCATTCCGGTTGACTTCACGGAGAGGTTGAGGTCGGTTTTTTTTTTTTAAATATTGGAATTGATAAAATAACTCAAAAATTATTTTCATCGGCTCATTCTCAACATAAAAATATGAAAATTAGTGTAATCGATGGTTTCCAAAAGGCTTTAATTTTTAAAGATATAACTTTAATACTATCGCTTGCCATAGTTGTTTTAAATATTTTTTTTTATATTTAGTATGACAACAGAGACTTTTCCAGCCTATTCTCATGTTAAAATCTTCTGCGCCTTTACCGGTCTGTATGACGTCATCTTGTAATCCTACTTTTTAAAGCCCGAGAGTCATAAGTTCCGACTCGGTCGTGTTACATCCGGTTGCGTCATTGCATTAAGTTAGATTCAATTCTACACTACATCTAAGTTACAGAACACCCCCCTCTCCCCCCCCCAAATCTGTTTTAAAAAATCGAATGCGCTAAAAGATTAACTCTGTAATCGAATACCCCCTGTTTGAGTGAGTACACAACGCCAAACACGACTTTGTCGTCAGACGGCTGGTAGATCTGCTTTCTCCCGCCACAGTTGTTCTCTGGCTCCGTGATTGCAGATAATCGCCTCGTAAATTGGCGGGTAAACGACGCCGGCGTGACATCTGCCGGTCGCCCGGTCGGGAACCGGCAAATGGCACTCACACATCGTCCGGAAAATGACGGAACGTTTTAGGGGTCGGTGTTTGTTCTAGGGGCGGTGAGCTGTGGGAAAACAGGTTCGAGGCCCGGGTGGGAAATTAAAATTTTTTAATGGGATGTAGGGTGGGAGGGGTGTGTGGGTTAGATGTATCCGTAATACGAGGTTAGCACTGAGTAACGCAATGTTTAACCAAGTTAGGAATGAAGGTATGTATGGGGAGTAACGAATAGAGTGAGATTATTGAACAAATTTAGTAGCAATTTTATTCTCATGAAATGAAGTCACTCATTTTTATATATACTTGTTTACACCTCACTACCTGTAGCAATCCGATTTTTTATCATTACATTCCCGTCCCATTTGTCATTGTGACAAACAACTCCATTCCCATCCCATTTATCATTGTGACACACAACTCCATTCCCATCCATTTTTGTCATTGTGACACACAACTCCATTCCCATCCCATTTGTCATTGTGACACACAACTCCATTCCCATCCCATTTGTCATTGTGACACACAACTCCATTCCCATCCCATTTATCATTGTAACACGCTTTACCCAGCATACAGTTCAGGTTGAACAGAAAAATGTAACTTTATTACCGAAATCACTTAACACTAACAGACTAATCGATGTCTGAAAGACAATGTAAGGACCACGTAAAGATCGTATGTAAGGTCCATGTAAGGACTATGTAAGGACTGTGTAAGGTCAGGACTATGTAAGATAAGGGGTCATCCATAAATGATGTCACACTCGTAGGGGGGAGGAGGGGTCCGTAATTTTGTGACGATGTGTGATGAGGGGGGGGGGGGGGGGGGGTTCAGATGTTCCGACGTCACACTTTTGCATTATAAAAAAGCAATGTTAGAAAACGAATTTTAGACGTTATTTCGCGTTTTAGATAACTGTTTTAATAAATTGTAATAGTTTAGACAAGATTTTAGAAAAATATCGATCTTTAAAAAAAATTCAACTGCAATTTTGAGGGGGGGGGTTGTAGGTTGAGGTGTGACGTCATTTTAGGGGGGGGGGGTCTGGCTTTTTGTGACGACGTGTGACGGAGGGGATGGGGGGGGGAGTTAAAATTGTCAAAAAAAGCGTCACGTCATTTATTGATGACCCCTAAGGACTATGTAAGGAATATGTAAGGACTATGTAAGGACTATTTAATGACCATGTAAGAACTATGTAAGGACTTTATAAGGAATATGCAAGGTCTATGTAAAGACGATGTAAAGGCTATATAAGGACTATGTAAGGACAATTTAAGGACCACTTAAGGACTGTGTAAGGATTATGAAAGGACCATGTCAGGACTATATAAAAAACTATCCAAGTGCCCATGTATGACTCCCCAAGTGCCAATGTATGACTATAGGGCTGGTAAGTAGGTCAATAAACAGTTCTATGGCTCATGCAGGCTTTATTGAGCCGTAGAACTGGTTGGTGACCTACTTACCAGCCCTATACATGAATCAATCTAGGTTAATTGAAGGAGAATTTTTTTTTACTAATAAAAGATCCAAGGATTCCTCTAGGACCACAAGCAGGCCCTGAACAGGACTCACCTCCACCGTTCTTGTAGCACAGGTAAGGGAACCTCCAGACGTTTCCCAGGCCGATACACTGGCCCACGCAGGCCAGGACAAACTCCACTTTCCCCGTCCACAGCTCCCTCTCCGGGACGTCGTCCAGCTTGCTCTCCATCACCCGCCCGTGGGTGGCGTTCTCCTGGGACGAGGGCACGCCCTGACCCATCTCTATGTACTCGCTGGTGGGCTTGTTGGTTGTTGTCGTCGTCATGGTAACGACTGGGGGGAGGAGTCAGCCGGGCTAAATACAGGGATGTTTCCTTGAAATTTTTAGTCAATGTTTAATGTAATCTTGATAGTCCGAGTTGTCTGTTAAATAAAATAAGGACATGGATATAGATCTAGATTGCTTTTGTCAGTGTATAAATAAAGTAACAACAAACGGTACTCTTTTTTTTTTAAAATGACAAATATATTTTATTTCATTTCATTAGTATAAATGAAGATAGATTTTAGTACTGTAACAATAATTAAATATCCCTATGCTCTATAGAAATTACGTTTCGTTACCTTAATAAAAATTACTTCGATTTATTGTTATCATTCCTTCTTTCTTCGTGCATTTGCCTGAGGAAATGTTTGCTAATAGAGAAGGCGTTAAGTGTATACACTTGTGCACAATTTGGAATTTTCTTGATCGTCTCCCTTAGTATGTTTCCTCAGACTAAATATAGCAGAGACTTCACGACCCCTACAGTCGTTTGAGAGCTTACCCCCCACCCCCCCCCCCACCCCACCCATCCATCATCTGCTTTAATTCCGATGTTGTCACTCGTGTGCGTAACTGTGACCTCTTAGGTAACTTTAATTAAGAAGATAATTACGAATTACAATGTCCCTTATGCTTCTTAAGTCATCTGCAGAGTCTCTTCCAGGCATCTCTTCGCCCCCCCCCCCTGAAGAAATTCTACCAGCCCCCCCCCCCCCCTCCCCCCTCCCCCCCCCCCCCCCCTCTTCCGAACGAAATGGAATTAATATAGAGAAAATATACTATTAACAGTGTCCGCCCCCCGGAACTTTTAGTCCGCCCCCCCCCCGAGAAATTTCAAGTGCCCCCCCCCCCCCCCCGGGTGAAAAAAGTCTGGACTTAATAAAATAAACTTCGAGCGTTACTTAACAATCCAGCAGACAATCGTCAAGTATAGTCGTCCCATTTATATAATCACACTGATTAAAAAAATAAACGCTGTAAAAACTAGCGGTGTAAAGGAAAATGAACGTGTAGTCGCCAATAATATGTAAATGTCTTGTATCTATCGGATATATAAATAAACTTAAACGTAGAATCTGCAAGCTATCGCGGACTAAATCGAGTGGTGGTGGTGGTGGGGGAGGGCGGTCCGGGGGGGGGAGTGGGGGGAAGCAGCCACGGGCCTCAGTTTGCTTCAAAATACAAGTCTGTTTAAACGGAGATGGAAGATGATAATTTTAAATTGAAAATTATCTAGATGCAGAGTTTCGTTCATCTTGTCCTTAATGTGCAATGGTAACTGTAATGATTAGTTTGAAGATTAGAATTATTGTTATGAATCAAAGCTACAAATATTTCAAGGTCAGTGTGTCGCAGTGACTTTTTCTTTGAAGCCGATCCCGAATGCGTTATCATTTCAATTTTTCCCTCCTATATATTTTTATATTGGTATACATTAGTATTGGTGAGAAGTTGATTATAATTGTATAACAACGCTTATTTCCCTTCCCAACAGCCCCCACCCTTCCCCCTCCCTCCGTTATTTTAAAGTTATTTGCAAATTTTGCTTAAATTTTTACTAAACCTGTTTGGCAAGCACTTAAAAAACTAAAGCTAAGATTTTGCACTACACTGCATTTAACAAAAACTTAGCAGCCAGTGCAAAGCCTGGCCGTAACGTCTAGAATCAGTAAACTGCTAAACAACAGCATAAACAAAGCGGGAGATAACCTAGTTGTGTGTAGATTTCAACTCTCTCGTACAACCGGCACTCCATTCCGAAACACAATACGCTGTAATCGCTAGGAATTCTAAAATCTGCCCCGTGACCCATTTTCTCCTGGCGACTTTTTTGTGCCAAAAAATGAGCACATTTTTTTTTATTGTCAGCTATTAGAGTTTCATAGAGTACATTGGTGTAGCTGTGTAGATTGTATGCAAAGTTTCTCTCAGTCATCTCTTCAGCGGGAGGGGGGCTGAGCCACCCCCCCCCCCCGAATTAAGTCTACTCCCCCCTCCCCGAATGAAATGGAATTTATATAGAAAACATACTTTTACCAGTGTCCGCCCCCCCCCCCCCCAAAAATGTTGTGCCCCCCCCCCCCCCCGGAGAAAAAAGTCTGCAAGAAACACTGATTTTATGTTGCGTGGGGGCCATTTCAGTTTCAGAAAACTTAAATACATATTTAGGTACACTTCCACTAAGTACACAATCTCTAACTAGCCCTGTTTATATCTTACACCAAGGACTAACCTAAACATATTAATAATTTAACTCATACAGTAAACAAATCTAACCATAACTGTAACGGTATAATATAGTGCCGCAAAAGTTTACATACTGTATTAGATGTATGTAGCTTTCAGTATTTTCGCTTCATGGATCACGCATATAATACACAGTAACTTTCAATTTGCACCCCCCCCCCGCTCAAATTTTCTCTATATTTTGTTATTTTTACCCTTGGTGTCACCCCCCCCCCCCCTAACTGGTGTCCGCACCCCCCCCTCGCTACGCCTCTGCAATACATTTTCTAAAATCTCTTCGGGGCCACTGACCACCCCCCTCCCCCAAATATATACCCCCAATCCGCCCTCCCCCCCCCCCCCCGAAAGTGTCAAATGCTGTCATATATAACAATGCCTAAAATCTGTTTGGATAGCATATCGTATAGAGCTATCATATAAAATCTGCTTTTTTATGTGTGCACAGTCGGGACTCGTGAGTAATTGTCGGGGCTAAATAAAAACACCTGAACATTAGTTCTCTGGACATACATTTATTTGATAAAGTTCGGGACCCCCCCCCCCCTCTCCCGATATAAAACCATGTACATGCCTATCCTCCAGCGATTAAAAAAACACTGTATTTAACTTATTTGTTGAACCTCCTTAGGTTTGAGTTAGTCTTTATGCAAGGGATAAGACGCAACTTGGCCAGAAACAGAAGTTAGTATGAAGATTTTTTTTTTTCCATTTAATAATAATTATTAGTAATTGTAATTAAAACAATATTTAAAATCGCATGTATCGAATAAAGACGGGTTGCAATGGTTGTGTCCTAGAGGCCTGGGAATTTTGAAAGGGGCTTCCAACCACAGTTTTAAATTTAAATTTTAAATTGTCCCCAATCAAAGCCTGAATTTTACGACTTGGCTTGAAGGAATGGTAAAATATCAACAATTTTTTAAAAAAATCTTTAATTGGACTAGTATAACACTGTTCCTTTGCGGCCCACCGAGATTTGTTCATGGGGGTGGGGGTGGCAAAGGGATTTTTCCCGATAAACTGGCGTGGCCAATCCACCTTTGAATACATATTCTTACATTGTTTACCCTACTTAACAATAATCCAAATGAAGTTCTACCTAGCTGATCATAAGACCGGCACAGACAATGACGGAGCACGTTACACACAAACGATACATCAGCGTAATGTCCTGCTATAGTTGCTGACTACATTCATCAAAGTAGAACACCAGTTACCATTTACATT